AGCTACATATATGATATAGTTGTCCAAATTTCACAAAATTAAAACTGAAAATCTGAAATAATATAATTTAGCCATATCTGAAAAATGATGCAAAAATGTTGAAAAAAATTTATCGAACACTATATATTATAGCTATATTATATAGTCGTCCGATCCGGCCCGTTCCGACATATATAGCAGTGAGAGTATATAGAAGAAGATATGCAAAATTTTATTAAGATAGCTTTACAACTGAGGGACTAGTTTGCGTAGAAACGGACAGACGGACATGGATAGATCGACTCGGCTGTTGATGCTGATCAAGAATTATAATACCCTGCAAGGGTATAAAAAGCCAACGAAGCCATCCTTGAAGCCCTTGCTAAGTGGATAAATTAAGGTTGGTCTCCAAATCTCAATCGAAATTCCAATTGCAATGGCCGTTTTCAAATTTCCTCTTTCAAATTTCTCATCACGCCGCCCTTCCGTTTTGAAATTTCAAAGTGGACAAGTGACCAAGTCCTGTCTGCCCCTTATGTCTCACCCAAAATCAGAGACATCATTTCCATGGACACAATGGCTTCCCCGGGGGGGAGGGCAGACTGCAGACAGGAGACTGACATTCATCTGGTTCTTGCATTATTCCCGCTGCCATAGAGCGCCCTGCTGCCCCATTGATGACGCTGTGGATTTTCATTCACAAAACTGCAGGACTTTCAAGGCGCTGAGGCTGGCAGCTGCTGCTGCTGCTGCTGCTGCTGCAGTGAATGGAAAACGGCCTCTGTTGCTGCCCCGGAAAAGCTTCCTCCCCGCCATCATGGATGCCCGTGTCCTTCGTGGCTCGTTGTTCCTTTTTGGCTAATGAAGACCAATGACGTCCGACATTGGCAGGAAAATCGGAGGAAATCGGGGGAAATGCTGGAAAAATGCTGGGCAAATGGAAGCCTAAAGGGGGTGGGGGCGTAGGGGTGGCGCTGATTGACCTCAGCTTATTGGACCATCAATCAATTAGGCGCCATTTTCCTTTCCATCCATACAAACATGTGTATATAGAATCCTGCATCATGTTGCATGTTGCATGCGCTGACCTCGCTGCTGCCTCCTCCGATGACGTCTGCCGTGGAAACAATGACGTCACACCGAGCGGTGAAAACTAGTGCACAAAGCTGCTGCTGCTGCTGCACAGTTGAGCCAGATGAGCAGATGTCGCACGTCATCAAAAAAAAAAAAACAAATATTATATATGTATATATGTATATATATATTATAAGACTACATCATAAATTACTTATTTATTTTTTGATTTAATGAAATATTTAAATTTTTCCTTATTTATTAATTATATTTGTGATTTGTTATGTTTAGCCACTTTACTTGAAAAAAGAAATCAATAGATAAATATTGCAAATAATAAAAAATAAACAAATAAAAATTATTTAATAAAAAAATCACTCGCTTGACACTATAATTCCCAACTAGTTCTAGCATCTGCTGAGTGGTAACCCAGCTAAATGTTGAGGTTCTCTCCTAAGCATACAGCGTACAAATAAATATTCTCTCCTAAATTTGCTGCTATTTGTTTTGTTACAGTTTACAGTGTACCGAGAAAACGAGCAGATATCACCGGAGAGAGTTTGAGATCATAGAAATTTCAAGGATCAATAGGAGACGGGGCCTAGACAAATGTGAGTACACCATAAAGTATTTGTTCCAGCTTAAGAATCTGGTAAATCTAATATAAGACAATGATTAAATTAGAAATAACGCTAAGAAATTGAAAATAGAAAACTTGAGCCGAAGTTAACTTCCTTTGTTCCCCAAAAATGATCAAATAAAATTATGAAGATATTCTTAAATTTTAATTAATCTTTTTATTTCCGCATTTTAAGTATACAACATAACTATTTTATTTATTTTAAATATTTTTTAGCTTTTAGTATTGTTAAAAAATTCAAATTTTAAATATTTTTCAACTGAATTCATAAATTATTTTTTTTTTGTAATTCCTAAAAAACGTAAGGAGCATAAACGGCAGCGTAGATTAAATTCATTTTTCCTCCAACTTTCACCAACCGGGGGAGTGGCGGAGTAGAAGATCCCCCTTTCACAGGACGAAGTAACCGAACGCTGGCAGCCTCCGGCTTCGTCTCCCTGATGTGAGTGCGCTGAAAATACAAGAGAAAAAAAAAAGAAACATAAACTGCATCTGCACATATAGCTATGGCGGCGTGTGTATATATATAACCCTAAATGGGTCAGCCAGCGACGACGACGACGACAGCAGCGACAAATAGTTGTCAGGTAGAGCGGGCGTTGCAAGGCCATTGCAAAGGGGGGGTGGGTGGTTGGCTGAAAAGGGGGCACAGCCATGGGGGTCAGAGAGGGTTATGACGTGTGTTTTGCTTTGACGCACTCGCTGAAAAGTTTGACCATCGGCGACGACGACGAGGGTTTGGCTTTAACCCCGAATAAGGCTCAAATCCGGCAAGGGCAGATTTCTTTGTTAGCCAAGATAGGAAAAATGAAAAAAAGCATAAAAAATATGAAAAGAAATTAAGGAAATATACATCAAAATATTTCCCAACATAATAAATATACTAAATAAATATAAATAAATATGTTTATAATCAATCTAAGGAATCTTGCAACTTATTTCAATCTTACATTTTTATTAAGAAATTAAATTCCTTAAATATTTATGTAAAACCTTTAACCAGTTTAGTTATTAATTTACATTATTTTTATATGTGTTACCCCCGGGCAATGTTTCCTGTTTGCCAAAGACCAAAAATAAAGCACAATATAAACGAGATGTTTTCAAACGTCGTTGTTCCCTCTTTTCGAAAAGAAAAACAACATTTCTGAATTCATAAATTAAAAGGAATGATGGGGGCGGCAACAGGCGGACGGGGAGGGTCTGCAAAAATTGTTTTAAATGCTTTCAACGAAAATAAAGGCAAAAATAGATTCATCCAGGCATAGACGAACTGATCAAGTTCCCTACACATGTTCTTCTCTAGTTTTTCATTAGTTTTTCCTCTAGGTTTTCTCTAGTTTTATTATTTGTTTCTAGTACTTTTTTCCCAAGCTAACCCACTGCCCTTTTCCATATCTGCTTCTGATGCTTCCCCCTGGAAGCCATGTTCTATATTTAAATTGTGAAAAACAAAATTGGAAATATACGAGGCGGAAAAAAAAGAACAGAAAGCTATATAAAAAAAAAAAAAAAAACGAACATCATCGAAAACACATTTCAAAATAGAGCCAGAGAGAGGGAGAAAGGCAAATTATTTTCAACAATATTGTGTTGTTGTTCTCTGAGCAGAACATATGTACTATATATACATATATATACGATATATATAGAAGACTGTTTCGTGATCGAAACGTTTTATTCGGCAAGCATTTTGCATATACCGATTTAAAGATTTTCGAATTACTTTCAACTGGCGTTGCAAGGAAAGGCAAGGCCCTCCTGTCTACGGGGCGTATGCGTGATTTCTTTGCTGTATCAGTCCCTGTGTGTTGCAGCGTCATCCGCCTATATATATACATATATTATATATATATTCCATACATACATTATATTTAACCGCCATAAAAATAATGCCGCTAAAACATTGATATTAACAAGACACAGATATATGTATGTATTTACAGGGCAAGAATTTACGATTCACAAAACTATACGAAAGTTTAAAGTTATGTTCGGAAAAGTTTTTCGATATCTAGCTGTAGCTGTAATATTAATTGCCTAAGAAAACTCTTGGGTTCAGGGATCTATTGTCTAGTGATTATTAAAAATAATAACAAATTCTGTTATACTCCTAAATAAATATTTTTTAAAGAATCTTTAACTCATAGTTTTAAGACTAATTTTTAATAAGTTTTTTACCTCATATTCTTTAAACTAGTTTCTTTATTTTTATTTATTATTATTATTTTTTTAGTTTTGCCCCGAAAATGTACTTGGAAATTCTAAAGCATAATTCAATAAAGATTTTTAATAGGCTCTTTACCTCATAGACTTTAAACTAGTTTCTTTTTTACTTTTGCTCTGAAAATATACTTGGGAATTCCAAGGCATCATTTTATGGTTATTATCCATGTTAAGGCTTACTGAATACCCTTTAATTAAGATTAACCATTCAAAGATACTGCTTTTATTGTATTTATTTATGTTTTTGTTGAGAGGAGTCCCTTTATATACTTTAAGGTGCTTTAACTAATTGGGAATTGTAATAAAAAATGTAATGTATTTTTCCCAATAATTTTAATTATTTAAAATTTAAATAATTATTAAATTAAATTATTATTAAATATTATTCTATTAAATTTTAACAATTTTCGCCTCAGTGTAATTTCAATTTCGTTAAGGAAACCCAACTGTATGCTTTAGTTTCAGGATTCTGGGCAAAGCTTCCAATCTCCAAGCCCATTCCCATTTCGACTCCTCCTCCTCCTACTTCTTTACACCCCAGATCCCCGACATCCGTATGCGAATCCAAATCGGAATCCGTTCTGGCCTGACTGTGACTGCACTGGCACGTCGTCGTGGCCCCTCCAACTGGAGCAAAACTTATTTTTATCCATTGCATTGAATTCCAAGCGGCTCCGTTTACACCGCCGACACAGGCAGAGGCACAGCCACGGGCAGCATATCGTCGTTGTGGTGATTCTCCAAGCTGCACTGCGTCCGGGAGGAGGGGAGCGGGATTCGGATTCGGATTCGGAACGAGCTCGGCCGAGCACCGTTCGTGTGGGACGAGAACTCTAACGGTGGAACTAGCTTTTTATCGGTATCCATTTCGGTTTTTGGGCAATCTATTTTTAGGCCTCACGCCCAGATACATGGCCAGCGCCACCCGCCACCATCCGTCCCGCTTCTCCTAATCCCTCCCAGCGCCTGCTCTCATTCTCGATCTCGTTCTCCCTCTCTCTCTCTCTCTCTGCGCCGTGAAGGACGGCGGGCAGGTGGGCGGCGTTGGAACGATCCGTATCTGTATCCGTTGGATAGCTGGCCGCCAGAATATAGTCTGCCGTGGATCGTCGGACCGTTCAGTCTTTTTGTGTCGTTCAGTATCATCCGATTCGTGTGATCGACAGCACAGCCGAATTTTTTTTTGCTTTTTTTTCTAATTCCTTGAAGGTGAGTGAGCCTGAAAAGCGGAGCCACAACGCCAGCCAGCCAGCAACACAGAGCAGCGTCAACAAAAAAAAAATTAATAAATAAAACCAAATAACAATCGAACTAAAAGTCAATAATAATAATAGTAATTAAAGACAAAAAACTGTTACCAAAAAAAAAAAAAGAAATAAAATCGAACCAGAAAAGCAATACAAAAAGCAAAGACAACGAACGAAAGCCAAGTTCTATTGGCCATAAACCCAAATATATATCTATATGTATCATATATATCTACATATATCGTGCGTGTATCCCTAAAGGATATATATTTTTTTTTCTTTTTTTTACTCAACATTTTTTCTACTATTTTTTTCAAGTGATAAATGATTTAAGAAAGTGTTAAAAAAAAAAGCAAAAAAAAAACGAAACAAAAGCAAACTCCAAGGAAAAGCCAAAGGAACAAATATATACTTATCTATTTCTATATATTTTTCTTTATTTTTTTTCACGTTATGTAAGAAGTTGCAGTGTATGTGTGTGTGTGTGTGCGTATGTGCGTGACTGTATGTGTGTGGTGTGTGCGTGAAAGCTAAAAATGTATCCAACAGATACAAGATACATTTCGAAAAACAAGCCAAGAAAAGCCTGAAAGTGCCTCAAAATAGAACGAAGCAAAAAGCGAGAATTTTGAGAATCCCAAGAAAAAGAGACAGGAAGAAACACACACTCATACACACACACGCACGCACACTCACACACCCTTACACTTGTACAGAGAGAGAAATATATGGATATCTGTCTTGCCGCACTTTTGGATTTAATAATTTCTACGAATTTCTTGTAGATGTTTTTTTTTATTCGTATTTTTTTTTTATTCTAATTTTTTTTAATTCTAATTTACTTATAAACAAATGTGTGTGTGGGAGTATGCTTTCTTTTTTTTTTCCTCCCAAAAAATCTTGTATCTATAAACAGGTTTATTTTTAAACCCCACACAGACACTAGATACAATAGAATCTCTCGCACTCAGATCCTACATAGTCTATATATCTAGTATATAATCTCTAAAGACTCTGTAGCCGAAGGTCGCCATTGTCAGAAGATTTTTTTTTTCACGCCTTACCTTCCTTGCTAAAAGGTGCGCTAATATATAAATAAACCCTCTAGAACCTGACCATAAGGCAAAACTGAGCGACATAAACAATGTTTAGACAATACAGATTTCAACATTATTACGAAATAATTTAGAAATTATATTTACTTGGGAAATGCAGTAATTTAAATGCATTAAAAATGATTAATTATCAGAAATAACTAAGAAAATCTTACTAAAACAAGCTTTAAGGGGTGAAAACCTTATTCGTAAAATTATTTATTAAAATTCTTAAAAAAAAAACACCCATTATAAGGTTTATTTTGCCTTTTAAAAGTCTAGAAAAGAAATAGAAAAAAGCTTTTAAAACAAAACTATAACAAATTATTAGAAAAACAAGTCACAAAAAAGGTATACCAATATATGAGCTCTCAAATAAGTAATTTTACAATTAAAACCCAAAGGGATTAAGGAGTTTAATGAGTTCAAGGAAAAGTTCTCTCTTAACCTCTCTCTTAACCCCGTCCCTTTGAGATCCTAACAAATCTTCGATATTCCTTGGCATTCATTTGTAATCGGATATCAAAGAGCGAAGCTATTGCTCGCCCACGCAACAGTAAATAGGCGAAAGAGAGAGAGAGAGGGAGAGACCGCTCTCACGAGAGAGTGATCTGTGGCTGCTCCCATATACGGCATGGCCACAGCTGCGTATACGTAATATGCCGCTATATGCATTGCGCATACGCACTGTGGGCGTTAAGAGAGAGAGAGAGAGAGGGAGCCATTGATTTATGGTTTAAACATATCCGCTAAAAAAGCAGAGATATATAGATATAGATATATATATATAGGACATTTGGGAATGATGTCATCGAACATTTCCACTCAGCATTCACCTCCAGTTTCCAGCACCTTCAGCTCACCTCTCGCTTTCCTTCTCTGTTTCACTTGCAGTAACCAAAAACACAAATCAAAATGGCTGATGATGAGGTGAGGTGAGTATCGCTCAATTAGAGATCCCCTCCAGTGAAAACCAGTTGGATTAACACAACATTCCACCTCCCCCCTTTCTCCTGCAGTAAAGCATTATATTCACACTGTACACGCACCGGCATCGGGCTAGGATTCTAATGGAATTCGGATGGCATTTACTGGATTTATGGCTACAATTGAGGTAAGTAGGTTAGAGTTTTAGGGCCAAGCCATACCCCCCGCCACAATGCCTTGCTCTTGCCACCCACAGGATCGCTAAGCAGCGCCCGCCTTTAACCACTTTCGCTTAAGGATCCCCTGCCGAACGACACCGATAATGATAATCAACATCGAAGCTATGTCTGTTATCGTTAGTGTGTGTCCACTGTCCACTGTCCTCTTTTTCTGTCACTCTGTCACTGTCCTCGCCTTGTTTCCGGTTCCGGTTTGTGCAAGGAGAAGCTGCAAAAAGCTATTATTTCGAAAAAAACTATTAAAAAAAATACTTAAAAAATAGATAAACCTTTCAAAATGAAGTTTAACTTTATTTATTTCATTTATTTAAAAGAAAAAAAAAATTACAAATGTTGTTGGTGAAATTAACCTTACAAAGTGAAGTTTAACTATATTTGGGAAACCCAGAGACCAACCTCCCTTCCAGTGTAACCTAAAAAGGATACAAGTTCTTGATTTAAAGAAGATTCCAAAGTAGATTCCTTTCCCGGAATAATAATCGGCCATCTTTGGCAGCTTTCTCCCATGCATAACCATTAGCTGTTTTTCATTTTGTTTATTATAAAAATTTAACTAATCTCATATTTTTTAAATTTCTTTACAGAAAAAGGCAGCAGCTCCGGCTGCAGCTGCAGCTCCGGCAGCGGCCAAGCCGGCGGCTGCGGCACCGGCAGCAGCGGCAGCGGCTGCCAAGCCAGGAGCAGCACCGGCAGCCAATGGCAAGGCGGCGCCTGCTGCTGCTGCTGCCGCACCCGCCGGTCCGCCCAAGGATCCCAATGATCCCAAAGTGAAGGCCGAGGAGGTACACTTGTGTACGTGTGTGCCCGTAACCGTAACCATGTCCGTCTCCGTCTCCGTTTCCGTATCCGTGTCCATGTGCCGTGTGTGCGACTGTCCAGTTGGATGTGGACCCAGGCGAAGCTGAACTCCAATTGTTCTTGTTATTTTCGATTTGCAGGCTAAGAAGGCTAAACAGGCTGAGATCGAGCGCAAGCGTGCTGAGGTGCGCAAGCGCATGGAGGAAGCCTCCAAGGCCAAGAAGGCCAAGAAGGGTTTCATGACCCCAGAGAGGAAGAAGAAACTCAGGGTAAGTTTTGGGTGCTTATCAGGTGAATCTAAAAATGATCCTCATCCACCTTTGAAATCTCTCTCTCTTTCAACAGTTGCTGCTGCGTAAGAAAGCCGCTGAGGAGCTGAAGAAAGAACAGGAACGCAAAGCGGCTGAACGTAGACGCATCATTGAAGAACGTTGCGGCAGTCCCAGGAATCTCAGCGATGCCAGCGAAGGTGAGTTGCCTCGGTCCACGAGTGTCCCCCCTCAGAAAGCAAAAACCCGGCTGGACAGCTGCAAGGCAAGCGGGAATGCCAATCGAAGCTGTAACCTGCCCTGCAGCTGCCGCCGGGTAATGACATAAAAGAAATGATGATGATGATAATGAATAAAAACAATGAATGGAAAAATAAATCGAATCAATCAATAAGAAGAGCGGCAAACGGATCTAGCACATCCGTTTGCCGCAAATTAAACTTAAAATTATAAATGAAAGTTATACAAGTGTCATCTATCGCATACATACACCACACTCACACACTCACCCATATCACATCACATAACACACAAGGACACGAAGCATATGAGTCCAGGATAACCGATTTACCCGCAACACCAACGGATCTCAGCGTTGCAGAGGAGTCTTCTACTAGTCTTAACCGCATTGTGTTGAACATATGTATCTAAACGTGTCTCTATTTCTATCTCTCTTTGTCTGTCGATATCCCATTCCAACATACCCCACTCCAACACTCCAAAACACACCAAAATACACAAACCTACACCAACCTACACCAACACTCCAACATACCAATACTCCAACACTCCAATACCCACTGAGAACAGACACACTCAAAACTCTGATCAAGCAACACTATGACAGGATTAATAAATTGGAGGACCAGAAATATGATCTTGAGTATGTTGTTAAACGCAAGGATGTTGAGGTACACATACACCACCAACTTTTTATGCGCCTCCTAAATACGCCTAAGTCTATCCTCGATCAAAATCAAAAGTCTCGAGCTCTCTTAACGCTTAACAACAACAACAATAAACACCTTCTGTCAGCTGTCTCTCTCTATCTATCTCTTTGTATCTTTTTCTATATATTTTTATATCTAAATCTTGATTGTATAATACACTAGATGTTCGTGGAAGTGTTATGGCCCGAACTAAGCACTAAAACTGTACAGAAAACTCAATAGCTATAGCTTTTCACCACGATAACAGGTCTCTTTCTATATGTCAACTCTATATGCAGAGAAGTGTATATGTTAGGTTATCTCTCTCTCTACCTCCCTCCCTCCCTCACACACTATACACTACAAACTCCTACACCATTCAGTCAATCAATCAACACACACGATACACGACACACTTATCCAGATCGAACCCCCTGTTAACCACACTTCGTTCCCCAGATACTCTTCAGAAAGTTTGTCAGGACTATCACAGTAAGACACTGAAACTGGAGTCCGAAAAGTACGATCTCGAGCACGAGGTAGCCAGAAAGGACTTTGAGGCAAGCAGCCAGTTGATACAGTTGATATACAAATAGAGTTTCAATCTCTCGCAGATCGTAGAACTTGTCGATAACTCTTTAGACAGACACCAACGCAAACCAGCTAAAAAGATATATGCAAATATTGCGGATCTCAATACGTATTTGTGTGTCTGCGTGTCTTTATCTTTATCTTCTTCTTTTTTTGTGTCCGGCGGACTAGCAAACGTAGTTAACCCCAAACGGGGCGAGAACTGTACCCCCGAAACACATCGAGGTGTCTGGGCACCCGAGAATAGATCAACGCACTTGTAGAGCACAGTATATACCATATAGAAAGTAGAGCCCTAGTCTCAAAGCAGCTAACCCGTAAGATAAGAGCCTACAGATCGGGATCTATTATATACTATATATATACAGGACCCGGTCGAAAGTAACTTCGCTGCCTTCAAGTACTAAACAAAATGAAAAAAAAACCCCAGCCGATTGCAACAAATGTCGAGACGATACCTTTTTTGATGTCACCGTATTTGTGTGCGACTTATTTTGCTTTTTGCGGCTTTAGCTTTAAGCTTACTTTTGTGGCTACACAAGATTTTTGGCTTTTTACTGTAGCAAACACTACAATATTTTTTGTATTTTTGTGATTTTGTTCAACAACAAAAGCTTTTACTAATACTAAAACCAAACAAAACAAAAAAAATAATAATATTAATAATAATAAACAACCGTAAACTAGAAGGGAACGTTGTTAAGTAGCGCAGGTACCAGAGGTTAGGGCCAGCCACGTACAGTCATTCCAGAAGTACAGTCACGAACCAAAAACCAAAACAATTACAAACACCGATACCGTTACAGACCTTTACACTTCATGTTGCACGCAAAAACGAAACACTGTCTTACATTTAGAACATATTTGTAGGTGATAAAGAACTCGAGTTCAATCTATAACTTTATATTAATCAAATCTTAATCTAATCCTTCTTTTTCTCGAAAAACGCGCCAACCAAACAATCGAACTATCAAACAATCGAACAAACAAAACCAACAAACAAAATCAAATTGAAACAAAAACAATTTAATGCGTCGTTGTCGTCGTCTCTCTCTTTCTCTATCTATCAATCTCTATCTGTCTATCTCTATCTCTCTATACATCTTTTACACTCTTTCTATCTTTATCTGTATGTCTTTAACTACATCTATCTCTGTTTCTACGTCTATGTCCATGACACTCCTTTCTTTTCCCCCACCCTCTCTGTCTCTCACTTACTCACTTTCTCTTACTTTCACTCTCTATCTGAATCTATCTCTCTCTCTTCTTTGATCCGTACCCGACACACACACACACACACACACGCAAACATACGAACACGCACAACCGACACTCGCACATTGAATCCGAAACAAACTTTGTCGTTACGTCTTCTCAATCACGTTACGCCAACGCGACGTTACTGTTTACCGCAGCCGAACTGCAAACAATATGCAAACAATATTGGCAACGCCTTTACAATTTGGAGGGCGATAAGTTTGATTTAGAACACGTGCAGAAAGTCAAGGCCCAAGAGGTAAATTCCCCAAGATTTACAAACAAGTTTGTCCATGCACCCAAGAAAAAATATATATAAAAAACAAAAAACGAATACGAAAACAAAAATAAGAAAAAGAAACCAAAATCGAATGTTTTTTTCTTACTTTCCTATCAAGCAAAAAAAAAAAAACAATATAAGATATTATACATAAATCGATTATTAATCATAACTTTACTTTACAATTATGCCCTTGATATTTAATTACTTGATTTCATTTCTAAATATTTCCTAATCATATTTTTAGTTTTTTACTGCGATACTTCTGTTCGTTTTACCTAATTTTGATATTGTTTTAACTGCGCTAAACTACAGAAAAAAAAGAAACAAACAAAAAATATCAGAGAGATCTTCTCGCTTCAAACATATTGGCGGCGGCGACGGAGGAAACTGTACCCAGTCCGACCGTGTACATACATCTATCCGCCCGGAAACGGACTGTTTACAGGCACTGTTTCCCCGTCGCCATCGTCATCCCCAAGCCACTTCTTCGGTCCGCCGAAATGGAAGCTTGTAGGACTGTCTAAGGACTACCTTTTGACTAATTGTCACTTTGAACTAAACCCGAATAATATGGACTCGACAAATGGAACGCGCTTCCAATAATGAGACAATAACGTAAACCGTAACGATCGCTTCCGTTCCATTCCGTCTCGTTCCGATCCGGTCCGCTCCGTGGTGTTCCGTTCCCCAAATATCGAATGTCAGAACAGAAACAGAAAAAACCAAGCGAAAATTGAAGAATTGAAAACTCATCGAACACATAACATCTAATGAAGCTGCGAAACAACAAACGATAAGTTATATATCAATAACCATTATTGCGATAAACCAAAAGAAAACTCTATAAACAGTAAATGCCAATCATAACTAGTTTTAGTCATACCTAGATTTAAAACTTTTTATCGAAAAACGTCGATCGCCGATATAAGCTAACGAAATTTAAAATATATATATATATATATATATATATATATATGTGTATACATATATATACAAAAAACAAAATAAACTAAAATCAATCAAAACCAAATCCCGAAAAATAAAATGTTTTTGCAGGCGAATTGCAAGAGATTTGCGAAGAGTATTACGAGCGTATGTATATTTGTGAAGGCCAGAAATGGGATCTGGAATACGAAGTCAGGAAAAAAGACTGGGAGGTACTGCAACAATTTCAATTTCAATTTAAAACGTTCAATTCTCGTTCTCAATCAATCAATTTCAAAAACTCTGAATACAAAAGAACAACCAACCAACCAACAAAACTCACCCAAAGACAGAATGCAACATGCAACAAAATTGTATCAAAACTAAAAATTGAATCGATTTTCTAAAGTATTCATTTGAGTTCTAGTATCATGTTCGTTTCCGTTCCGTTCAGTTCCGTTGTTTCTTTCTTACTTGTTGAATGCGCATCAAAACATGTCTCTTAGTTTGTATCTGTTTTACTTGACTGTTTCACAAAAAAAAAAAATATGAAAAACAAAAAAGAAATAAAATCCTTTTGCGTCCCAGCGCCCCCAGAAGCATATATGTATGTATGTGGGTATCGGTGGGTGCACTATTGTGACTATTTTTCGTACTACTCCCTGTTCGATTTCAATTTTCAATTTAATTCCGAGTTCCAAGTTTCTAACGTCGCTGTTACTCACGTTTAAAGCCAAAAGACTCAAAAAACGGAAACACGAATCAGCCACAAAGTCATCGCTGAGAACGCGAGGATTGCCAACAAATCGTTATCGAAACTATCGACCACTCAACGCATTTCCGGTCCACTGGCACTCAAAGTGTGACCAGATGCCGTGCCACTAGGCACGTGCTCTCAGCGAAGTTATATCCGAACATAAAGTGAGGTTGAATCTGCTCCCAAGCGCACATAAGCACGAAAACACAAGTCACTGGCACCGCCACTCCCCTCCTTTCATATCAAATTGTTAAATTTAACTGGCAATCCAAGTACGCTCATCAGTCACCCCTCTCTCTCTCTCCCTTGAAACAAAAAAAAACTTTATACAATATGCGATAAACGATAAACGCATTAAGACAAAACAAGAATAGAAAACAGCAATGTAGTATTAGTAAATTGCACAACTACAACAACGGCAAGATAACTAGTTTGTTGCACCATTTGTGAACTTTGTTTTGTGTGTGTGTTACTTCTCTTTTTTTCTCTAACTGTAACCAACAATTTGTTTGTGCCGCTGTCGTCGCGTTACAGCCACTACTATATTCAACTGCACTTTAGTCTGTGCGTCCGATCCACAAACACAATTACAATTAAACAATTACAAGCACAAGTACACCAAGCACCCGAGCACACTAGCACAAACCAAAAAAGTACAGTCACGCCCACAGTTACACAGCACACGATTCGCAAAGCAATGCACGCACGCACGCGAAACTTTGCATGCAGCAGTACAAGAAATATACAAAATAAAATAAACACACAAAATAAAACAAACAAAATACACCGAAACGACCGACAAAGCAGCAAAAGCAGCCAAGAACCCCAATCCCGATCAGCCACGACCTATACTGCCCGCTCTGCCCAGCCACCAAATCTATTCCCCGCACTTCATTGTAAATAATGTCAGTGTACATTGTTCTCATTGCCGCTCACACTCTGTCTATCTCTCTGTTTTTCTGTCACTCTTTTTCTGTTTTTCTATTACTGTCTCCTGTCCGCGAAAAGCCGCCAAAAAAAGAAAGAAACAAAAATCTAAAAAATTTAAAAAGAAAAGCAAAGCAAAGAAAAACCGAATTCCAAAGTTGAAAAGCATAAAAGCCAAGCGTCGATTACTTCTCGATTGTAAATCACTTAATGCTAGCCTACTAAACGTGATTACCGATTACCGAGACCGATAACCGTTACACGATTACCCGCCAGGAATCAGCGTGCGCAGCCGAACAAACAAAAATCGAAAGAAAGAGAAACAAGCACAGCAAAGAAATGAAAAAAGCAGATCAGGAAATGCAACACAAAACAAAATAACGAAGGGGAGCAAGCAGAGGATAACGATAACGATAGCGATAGCGATAACGATCCCAATAAGCAGTACCTCAGTACCCCACCAGTCGCCCATTTGGGTTTCAGTCTCTGCTTCCGTTTCAGTTCCAGTCTACGTTTCCATTTCCATTCCAGTTGCAGTTCCAGTCAGGCCAACGTCGCTCGATCTGTCTCACCCACTCCGTATCCGAATCTGACTCTGACTCTCACGCCCCCTCTCTATCACTCTGTCGCTGTTTCACTCTGACTCTCTCTGTCTCTGTCTAGTGTATATATGTATAAACGAAACAATACTCTCTATAAAACTACAAATAAAGCATTAAAGCAAAAGCAATCGACATTTGGATGTTATGCTGTTCAATCAACGAGAGGCGCGAGCTGAAAACCCCCAATAAAGTAGCGCCAAACCACGAAAATCCGAAATCCAACCAATCGAAACCACAGCCAAAACGCAATTACCACTATCCTCGTCTCGCTCCCACTAGGCAGTTTTAGATCACTGAGAACTTGGCTCGTATGGCTGGCTCGCTCGCTCGCACGCACTCACTCACTCACCACTCTCTCTCGCACGCCAGCACGTACCAGTAGCAGTACCTAGTAATAGTTTTAGTTAATAATAGCATTAGCAATGGTAGAGTATCGTATCCCCTATATATATAATATGTCTCTGCATCCCGTTTCCTGTGTCCCCTTTGCATGCTCGCCCGCAAAAAAATCGAAAACCGAAGCCAAACTTCTTCAAGCAGCATTTTGATTTTGATAGTTGCCCGCCGTAGCTGTAGCATTACGTGTCGATAGACCGACTGCCAACAATAGAATATTTTTCACTAATCGCATAACCATTCTCTTCCCAACTCTCTCTCTCTCACTCAACACAGATCAACGATCTCAATGCCCAAGTTAACGATCTTCGCGGCAAGTTGTAAGTACACACCAGCAATTCGATATGTCGGCGATTATTAATCGAATTTTCTACCCTTTCAAACCTGCAGCGTCAAGCCAGCCCTGAAGAAGGTCTCCAAATACGAAAACAAATTCGCCAAGCTGCAGAAGAAGGCCGCTGAGTTCAACTTCCGCAACCAGCTGAAGGTGGTGAAGAAGAAGGAGTTCACGCTGGAGGAGGAGGAGAAGGAGGTAAGTTTCGAAACGGGTATCCACTAGGGGAGTCCTATGTGCTAATAATCGACAATCGACAAACGATTAAACTCTACTCGACGTCGAGACAACATGACACCGATCTTTATATCTGATATCTATCTCTCCTGCCGACGTTTTAGAAAAAGATAAAAGATGCCGCTGTGCTAAAGCAAGCCAAAAAGTGTAAGATTCCTGAGTGTGTGATCCAGAACCAGATTCCTTCTGTTTGTCTTGAGCACCCGTGTGCACCGCAACCGCTCTATATGTCTCTCTTTATATAAATACTATATACTATTTCTTTTGTCGCACACTGATCCGTATCCGTATCTGTCCTTTCTACGATCTGTAGCTGTCTTTAGTCAGTAGTTTGAACCACTCTCACACTCTGTTTTGATATCACACAAACACACGATCTGAACGTTGAAGGTCAATTTGATAGATTTTTATCGATAATATCATCAAGACTACATTCAATATTTATTCTCAAAAAGAGAATATCAAGTTGACCGACAATTATTTCTTTTTTCGACGCATTCTCCTCACTTGATCGATATTTTTCGATAATATTATCGAGACTAAAAGATGTAAGATTTGTTCAATCTTACCTTTATTCTCAAAATGAGATCATCAAGTTGACCGACAATTATCTCTCCTCACTTGTAAATGTAGATCACAGACACAATGTAGTTTTTAGAGCCGGCACCGAGCATCCAGATGTTGTATGTGGCCACCGACTCTTAGATACCCTTACTAATTACGATATATTTTCTTGTTTCTCCTTCGTTTATGCCAACCATGATCGATCCACATCCACATATCCGACGACCCCAATGAGCAGAAGAAACCCGACTGGTCCAAGGGCAAGCCCGGCGATGCCAAGGTGAAGGAGGAGGTTGAGGCCGAAGCTTAAGTGTCCGCACGTCCACTAGTGTCCACAACCGACCCGTGACTCCCGCCCTAAACAATAATTGAAATTATTTACAACAATTATCTGAAGCAATACCATTTATATCAATCTATTAATACAATATATATCTACAAATATATATGCATGTATATATCTCGCCAATATATACATATGTGTCACAATGGATTTTGAACAGAAATGAAGTCAATAAACAACAACAGCAACAACAAATAAATCAACTCTAAGAATCAAAATCAAAACTCAGACTCAAACTCAAACTCAACTGCTACAAATAATTCAGATCAACGATTCAAACAACAGCCAAACATCTGAACACCTTGATGAATTATTGATTATATTTCATTATTTACAAATTATATTTTTTAATGTAAATTAAATTAAATTACAAAAAAAAAAAGAAACAAACAGCAAAGTCTCGCACATTCTTTCTATACATATGTCTAATATCTATCGCTGATCCATTGATCATTATTATTCATTATTCATCATTATTATTCGCACAGAACAACACACCCAAAACACTTAGCAAGGGGATATTATTTTTCAGACCTGGTTTTAAGGTAATTCTTCGCTGAAAGAATTGCCTGGACAGATAAAACCATCTAATTTGTACGATAAAAAAAACTTTGAATTGAATTTCCTCCCCACGAACAAATATTTAACACTTTTCAAGTGTGGCCACGTGGAAATATAAATTAAAAATAGCATATTATATTATATTCTATTTATTTTTTTTTTTTTTTTTTTGCATCTATCTCTGCCGATTTCCTGATAATATATTAATTTGTATGAAAGGGTTGCACATTAACTTTCGTCTGCGATTCTTATTACTCTAACCAAAAACCAACTCTTTGGGTGAGGCCTGATTTGTTTTAATATTTTGTCTAATATATGTGGATATTCAGTCAATCAGATACCTAGCATTACTAAAGTACATTTTTACTAGGAATGATTACTTACTATTTTGTATTTGCAAAAAGCTCATTTTTTGTGTATCTATAAAAATGCAGGCAAGTAATCGATAATTTATGTAATTTTTTTGGTTATCGAAATAGTTATCGAAATGTTTAAAAATTTGCAATAATTTTGATTTCTTAAATTTTTAAATTTAAGTTGACTTATCAATTTGTTGGTTTATAAAAATATAAAATCAACAGGCAAGTCGGCTTAGCCCCTTTATTTGCAATAAATTGATCAATAAATAAATAATTTTAAAAATTATACAACAAAATATATATAAAAAACGAAACAAAATATTAATAATCACTCGCTTGACACAATAATTCCCAACTAGTTCTAGCATCTTCTGAGTGGTAAACCATCTGAAAGTTAGGGTTTAGTGGTAGGTAGTGTGGTTGGGTGTTTGTGTGGTAGTGGTTATTCTATCCTAAAGGGGTTTAAGATCAAAAAGAAATCAAGGATATTGATCAATCAGAGGAGCGTAGGACCAATGTGAGTATACAAAATATTTGATATTTAACTTAAAGACCGAAGGCCTTAGATGCTATGGCTCTTTACCCATAGTTAGCTCTTAGTTTAGAACTATTTGTTAGCTTTAGATAAATAAATAAATAAACTTAAAGATCCCGTTAATCTGAACATCAAGATTAAGACTTTATCAAAGATTTCTCAATCTTTGAAAACTGAGTATACCTTCTAGTACCGCGGAATTTAATAAAAATACATTACCACTTGCATTTAGATATGCCAATTATAATAGACTATCCCGGAATAATCAAATTAAAAATAAGAATTCCTCGCTTACAGCCATGTTCAATTGGAGTTTATTAAAAATGATTTCACCAAGAATTATCCCCAATGACTGCATCCATTCCGTATGGACAGAAGCGACACACCTACTTGAAACTTAGGTGCTTAGGGGGGTCTTTGCATCTGGTCGAGTGGCCATCGTAATAATCCCAATGCTAGGATCCGGGAGGACAAGTGGCTGTCCTGCTGTGCACATTTAATCCAATTTATCAAAAATATAAAAACGCCATATGCACCTAATTGATGCTAATACCCTTGGACAGCAAATATTTTCAAAAATTCAATTAGGAAAGCTGTTCCCAGTTAGTTTTTAATAGGGTACTAAATCTGCATACTTTTAATTTAATTTAAATATTAATCCAAAATTGTATACAATTTTTGGGAAAAACAAAACCTTAAAAATCTATAACTAAGCCAAAAATGAACTAAATTCAATTCGGAAAGCATTTTTGTGTTAGACATCATAGAGTTAATAAATCTGCATACTGAACTTAAGTTCTTTTTAATTCCATTTTTGTTGTGCTATTTTTTAACATTTTAACAACACCTTTCTAGATAACTTGAGCCTGAGACTTGAAAAAAAAACGCGTTCACATTCATTTTGGGACTTCATTTATATAAAACTTTGACTATGGTTACATACTACATCTAGACACTAGTTTTGGTTATATCTAAAGTGGAAGGCGTGGGTATCGTTGGAGCCGCGTTGGCCAGACTCCTGCTGGACATGATTCCAGGAGCAGGACAAGTCTTGGATCGCTTAGGCAATGTGGCTGCCCGCAAGTAGGGATTGTCGATATTAGGATTCTCCAGTATTGCCTTGTTTGTGGTGGAGTTGGGTTTGATCTCCAGCTCAGGCTTCTCCTCCTTGGACTTGTCACCGTCCATCTCCTCATTGTCGCTATCGCCCTCCTCGCCGTCTTCTGTAAATAGAGCGAATATCCATATTTAGAAAATGATTTTGGGGGATATTGGGAGAGGCAAAGACGCACCTTTACTGGGTGCATCTTCTGTCCGATTAGCCACTAGGTAATGGTACTCCAGTTCCTCAAAGTCAAACACCTGATCCGTGGGATTCAAAGCGGCAGCATAGGGCGGAAAAGCGGGCTTACAGGCAATCACTAAATGGGAGATTATACAATATAAAAAAAATATAAAATATTTTGAGCGTTGCGTGGCACTTACGGGGAAACATGTTGTCCTCGGTGGGAAAGAGATTGTTCGTCTCCGTGGTCTTGCACAGGAATTTGGTGAGCGCCTTCTCAATGTCCCGCTTCTGGCAGGCGGCCTTCTCGCGGATCGCCTCATACTCCGTCACCGGCTGCTTGTGCGTGGGCGTTCGTATGTATGCATGCGGATCCGGCATCGCCGGGAAGTAGCTGGGCACGTAATGCGGATGCGAGGATTTGCTCCCAGCTTGGAGCAGGCTTAGCTGGCGCTGCTGCGTCTGTTGCGGCGGCAGGGCTATGGGCGTATGGGCCTCCCTCCGCATGTACGGATCCAGGCTGCTGATCGTGATCCCCATATTAATGAGGGCCAGGCTCACATCGCCCACGGTGGGCATTGTGCGTCCGCTCAGCTCGCAGTAGTTGTGCGCCGAGTTCCCGATCTCCACGATAACTGCAAAGGTGAGAGGTGGGAGCTACAACAGGGTACGGACAATGCTTTTATTTAGACTTACGTGCCTGCAGCATCTGGGTGAGCGTCTCCAGGCACTGGTTGCTCGCCTGGCCGGCGCCCTTGTCCAGCAGTAGCTGCGACACCGTCTTGCTCAGCAACCGCCGGTAAGCGTCCACGTTGGGCACGTATACAGCCTCCACCTTCTCCATAAGTCCTTAAAGTTCGGTTTGTTTACGTTTTTGTCAAAAATATAAGAAAAGCGAGCGAAAATACTCTTGAAAACGATGAAACTGTCCTACGGGGAAAAGTGGTGATTTTACGCGGTCGCCATCTGGTCACACTGGAATGGAGCAAAGCTGCCATGACATTGGTCAAATACACGAAAAGTCTGGCAGCACTGGTGAGTTGCCAGACTGAACGTGTACGTAGAGTTGGGAAACTATCGATAGTGGCACCATTCGATATTTTCGATGTTTTGAATACGAAAATTCGATACTATCGATAGTATCGCTTTTTTACCATTCTTTTTGCAAATTAAAGTTATAGCAATTTAAAATAGAATTATATTACTACTAGCGGACCCGGCGAACTTTATCTCGCCCCAACTTCGACTGATTAAAACAAATTAAATTGAGACGTTCCGTTTCTACTTTGACGTACATTATTACCTTACCTTATTCCTATCTTCTCCTAAAATTTAAATTCAAAATTAGTTGATAATCAAAAAAAAGTGATGACTTTTAAACAAACCTTTCGTTGGATTGACAAATTTTTTTGACCTGAAATTAGTGCAGAGCGATCTGATATACAATGTTTTTTGTTTTGTTATCCGGTGCAAAAATAAATAATGATGACGGCTTTCCCACACGCGAACAGGCTACGTATAGCTGGCCATGTGAAAGACATGGATATTCCAGATGTATCCCGCAGACTTCCAACGATTGGCCTTGCGATTTATTGATTGTCATCGCAAATGCCAATCGAACTGGGAACTGACTCCTCTTGAATTGGAATGGAAGATCTGTTGGAATAATCGGAATTCGTGATGACTTTTAAACAAACCTGTCGTTGGATTGACCATCTTTATGTTGAAGTGATACCCATCTTCTCCACGACAGAACATCAACGGGTATTGAAGAGCATCATAAGACCGATGAGTCTCATAAACTCGCTGCAATTGGCCATTATCCCGACGCTTAAGAACAATATCGCGTGATTCAACATTCTCGCCAACAATCACCACTGCGACTTCATTGATAGTGGGAGCATTAAATTGTCTTGCATGGCTACCAGTGGGTCTTTTGTCAGCGCTGATAATGATTTTATGTTCGTCATAATGCATTATATCCAATGCGGTTTTAAACAATCTGACCAATTCATTATGCTCATGGAGAAGGTTTGCAATTGTTGAATAATTTCACGTTTAGTTGCAGTAAAAATTGCACAGCGGTGATTTAGTTCAACTTCCGAATCACCAATGAAATAGATCTGAAGGAATTTATGATCTTTGTTTTGTGGTGGTAACAAAGCGCCCGCTCGGTGGTGAATTTGCCCTTGAATCTGAATGTTGGGATGCAATTTTGAAAAAATGTGATAATAAAGAGACGCCATTACCTTATAACTTGGATTGTAGCCTGATTGTTGAACAACCTCGGCTCCAAAAGACATCATTTGAAAGCATCCGTTATATTTTTGTGCAAGCTTCAGGAAACTATTTGATTGGGCTGAGTTTCCATATAGTAGCGAGTACAATGGCTCTGGTGGATGAGCCAAAACGGGCAATTTCATTTTGCCACCTGCACAGCATAAGCCGGGGGTTTCCAGCCGAAACTTCAATGCATTACAATGCTGACATACAACAGATAATGAACCAATAACAACGCACGTAAGATCCTTGTAGGATGTTTCAGGATTGTATGGGAATGCAGCGCGATTCAAGTTTTCATTTGCGGCTCGTCTTCCTCTATTATTTTGTCGGGCTTGAGGTGGTCTTTGTGCAGCGCGAAGCTGTGCCATTTGGGCACGTATCGATGCATTTATTTCTGTACGTTCCTCTTGCGTCCGACTATTACGGAAATTCTGATTATTTATTGCACTGCGTGAACGCCGCCCAAGATTTGATCGTCTAACAGCAGGCATTACTTCCAATTGTTTAAGCTCACTTTGGTAATGCTTCGTTAGCTCGATTTTTTTGTTTAAATATTTTTTTACCGAGTTCATTGATACACAATTTCAACGCAGCTATGATCTTTGTAGGGTGTTTCAGAATTTTACATACAACAGTGTGTCCATCTGTTGAGCCGCTAGCGACCTTTCCGGAAGGACTTTCCAAAATTTTCTTATGCTATAACCTTCTTCTGGCAATTACAAAAAACTGAAAAAAAATTTGATCCAAATCGGCCCAGCCGTTCTCTTGTGATTTGATCCCTAACATTTTTTGTCTCCATTTTTATATATATAGATTCAATATGTTTTGACTAAGTAATTAACATAAATATTCTATCCAAGCAACTTTGCACAAATAAAATTGTATTACCATTGCTAAACATACGCTTATACTGTCTTCCCACACAGCGCATCTGTGAGGAACGTTTGGGATTTTTCGCAGATGCGAAACTCGTGTTCCCACAGAGCTGCATCAAAGTGCATCTGCATCCGAACAGCTGATCGATCAGCTGTGGCTCATGAAAACGTAAACAAAGGCGGTCGAATTGGCAGTTGCAAATTTGAAATGGAGCATTTACCAGCTATTTTGGCTGTTGTACAACAGCAAAAGGCACAGATTGCGTCAGAATTTATCCGCAATAAATTTAAATGACTTAAATGACAAGGAATTTTAGTTTTTCTAATGATTTTTCTCTAACAAAGAGCAAATTCACCGAAAAGTGTCTATAGGTGGTATAGGCATCCAAAATCTTTAAAATAAGGTAGAGGTAGGCGGTTTATATTAAATAGTAACAATTGGGGACATATTGGGGCAAGAATATACCGAAAAAACGCCAACATCTATTTTGGGCATGCTTGTAGCTTTGGCGCCACGTTTTAAATTCCATATCTCATTTGTTTCTCGCCAAGTGTGTATACACTTTCGTAGTGATGGTCAAATTTTCAGAGTTGCACCGAAGAACTATCGCCAAACAAACGGTCGTTACATTTAGATGCGCTTTGATGCAGGGCCAATTGAGAAAATTCGGAACGGCAAAACCTTATGGACCGTTTGTTCAACGGATGCCAGATGCGCTTTGACGGTGTGTGGGAAGACCCTATTAGACTCTGAAGACGTGGCGTAGACCCCTTTCTTTTGAGATTCAGTTAATATTTTTCACCACCAACTCCAATTTAAGTTAATTTAGAATACATTTTTATTATAAAAAAAAAAATATATATATATATATATATATATTTGTTTGCATTTTTCTTACTAAATTTCAGCAACAAAGCAGAGATATAAAAATAGTCCCGTACTATCGATAGTGATAAAAAACTATCGATGGTGGCTCAAAAAAAGGAAAAAGTCGATACCTCGATAGTACCATCGATAGTTTCCCAGCTCTACGTGTACGAGCGACCAAACGACCGGCCACGGTCACACCGTTCACTACACAACTTGCTGCTACAAACGCGTTTTTTTTTTGTTGTACAAATCTAAAATACAAGAATTAGGATTAGTTAACAAGCTCCTAGTGTTTAACAAAGTACACCTTTAGTTAGCTTTACAGTTAGTTTCCCGTGGTAAGCGAATGCGACGGCAATTGCAATCAATTACCATTAGCGAAGAGGCGTGAGCGTGACGAAAAGAGAGCGAAGCAAAACACAACTAAACGAGACAGGACTTGAATAGGAGGCAGAAAAAAATCGAAATAGGCTGCAAGAAGCTGCAGGCCAATGACAATTGCAGCGCATTAATATATAAATCGTAAAACTACACAGTCCAACAGGAAAAGGTAAGTGTGGAATCGACGTGAGGCGTGAAAATGAAATGCATTTTTTTTTTCGTTTCTTTTTTTGTGTGTGCACGGTGCTGCGTTTGTTACTCTTTGTCGCTTCTTGCTCTTTCGCTTCCCCCCGCCCCACTACCTGTCCCTCTCTTGCGCGTCTGCTCTCCGTCTCGGTTACTCTCTCATTCTCTCTGCGGCGGCTCGTGCAGCGTCGCTGCCGCTGCGATGCTGTATTGATTTTTTCGGTGGTGGGTGGCGGATAGGTGGTTGGCCCTGCTTCTCCTGTCATCCCGAGCCCCAGTTCAAGTCTCCCTGTCGAGCACGTTTCCCATCATTGGTTTAGTCTAGTCTTGCCTCCCGTTCAGTAGAGCCGTTTCTCTATTTCTATTTTTTTTAACTCATCAGGCAACACTAACACGGTGAGTGGAAACGAAAAAGCGAAGGAGAATCCCGATAGTAACCGCGGCGGCGAGAGAGAGAGCAAAACAGTTACAAAAGTGCAAAGTCTTTGCATGTGTGCTGGTGCGCGCAGTGCGGTTCTGTGCGGTGTTTTTTGTTTTTGTGTTTCTCTAAGAATTCTGCCTTTACTAAGCGATACTTTTGTTGTCCTTTTCTCCGCATTTCCATTGATCCAGAAGCTAGGATTTAGAGCGATGTATGCAGGAACATATCCACCCAACGCCGGAGGCGTGCAGCAACACACGGGCGGCGGCTACTACGGTAACGGTGCAGCCGGAGGCGCAGGCGGAGGCAACGGACCGCGCCACGAGCGTCCCTTTTATCCGCGCAACAACTTTGCCGGTGCCGGCGGAGCAGCGGCCATAAATGGAGCGGCCGGTGCCGCCGGTAGCATGCACTTTGGCCAGCCGTACGGCGTAATGGCCTATGGCATCCAGAATGGCATGGGCATTGGAGCCGCAGCCGGAGCTGGAGGCAATCCCTACCGTCAGCAGAACGGTGTGACCTTTGCCGGCAATGGACTTGGAGGCGGTGCAGGTGGTAATGGCGTCGGTGGTTATGGCGGCCCGCGTGGCAAGAATCCCAGCTATGGACAGCGGTACCAGAAGCCGCACAACGGCGGTGGAGGTGGCTACCAAAGTAATAACTACAATGCCGCCGCTCTGGGCATGCTTTCTAAGGAGGAGCGTGCCGAGATTCAGCGAGAGAAGGCCAAGAATCCGGGCCGCAATCTGGTCAAACCGATTTGGGAGAACCTGGAGCCGTTTCACAAGGACTTTTATATTGTACATCCCAACACCTTGGCCAAGTCCGAGCAGCAGGTGGCCGACATTCGTCGCGATTTGGAGATCACTGTGACTGGGCAGGAGTTACCACATCCCGTGGTGAGCTTCGAGGAGAGCTCGCTGCCAGCTCATGTCATCGAAGAAATGACGCGCCAGGGCTTCACCAAGCCCACGGCCATCCAGTCACAGGGCTGGCCCATCGCCCTCTCTGGTCGCGATCTGGTCGGCATCGCCCAGACGGGTTCCGGCAAAACGTTGGCCTACATGCTGCCAGCCATTGTGCATATTTCCAAGCAGCCGCCCATAATGCGCGGCGAGGGACCCATCGCCCTGGTGCTGGCACCCACACGTGAACTGGCCCAGCAGATCCAGTCGGTGGTGCGTGATTATGGGCATCTGTGCAAGCCCGAAATACGTCATACATGCATCTTTGGAGGATCGTCCAAGGTGCCTCAGGCCCGGGACTTGGAACGCGGCGTTGAGGTGATAATCGCCACACCCGGTCGTTTGATTGACTTTCTAGAGAATCGGAACACTAACCTTCAGAGATGCACCTACCTGGTGCTGGACGAGGCGGACCGCATGCTGGACATGGGCTTTGAGCCCCAAATCCGTAAGATCATCGAACAGATTCGCCCGGACCGTCAGGTGGTGATGTGGTCCGCCACCTGGCCCAAGGAGGTGCAGGCCTTAGCGGGCGATTTCCTAAACGATTACATCCAAATTAACATTGGGTCGATGAGCCTGTCAGCCAATCACAACATTCGCCAGATAGTAGAGATCTGTACCGAGATGGAGAAGCCGCAGCGCTTGGTGCGTCTGCTCAAGGAGATTGCTCCAACCATCAATAATGCGGCCAACAATGGACAGAAAATTATCATTTTCGTTGAGACCAAGATTAGGGTGAGTATTAAAAATGTTTTGTATTATAGAAAACTTTTCGAAATTCCTAGAAATAAATCTGAAATTTGTTTATAAAATTTAAAGTTTTTGCCGATCTTGAAACAGGGTGCAAATCCACGCCACACACTGATGACTCCTTGCCAAAGCTATGCGTATCATAAGATTACATTCTTTTTAAAGTTTACTCGATGAGGTCTTCGCATTTCTCCTCTCCTTGTAAATGTATACAAGGCTCCACTTTCCACAATAATTGAAGAAATTATATGAAATAATTTTTTTCTAGGGTGATTTGTTCCTTCTAAACTCAAATATGCTCTTAAAAACAACGTAGAACCTTTCGTTGATTGAATAGGGTACTATCACTATTTTATTGCTACAACGCATGCCGCCTCAAGGCACTTTTCCTGTCTAGACGGTTAATGCTCGAAAATTTCCTGACTTTCTGTCATTGAATTTGACGCGGATTCTCCTGGCACACAGTGTGGAATTTCCTCTGATAAACAACTCGGCAACTAGCTTGGCTCCCTTAGAGTATACAAAGTATCCAATGCAGACGCTTGCTGTCTTTACTAAATGAAATTTAAACCCAGGTAGCTCCAGGGTCTTTACTACATTCCTAGGCTTTGTAATTCGATGTTTTACTATTTGAAAGCTAATTAAAGTATGTCTCCCTTCTCTCCCATCCAGGTTGAGGAGATATTACAGATCATCCGCACCGAGGGATACACCGCCACCTCCATTCACGGCGACAAGACCCAGAATGAGCGTGATTCGGTGCTAAAGGATTTCCGCAACGGCAAGTCGAATATTCTGATTGCCACCGATGTGGCCTCACGCGGTCTGGACGTTGAGGATTTGCAGTATGTGATTAACTATGATTATCCCAACTCATCCGAGAATTATGTGCATCGCATTGGGCGCACGGGACGCTGCCAGCAGCTGGGCACCGCCTACACCCTTTTCACGCCCGACAATGCCAAGCAGGCGCGTGAGCTGATCTCAGTGCTGGAGGAGGCGGGTCAGACGCCGTCGCAAGCGCTTTTGGACCTCGCACGCTCAATGCCAAGCAGCGGATATCGCGGCAACAAGCGCTGGAACAACAATGGGAGCGGTGATCGCAGCCATGGCGGTCACAACGGCGTGTATCAGCAGCGCAATAGCAATCCGCTCAACTATCAGGCGGGAGGCAACGGCGGCGGCGGCTACAATAACAATCGAGGGGGACCACCCAACGGCAGTGGCTACCCACAGTATGCCGCTGGCGGCAATAACTATCAGCAGAATGGAGGTGGTGGCGGTATGGGCGGCAATTGGAACCGCATGAACCAAATGGGACAGGACGGAAGCAGTGGCGGTGGACAGCAACATCGCAACGGGAGCACCTATCGCCCGAGGGCGCCCTTCAACAGTGGCGGACCTCGAGCCATAATGGGCCACCATGGTGGTGGTAATGGCGGTGGTGCTGGCGGAGCTGCCGGAGTCGGCACCGGACCCCAGCCGCATATGGCGCACCAGCAGGGCGGTCAGTATATGCCGCAGGCATATCGCAGTCGTGGACAATTTGTGCCCCAAGGCGCCGGAGCTGGGGGCATGCCGCCGCGCTTCCAACAGTTGCCGAAACGTGACTACCAACAGCCGGGTGTACAGCACTATCAGCCGCCGCCGCAACAGCAGCAGCAGCAGCAACAGTTGGCTCAGCAGTTGGCCCAACAGCAGCAGCAGCAACAGCCCAAGCCATCCAAGGATGATGGCAGCAACTATGCACCGCCGCCGCAGCCGGCTGCGGTAACAACACCATTAGTACACTACACGCCGGCCAATTCGCCGCCCATTGCGGCCGTAGCAGCAGCCGCTGCCCGAGCTGCAGCCGTCGCCCCGGCACCACCACCTGGTGCCGCCTACATGTACGAAGCGGCCGGAGTGCTGACCACAGCAGCGGCTCCGGGCACAAATCCGTATGCCAATCAGTTTAGCATGCCGGCCACCTATTATGCCGCACAGCATCAGTTCACCCCGGTCGCGGCTGGACCAGCACCCGGGCCGGAGCAGGCCGGACAACTTTAAGGAGGCAACGTTAACAATGACGGGTGGCGCAATGGCGCGATGGCGGACGATGACTACGACACGGACAAAGAATAGATTTACACTCAAAAACACACACACAACACAGCCAAGGAAAGAGTAATGCAATTAGAATGCATATGATATGATGAAAAATATGAAGAAGATCGATTTTGCAAGCATAAAAGAGCGAACAGTAACACTTTGTTTTCCTTTTATTTTTTGTACGTGCTTCCTTCCACTACTTGCTACTATAACTACCTACTTTTGTTAGAATCCCCTTTGTTGTGTTCTTTTGACGCGCATTATATTGACTTTGACCTAACATTCTTTTATTTACTGTTGCTGCTGTTCTTTTGGGGCAAAAACGGCCAACGAAAATCGAAATCAAGCGGTGAGTGTCCTGTGCGCCTTATCCTAACCATAATTGTTCTTATATTTGTCTTTAATTTTTTTTGCACAGCCATTACTGCTACGAATCGGACCGGAGAGCATGCGCGCGCCCGAGGAATAGATCGAAAGCCCGAAACCACTTTGTCCTCAATGAGGTAAAACACCAAAACAAACAAGAACAACTCGAAAATGAAAATTGAAACTAGTTTTTAAGCTTTTCCAAACACCAAACACACACACACACACACAACACATACATATTCTGACAGTTGCATGTTATTCGAATGATTACAAGGAATATTTACCGGTCAGTAGTATCGGGCGAAACGAGAGATATATATACATTTTGTTAACAAACAGACACATAAGCACACTATTAGTTAAGTGATATTCATGTGTATTAGCCATTACACGAGACACTACACCACCAATTCGAAAAACTGTTATAACAAAGTGAAAAAGAAAGCGAGAAAGAAGGGAAATGAATACGAGGAAACAAAAAGAAGAACCCCTTTCACTAACTTGGTTGGTATGAAATGAACGGTTTGCTTATAATAACAACACTCATCCAAATATATATGCATACAAGTCTATAATTTTATTATTTTTTTTAATATTATATCCGAAACGGCGACAAATTTGCAACAAACCATTACAACAAAGGGAAAATTGAAGCTCTTACGCGAAATTCTTACACACAATTTCAATTTCAAGTGAAACGCAGCGAGCGGCTGATCATAATAATACATATTTATCTATATATATATATATATATTGGTTTTTTTTTTCTTTGGCATTTTGCGCAACACGAGATACAAAAGATAGGAGCACATTTTTTCGAGAAAGGGCAGCGCTGCTTTGGTAGGAAGTATGTAAAGAAACTAACTGACAAACAATCGATGATAGCCAGACAATTGAGAACCCACAAACACAACAAATACACCACAAACCCACACACCAAGCACCACACACATGCACACACTTTAAAGATTTATCATTTAATTTCCCATTTTGATGCAGATTCGAGCTTGATTTAATGGAGATTGAAGCGAAAACCCCAATTTTTTTGAGTATAACCGTAGGTCCCCTAAACCCCTAGACTAGAGCGGAAAAAACATCGGTGTTTATCGATTCAAAATCGATATTTCCGTACTAAAGAACATGAAAAACTTGGACTCTTTTTTTTTCCAGCTCTAAGCCTAGACCCTCGAAACTTAACTTAACACATCATTCGCATGAATTATATACAAAAAGGAGGTTTTTTCAAAAGTTCTATGCAAATACTTGAAAACTTGAAATATATGTATATATTTATTAAATTACAACTACTTTTCAAATATTCCAAGTTCAACGTGAATTGACCAAAGAACAAAGATTGCAGAATCAGTTGAAAAGAATTATTAAATCGTATAAGAAAAAAGCTAAGAAAATTCAAGAAAGTGAAGAAAAAAGAAAGGACGCCACATTCATCCATAAAAAGAATCGAAATGCGAAGAGTCTAAAAAGAAGAACGCACAGAAGGGAAGAAGAAGAACGAACGAATGAGAATAATGCCAAGCAATGCCACACGAAAATAATGATAATAATAATACAGCAAACATAATGCATACTTCTGACTTTCCAAAAAGAAAGAAAAAAACAAGAAGCTCGTTTTCCCAATTCCCGCATAGATTATGTTGTAATTTCTTGTATTCCTTTTTTCCTTTTATTATTATTACCCTTTGGCCGTTCAGAGAGAAGCAGTAGCGGGCGTAGTAGTAACATTAACCAATTGGCAGCTCCACAGTTATAGCAGTTATATAGTTAGCCGTAAAATCGTAAAAATCCATTGTTGAGTGCAAAAAGCCGTGTCGACCGTGTCTGTCTGTCCAAGCCAAGCCATGTCTAGCAGAAACAGGGTTGTTGTGCTAGCAAGCAGTGGCACGCAGTTGCGTTGTCCTTAAGCAGTACAAAAAAAAAAATTCGAAACCGACGATTAATCGAAATAGAAATCGGGATCGGATTCTTCGTTTGAAGAATAATGGGGGACATAATTCTACAGAGGGGTAAACACGAAAAGTAAACACACAAAGCAAATAGATGAAAATCATGTAGATTATATTTATATATATATTTGTTAGCCGAAAAAAAAACACACACAAACTGGGGAGTGATGGAGGGAACATTTCTACAAATTCGTTCATTCTTTTTTTTTTTTAATTTTATTAGTTTTCTAATAATTCTTAGCAAATATCAAGATGAAAACAAAGAAAGCTAGGAAAAAGCTTGGGGATATTTATACATGTATATCGTCAACGCAAGGATCTCTTTGAAGCGAATTAAACCAATTATTGGGGGTCGAAGGGAAGACTATTTCAATATTTTGATATTTATATATATATGCCTACTGGGCGGCAAACAGCAGGAGGAGGAAGAGGATAGTCAGGATCAGGTGGAAATAGACAATTTTAGATTTTCTTTAATATGCCAAATTTATTCGGGGGTCTTGCATAAATCACTAGAGATTTGAATTCCCTTAAAAATGTGTCTGAAAGAATGCAATAAATATTATCGATTACCAAATTCAGTGTAGATTCGTTTTTTTTTTACCAAGTAACTTTTTTAAGGGATTTCAAAGCCCTAGCGATTTGTATAGTTGTTTCTTTTGGGGTCCTGGGTTTTGTCATTTCCTCCTTTGAATCTCCTCTTAGAGGGTAAACAACCAACTGCAACTGAGTATTTGTATTTCTTTATTTCATTTGTATGTACTCTAGAATTGAATTGTCATCTGTCTGACTTGAGAAAGGTGTAAGGTTCTGATAATTTTTATTTTTCTTACTTTTTAATTATGATTTCGATGCAACCGAATTGTGATGATGTGATAGACTTATATAAACAAACGAAAATACAAAAGTACTAATTAATAACCAATTTAAATGAAGTAACGCAGCGGCCTCTCCGACAAAAGGCCAGGCCAAAACTGATACTGAAACTGAAAAACAAAAACAAAAACAAAAAACTGAAACTGACGCAGAGAGAAACTGCATCTGGTTCTGAATCAGTGTCTGGATCAGAAGAGGAATATGAATATATGTTATGTATTTGTATTATTGTCGTTGTCGTTGTCGCTTATATAGACAATGTCTGATGGCTAAAATATATGTATTATGGATGACTTGAGGCATACATTCTTTTTTTGAAGAAATAAAACTATAGTGCGCGATATTTGTATTGTATTTATCTATAAGTTGTGTACACAAGCACACACACTGCGAAACAAACCAAACAACAAACAAACAAACAAAAAAAAAAAAAAGGAAAAACGAAAAAAAAACACGGGATACACACGAAACCAAAATGAAACAAAGAAAATAACGAGAAAAAAAGAGCAAAAGAAGTTGAAACTGATAAAAATTTAAGAGTAACTGAAAACCGAAGCCCAAAAAAAATATCGAGAAGGGGGAAGCGATCGCGATTCGTCGTCCTTTTCGCGTTTTTAAAAGCAAATCCTTTGTTTAAGTCCCAATCGATCGCTCTCTCTCTCTCTCTTTATATATATCTCTGTCCCTCAATCCTGTTATATATATATACAGCATATATATATATATATAGCTTTCCCTGTCTCGCAGTCTCCAAGTCTCGGTGGCTCTTCTTAAACGATAGATTTAAATCGATAGAAATTCGCATAGACATATATATTTTTGAAAGTATAGAAATGCAACTTTTGAAAAAATGCAACCAAAAAAGGAAAAACGAAAGACTAAAGCCAAAAACAAAGTGAATTCAATTGTTATGAATCAGAAACAATAAAACAACACACGTGAGGCTCCACTAAAATTTTAAATGGAACACGCAAAATAAGTGCCGTTAATCCGATAGTTTGTATAGCTGTTTTTTGTTTTCTTTTCTTTTGTGTTCGAGATCCAAAAAAGGACACCCATACACACACACAAACAAACTCGTTTTTGGTTTAGTTTTAGTTTTTCTTCTTTGTTTATTTTTTTTTTGTTTTGTTTTTTGTTCTAAGCCTTTCGTTTCTTAACTAAAAAATATATACATTGTACAAATATGTATGTATGTCGTAGGCGATAAAGTGAAATGCATTTACCGTTACAGTGCGCTTCGCACAAGTGCCAAAAATGCAGAGAAAACAAACACATGGACACAACCCCCACATCCACACCGACACCCACGCACCTACACACACACACACACACACACACACACAAACACGCGCCACACACACACACATTTCTTGTATGATGATACAAACACACGCAAGCGAAATGAGACAAACAAACATATTTACATACAAAACCTACAAACAAGCATACTTTTAAGCGCCAAAGTTAGGAGCGGCTTTTGAGGTCCGATATCAACCCACAAAACAAAAAAAAAAAAAAAAAAAAAAAAGCGGTTGAAGTAAACAAAGAAGAAGAAAACAAAACGTTAGAACAAATTATTAAGACGCAGCAGCCACTGATCGTAAGTTATAAGCTAAATTTGTATTCGGCCGCAAATCCAGGAGCAGAAGGAACTTAAACTTAAAAGTAAAAAAGAAAAGTTTAAACCAAAACCCATTGTGATAACAGCTGCGTAACGAAACACACGTTAGAAAAACCTTATGACGATAGAAAGACGGGAGAATGTTTTATTGTCATTTACTTACATATACTTACTTGTATTTCGATAGCAATTCGATAAGTGCAAATCTTGAGGGGCGGGCATCAGGCCCCATCCCCCCCCCCCACTGAGTCCTAAATAATAAAAATTCAATCAAAAAGCAAAGCAAGCCAACAAATTAATCCAAACTAGTTTTTAAACAACCAACCTCACTTGAAACACACACACAAACACACGTATTTTATTGATTTGAAGAGAAGGATAAGGAGGAGGAAAACATGAGAACTTTTCTTGATTTTCATTTGTTGTGTTGATCAATGCAAATTTTAGCAAAACAAAAAAAAAACAAAACAAAAACGTTACAAAAGAATTCAAGAGGAAAACGCAAATTCTTAGCCATTTCGAACGAGCGTGCATTTAGAACCTAACATCAAATATATTACAAGCGAACCATTTGAATAATTTCTAATATTACCATAGATCACTAACACAAATGCAACTGAGGAGTCAGAATCAGGCGATGGTGATGATGAAGATGAAGATAATGAAGCAGACAGTAATGTTAATGCAAAATGTAAATGGAAAGAGAAGAGGAAGAAGGAGGAAGAAGCTAAGCAAACGAGTTTCAATAAATGTTTGCGGCTTAAGCTTAAGTTAGCACACACACACACACACACATACACACAATATTATATTAATTATAAAAAATCCGTATATATACATAAATATATATATATAGATATATATAATATATGCAATTTAATGCATATTTGCACTTCCCCTTTCTCCGTAAAAAAAAAAAACCAAAACAAAAAAAAAAAAACAATAAATAATCAAGCATCGGAGAACTTGGCAAAAACTAATGGAGAAACCTAAATTGTAATCAATTTACCTATCTTATTTACTACATATGTATACCCATAAAGAACCCCGTCCCCATTTGGAAATCAAACTCCAAAATCCCTCACCCCAAAATGTTAAACACGAAACCTATGAAACGCATAAATATAATAAATATGTAAACGGGCATGTTTACAAAACAAAAAAGCGAAATGGATATCTTCTATGTAATTAATAAACGCCAACAAAAATCAATTTTAAATCATTAAAACTGTAACCGTTTTCTTTAAATTATGTTTTTGGGAGTTGTGGTAATATTAATATATATATTTTTTTTTTTTACACAACCTTTGTTATAATATACAATTTTGGGTTAGTACATAAGTATTTCGAAGTGCAGATCATGTATAGAAGGTTAAAGATTTTCTGATCTAGATAGATATTATTATCGAAAAATGTTTTGTGCTCAATACTGTTATAATGTCCCAATATAAAAGTTTGGCATTCGAAAATATTAAAAGTCAAGGGTAGTAAGTACTTCGTAATCGAGATCTGTGCAGAAAACAAAGGTTTTTTTGTAAAATATAGATATCATTTTTGAAAAGGATTTTTTTTTATTAATACTGTTATAATGTTCGAATATAAAAGTTTGTGTGAAAAGTCAATGATGGTAAGTTATTCGAAATCGAGATCTGTACAGAAAGCAAGAGCTGATAATCGTTACTATTATAAAAAAAGGATATTGGCTAAATATAGATAGCATTATTGAAAAGGATTTGTGACCAATACTGGTTTAATGCCCCAATATAAAAGTTTCGGTTTTCGAATATATAAAGTCAATGATGGTAAGTTATTTGAAATCGAGATCTGTACAGAAAGCAAGAGCTGATAATCGTGATTCTTATAAAAAAGAATTCTTGGTAAATACTGTTATTCTTAAATTCCCGAAGACAGTAAATAATTATTCCACTGTAGTCACATTCCCATAATAATACTCTTTATTGAAACGCCCCCACTAAGCACACACACGCACGCCGCTTGACCAGCAGATCCAACGGAAAGTGCGGGTGCTTGTGGAGCGCACGATGGGCAGCCTCCAGACAAATATATGTATATGTATATGGTATGTATCAGATCCGTCCGAGGGCAGCGATAACGAAGCGCACAACATCAATAGGTAGCTTAGGTTCGAGACGAATGGCCCAGACCTTCGAACAGATAAGAGAACTTGGTAAATACGCCCAAGAGTGTGGCGGTGGTACGATACGAGAAAACACAGAACACAGCTTCAGCACATACATATAGTAGGTGTACATATGCATGTTTTAGTTCATTTTGTATTGGTATAATTAACATCCAAATATCCAAAGCGTAGACATACAAACAGGACCCGCGACAGACACAGACGAGTTAACATCGGGGAGGGGTGGGCTTGCGGGCAGGAGGGGCTTGCACACACGCTCAGCTTTATCTATCCGTACAGTAGTATATGTTTTATATATAAAATTAACTAATTCATTTATAAAAAGCAAGCAAACTCCAGGCCACGCTGTTTCCTTGCCGCTTGTTTGTTTGTTGGTGTTATCCTTTGTGTGGTCTCTTTGATTTGCATATGCAAATGGTGTTGGTGTTGGTGTTCCTGTTCCTATTCCTGTTCCAGCGTGAGTATGGTTGTGTGTTTGTGAGAGGAGACGAGGGCAATGCGATGGGACCTAGGTGAAGCTGCAGCACGAGTTCGTCTTTTTCGCCGTCTTGTAGAAGGCCTTGCTCTGCAGTGACAGCTTTTCGGACTTGCTGACCATGTCGTCCAGTTTCTCGCCGCGCTCCAGCACCGCCTCAATGGTGTTCTTCAGTATGATTTTCGTCTCGTCCAGGTCGTTTTGCATTTTCGTGAGGGGATCGGCTTCCACTGGATTCTGGTAGCGCGCCAAGAAGGCCGGCAGTACGTCGAACGAGATGGTGGCTTCTGTGCCATTGGGCCACTGATCTGCCGACACCTTGGCTGTGAAGTCATCGAGGATCTTTGTGATGAGCGTATGGGCCACACGGTGTGGATATTCGTGGTCCGCTATAAGCACGCCAGCCAGATTGTCGGCCCTCACATAGACATGACACATGTAGGCGTCCTGCTTCACCGACTGCCGCAGGGCCGGCTGAGTGCGCTCCACAATCGTCTTGGAGGCGAAGCTGCGGCGAAATGAGGGGGGGAGGCAAAAGCAGAGTGGAGTGAAGCGATTGATTGAGCCTGCGCTGTCGCATCCGAATGCATACTCACGTCATGAACTCGTTAACGGTGCCACGTTGGAAAAAGGAGAAGGACTGCAGGTCGGACGCCGTCTTCAGCAGACGCGCCTCGCTGGCGCCCTTGTGAAAGATGCTCAACGCAAATAGCTTGACCATGGTTTACGGCTGCGTAGATCTGCGGGCTGCGTTGCTTTCGAAACTGCTGGCTGGCCTTGCTGGCTACTCCACTCGGGGGCGGGTGGCGTCTGTGGCACTGCGGTGTTCCGTGCTGCTCCGGTGGGTGGGTTTCAGTTTGGGGGCAAACTCTAGCGGTCGCTGGCATCCGTGGGAAATCGACAAGTGAGTTTGTTTGACGCTGTAAATCTCGGTTCCGTACGAATTGAGTGTGTCAGCTAATTGGGGATGGTACGGGAACAAAAACTAGGGGTGAGACGCTGTAATCGATACTCTTCTGTGCGTTAAAATAAACAATCCGAACGAAATAATTTAAGCTGAATGTTGTATAATTTACAAAAATTACTAAAAAAAAAAAAAAGGTCAGTTAAAATTAAAACGGTTTAAAAGAAAGCAATTAAATGGATTTCCCCTCACTTTGAACAACCTTCGATAGTGGCTGTTAATATCGGCAGCCACAGCACCATCGATAGTTTAAAGCACCAAAACATCGTCATCAAGTTATCGGCGCCATTTGTAATAACGGCTTTTCGGCCATTGCTATTTCGCAAAACTGCTTATTTTCAAAGGAGAAATAGGTAATAAAAAAGCAAATGTCGAAGCGCGGAAAGTTCCTGCACCTGGCAGACATGCAGCCCACGATGACGCACTTTTCCACCGTGGCGCTGATCGTGTCCAAGTCGTCGCCAAACTTCTTTTACGACAAAATGAGCGGCACCGAGCGCGGTGTGCTGACCCTGACGATCCGCGATTCGCCGCTTCATCTCACCAATTGCAAATGTTGGGGCCAGCGTGCCTGCGTGGAGGAGTACTCCGCCATGCTACAGATTGGCCTTGTCGTGGATATAGTGGGCGCCAAGGTGATGTCCCATGCGAAGGTTTCATTAGCGGATCAGCAGCAGCGCTACCAGCCGCAGGGCACCATCTCCTGCGTCCTGGTGGTCAACGAGGGATCCGGCTACCTGGTGCGCCATGACAACGACGACTCCGCCCCTGTGTTGGCCCTGCAGCAGCTTCTCCATCTCCCCCTCAAGCCTCTGGGGTCTGCCCTCAAGCTGGCGGACGTGCGTTCCGGCTTGATCGGCGGAGGGGGAGCTAGCGCCTTTGTGGACCTGCTGGTCGTGGTAGCCGCCGTCCGGCCTGTGCGCGAGATAAAACGCAAACACCAGGTGGCATCTGGCAAGACGCAGGATCCGTTGCACTGTCTGGAGACTGTGGTGATCGATGCCAGCTATCCGGAGGGCATGTTGTTTTCCATATGGCAAGCGGACTGGATACGTCGTGCCCAGCGCTGGCAGCCCCGCCACACTGTTCTTCATCTGGTGGACGTGCGGGTCTCCCACTCCGATTACCATCGTTGTCCCGTGCTCTCCCATTCCAATGGCACGCTCGTCTGCGAGGATCCCCAGGCAGCCGGCTTGGATTGTAGTCGGCTGCTGGCCTTTGCCGCCACCCAGCCGGTCAAGTCCTTTGATGGCTACGCCCACACCGAGCTGGATAACTTGCCAACAGGTGGGTTACAGGAAGTTCTTTGCGGGTTTGTACTTTATTTTTATATTTTTTTTTTTTAGCTGCCAGCATCCGGAGCCAGATGACGGTGCGCCAGATCTATAGCCGCGCCGAGGGCGAGCTGCAGGATGCCTCCCAGGATCAGTTCACCGCCGTGCTGTATGGCATGGTCACCAAGCTGGACCTGGATGGATTTGTGCCCAATATAAGCAGAAAGTGGCAAGTGTTTCGAGGCATCAATAATCTTTTTTAGTATCTTGATTAATAAAATTCCTTTTTCCAGTACCGTCTGCCAACGTCCCATACCGCGAGGCCTCGAAGATTGTGCCACCGAAGCCTGCCATATAGAGTTCCTGCTGGGCAACGATGGCCCGCGCACAAACCGATACTTTAACATTAATATTCATTTCTCCGATCAAACGGGCAGCCTGCTGGAGGCCCATTTGGCTGGCAATCCCGCCGAGCGGATCTTGGGTCTCGAAGCGGATAACTTTGACCAGCTGACGGAGCGTGAAAAGAGCAACCTAAAGTGGCGGTTCCTCTTGAAGTACTTTGAGGCGAGGCTGCTGGTAAAGAAGCCTGCCGGAATGCGCCGAAACCTGGTGGTTGTGGTCGTGGACATGCAGGCCATTCCCCTAGCCAAGCTGGTAGAAAACATGACCGTGTTTTAGGCCCCCCAAAGAACCCAAATGAAAGTCTTTATAAATGTACATAAATAGCGATTTATATTTCGCACATTTTTCACACACGCACACGCACATAAAAGTGTACATAAAATAGATTCAAAGCGCCTCTAGAAACTCTGGCTGGCGGGGGAAGTGGGTATACATATATATATATTTGCTTAGTGGGATACGTTTGTTTTGGCTCACAGGGATCTAGTCTAGTGAGTGGGGGGGAGTGTGAGTGCTCGGTGTGCTGGTGGTGCGTCTCGCGGTCCATAAAACAGTTCTCTGGCCTGCCAAGCATCGCTATAATGTCATTTTGAAGGCAACTCTTATAGATAATTCAACCAACCAACGCTTAATATTATTATTAACTACTTTTCTTGGCTAAATAATGAGAATGAATTAGGTTAAAGGGGGAGGGAGATACATGAAAACCTAAATTTTGTGGGTTTTTTGTTTAAATTCATTATTTAAATTAAAAAAAAAAACTATGCAACATATTGGAGTGAATCAAAAACTATATTTAACAGCATGAAATTATCTTTCCGAAACTAAACTTAAAGATCGAGGCTCTGCAGCATCGAGGCTCTGCAGCATATATTCCATAAGTTCGACATTTTGTAAAATATTGTTTATAACAAATTTTGTTTATTATCTTTGATTCTACTTTTAACTATCTCCAAAGTTTCACAATAATAGCTTGACTATTTCCTACAAAAAAACAAAAAAAAAAATTCAAGAAAAATGCCCAAATGTTGACCGTTTACATGTAAAAACCCCCTTAAATGGGAAAATAATAAAATAAAATATAAAAAAAAATAATGATAATATAAATGAGTAAAATAACACATAAGAAAAATCCAATTGAAATAAAATTCGACAAGTTTTTATTTGTGAAAAACAAAAGGAAAACTCCTCTAGCTTAACTTAAATTTCCACTAATTACAAATAAATTATTTGAATCGAACGAAAGCTTTGGACCTCTCTCTAATCCTAGACCTGACTTTAAAGCCTGTGTATCCTTGCCTCTAAATCAAAATCTCGCACCGTTGTGACCCAAGAATGCAGCTCGGTATCCTTTACTACATAAACTATGCTTGCGATCAAAGCCCCGAGTATAAACAACGATTTTGGTACAATGCTTAATACTGACCTACACGTATACAGAGACATATGTACAGACATATACACATATACATACATACATAACAAACTGGGGGACATGGAACAAGGGGGGGGAATGGGAATCATCATTAACAATGGACAGAAATCATTGGGATGTGCGGTGCACCGTCTGCATTTGTACAGGGAATGATAACTGCTAACTACTACTGAGTAACTATTCTTTGTGATCATTTTTCGAGAGGGACAAACAGAGAGAGAGAAAGAGAATCAACGCAAAAAATAATTAAAACAAAAAATATATTAAAAACAAAGAGAGAGCTACCAGGAGCTACTTTGAGTTTCCAGAAGCTACCGGGAGTCCCCGGCTTCCAGGAGCTAACCAAAGCTACTTGGAGCTGCTCGCCTGCTGCGAGTGGTGGTGCAGATGGTGGTGATGGTGGTGGGATCCAAGGTGATAGTGCGACTGCTGCTGATTGCCGCCGCCCAAGGAGCTGCTACTGGTCGACGAACCCATCGAGGCCGATGAGGTCGATCCCAGATGATTCTGCCCAGTTGAGATACTGCTTCCCCCTCCACTGCCGCCTCCACTGTGGCTTAGCGAAGGCAACGAAGCAGCCGCTGTGGCCGCTGCCAAACTAGCTGCAGCCGAGGCAGCCGCCGCTCCAGCCGTGGCTGTATTAAGCTTGGTGCCATTCGTGTTCGTCACACGCAGCTGACGGATCTCGGGAAAAAACTCAATCATGAGTATCTCCAGTAGTTCCTTGATAGAGTATTTATTAAATCAATTATTATTTCAATTATTCATTATTTTGTCCAGAAAACTCACATAGAAAAGCTGCTTGTTGTAGACGGGATTCTGCAGGGCATCGAAAACCTTGAGCACACCTTTCCTGGCCGCCTGGGCCCCAACCAGATTGCACAGCACCTCCGGTATATGGTCGGTGAGCAGGGCCTTGGCCGCCGTGCTGGTCATTTCCCGCATATCCTCCGAACGCGCCGGATAGGCGGACGCCAGTACACCGCCCGGCCAAAAGGATTTCAGGATGGCCGAGAAGTAGTTGTGCAGCATGGACTCCTCGAACAGATAGGCCACCGACTCACGAATCTGCCGGTTAATTGTTCGGCCATACGTGATCTGGACAAAGGAGATGAGGCTCTTGCGCAGCCACTTGAAGACACCGCCCATGTCGAAGATCTCGCCCATTAGGGCGTACATGGGCTCCGCTATCGAGTCCTTGCTATCAAGATCCGTGGGCAAGAGCTTTGCCTCGCTACCCGACTCACCGTCCAGATACGTGGAAATGTCATCGTCGTCGCGCTGCAGCCCCCAAAAGGGATCGGTGGCCCGACTGGCGGCCACCTCGTGCGCCTTCCCCGCATCGCTGCGGAAGAGCGTGGCCAGCGAGAACTTGGACTTTTTGGGCGAGGGCAGCGACTGCTTCAGATGATCCGAGCTGGGGCTGAGGAACGTGTAGATGGCCTCGCTGCCATTCAGATGGTCGTCCTCCAGAATGAACTAGGGGGGAGGAGGAGGAGCGTTTTATTGGTATTTACAACTAAAAAAATAAAGTTAAAATTAACACTTACATTGAGAAACTTCTGGATCTGGGCCTTGGCCTTCTCCTGGCCATGTCGGTCTGTCTTCAAGAAGAAGAACTTGAAGTTCGTGGGCAGGTCGAGGGCCTTTAGGTTGGAGCTAACATGCCGCAGCTTCCTTTGCAGCTCCTGCAAAGTGGATCTTGGTTAGTTCTGAGATGAAGGTTTTTGGGTGTGAAATACCCACATGCACTTGGTTGAGGGAACGCATCACCACCCAGCCGCTGGAAATGCCCGAGGGCCGCCTTCGTTGATGACCGCCTGTGTGGACACCACCGCTATCACCGTTTTTAGATGCTGAAGTCTGGGAGGGAACATTAATGTCCTCGTCCACATGCACCAAAATCATGAACTGCAGCGACTCCTTCTCATCGGAGACCTTACAGGATACATAGGGTTAATTTAGCTTCAACAGGAAAGAGAAGAAATCTCGCTGCGGTACTCACCTCCACACTCTGAATGGTGGCCTTCCACTTGCCCAGGTGCTCCGTCCAGGCGTCCGTCCGCCTCAGATGCGCCTCCGTCTGACGCTTCTCGCTCTTCAGCCACTCCATCTCCTTCTCGAGTATGGATAGCACCTTGGACTCGGGCTTCACCGAATACTTGAGGGCATCCAGCGCCTGGTTCTTTTTGTCGATGCGTTCCTGTATCTGCTCCAGCTTGCGTCGTGCGTACGAGGTGTGCGCGGCCACATCGATGGCGCCGCCACCACCGCCACCACTGCCGCCACCGCTACCGCCGCCATTCCAACCATCCGACCCACCGCCCGTACCCTGGTCATCGGCCAGCGACTCTGGCGTATCGTGGCACATTAGGAGAGTGGGATCAGCGATCTCGTTGGAGTCCAGCGCCTCCTTTAGCTGGCGATACTGATCGCTCAGCACGAACGGCGGGTAGTACTTCTCCTCCAGGGTGCGCAGCACATTTCGCTGGATATCGTAGAAGATGTCCGGATCGGCGTCGCCCAGCAGGAACGTCTCGATCAGCTTCCGCTCGTGCTTATCGATCTGAATCTCCGATTTGGGCACCCGGATGTATGTGTAGAATATCTCCGTGCCCAGCTGATGGCTGGCCGATTTGTGTGCGTGCTTGATTTCCTCCACGGCCAAATAGAAGCCAATCAGAGCGCTCGCCTTGAGCGGTTCCAGGAACAAGGTGAAGTAGCGTCGGCCCACAGCCGTATTAAGAATCTCAACCAGAGTGAGGTCCTAGGGGAATAGTAGATATATTTACTTACAAATAGCTTATTTTCACATTTTCTTGCTACTAATAAGATATAGTATCTGCTGCACTTACTATATCGCTGGAATAGTTGCCATTCCAGCCAAACTTGGCCAGATTTTTTTCACACTCGGACTTGGCCATCGTCAGCTGGCGTACGTAGCGCTTCAGCCGCACGGCGGCTGTGTGCTCTGACTTGGTCAGCGAGTGATCCTCATGATCCGGATCAAGGCCCTTGGCCCGCTGCAGATTCTGCATGGTTGTGGCATGCATTAGATCGTTCACAATGCTCTTGCGTATAAGCGACAACTCCTCCAAGCTGCCCGAGTTGTTGATGATCTTTAGGAAATCCTCAAAGCTGGCCGCATACTCGTAGCTCCGCTTGCTCATCGCCGCCGCCGCCAGACGAGTCTCGATATTCTGAACCACCTTTTGGTTAATGTAATCCGGGGCAGTCAGCATTTTGATCATGGGAAAGAAGACTGTCATGGAGAGTAAATTAGAACGGGAAGCTGGTATTACCCAGAGCTAGAGCTACTCACTCTTGTAGGACAGAATCTCGCTGAGCAGGACCTTCAGGGGGGGCAGGGAATAGCCGCGTGGCAGCAACAGAATCACCATAATCTCGCACAGCTTGCGCAGGAACTCCATTTCCGTGTCCTCGTCGGCCAGATACGAGTTGGTGCTGAAGACGGGGGCCGTATTGGTCTCCGCCCTAGAGTTATCCGTGAGTATAATATATAAAAGAGTAATATCAATGAACATGAGTCATTTATAGAGCAGCTCTGATAACAAGAACACCTGGATTTTATACCAATTGCCTTGAATAGAGCTTGGAAAATAGTTGGTTTTAATGATGACAGGCGTGCCTTTGCCATTGATTTCCGCTTATTTATTGCTAATTTCATGATTTACGAGTGACGCATATAAATTACATTTAATTTTAATTTTGCGCACTGCCTATTCTCATGACGTTGCATTCAAAAAAGTCATTAAGAAAATGTGATAAAATATAGGTATAGATATTATGGATTCCATAAGTAGAACACAAAGGAACAAAATATCTTAATATATATCGCTGCCTTATCTTATCATTGTATTAAGCAGGATTAAAGTAAGTGTTTATCGTAATCTCTAATCGAAATTTGACTCGTCTTACTTAAGAGGTAGTACTAGTAGTGAATTCTAGGGCAAGGTAAAATCGGTTACCTTAAATAAAAAATAGAATAAAATTTTAAATTCAAAAAATTTTGACCTGAGTACCTGTAGAATAAGTTAAAGAAATTATGCGTTGAATTTCACCTGATTTCAACGATTGGTTGAGTAGATTTTGACATTCAAAATGACAATTTCGGGAGAGCTCTTCAATCTTTTTGATACAGACCAAGACTTACATATCTACTCATAACTTTGTACATTTTTCTGTGATGTGAAACTTTGACAAAATATTCATAAGATATTGTGGATTAATAAAATAAAAAATACAAAAAACTAAATACCTTACTACCCCTTAAGAAACAGTTGAGAATTCTAGGTAAATCGCCTCGGAAAACATTTACTCAAGCTAATACTCACGCCCTGGCCTCTGATATGCGTATCTTCTCCAAATGCACCGTCACCCGGTTAACCATATCCACTGCTATGATCTTGGCTGCATCCATTTTGGTGGCTCTTTCATGTATCTTCTGTATGGCATTCCACAGATCCTCGCGCACCACATCGTTGATAAGCTTAGGCTTGGTGACCACATATCTAAAATATATCAAAATATCTTAAATATATGAAACTATCTAAAATATCTAAAATATTATATATAAAAGATGCATCAATTTATCCACATTTATCCATTATAGTAATAATATTAATAATAGTGACTCACCCCAGCCAGGGCAGCATAAAGTCGCGCAGCACATACTCAATGATCTGCTGCAGCTGCAGGTCCACCGTCTTGCCAAAGATCAGGGGCAGATTCGATGGGTTCTTGATGGGCTTGGGCAGATCGAAAATGTTGCTTCTACAGAGACACCACAAGAGAGATTGATAAGCAATTAAGGACAAATCTGATGGGGCAAAGTCCAGCGACACTCACTTGGTGGCATTGTAGAGAAGTCGCGAGGGCACGCGACTTGGTCGCGTCGGCTCATTGGTGGTGAATATATAATGGATATAGACGGTGCCGGCCACAGCTGTCGCGGGGCGAGAGAAATAGATAAGAACAATTTAGATATTTTTGACTCTTTGGACTTAATTATGCCAGCGATTGGCCAGTGATTGGACTGGGGTGAGTCACTCCGGACTCCTGGCCCTGGGCCACATATCTTACCCGCAAAGACCAGCACCAGGGAATAGACGACAAAGGCGAAGAACAGAAAGAAGGTCGGATAATACCAGATGACGGCCAGCAGTGTCATGGTGATGCCGGAAACAATAATCCTCCAGTTTAATTGCAGTGCACGTAGCACCCTGGAAATGGACATGGACATGGAATGCAAATAGGTATTATTATTATTAAGGGAGCTGGCAAGGACACTAACCTGGTGACCAGTATTGTTAGGCGCTGCGTGACCGTTGCCGGTGGCTCTGGCTCAATAGGAAACAGGGGCAGGCGTCGCTCTGAACGCATCTCGGTGGCCATGGCCATGCTGCTGTCTGTCGATGGTGTGTTGTGCTTGCTCCTTGCTCCTTGATCCGTTGTCCGGCAGTTCCGTTTAATCACTGCCCTTTTTCACTTGTGAATCTTTGATGAGTTTCAAACATTTTCAACGACAGACCGATGCCCGTCGACAATTGCTGCCGGGGGATTCGATTTCTGGTGTGCTAGCGGGCGGGCTCAACTTTGGGCCGTCGTCGTCGTCTTCGTCATTAAAAATAGTTCTCAATTGCGTTAATTCCGCTTTCGGTTTTGGTTTCTTCCTTCCGCCTACCCGCTTCCTCGCCCCCCCCTCCGCTTTGGATTCCCAATGACACAGCACAGACACACACAACACACCACACACGCACACCCAGGGAATACGAATAATATGTTAAAAACAGCACACAAAATATGGTGTATTGGCTATTGGCTGGGAAGCGTCCGCCTGCTACATGTACTAAATCAATACTGGGCGACGACTGCCTCCCGCAACAAGTTGATTATGCCTGGCCAGCTTTATCCGGAGCGCTGCTGGAGCGTGGAGCGTGCAGCGGAGAGCGGGAGTGGCGACGCCGTTCCGTAGAAATCAAAACAAGCAACTTTGATTACTTCTCCTTCTCGCTTGTTGTTGCTGCTGCTGCTCCCTTTGCTCTGCCCTGTCGCTGCTGCGCAGTTGTGGCGTATCGGTGCGGTATAACAGGCGCCCGTGTGTGATAACGCCTCACAAATCCGTTTTCACGCCCCGGCTAGCTGCGCGCCCTTTAAAATCAACTATCTTTTCAGTTATGTTTATGATTTTCCCCTTCGTGTGTGAAAAAGTGCCTCTCTTTTGAGGGTGGCGGTGCAGCGATAGTATAGATTAGCCACCACTATCGATTGCACCGCTGGTCGATAGTTGGCCAGTGTCATCGGAATTCCATTCAAATTCAAATTGGAATTCCAACTGTCCATTAACTTTGGCTGAAAGAAAAACTAAAAAATTAAGCTTTACTTTATAAAAATGAAAATTTCAGTTTTAATTTCCGTTGTGATTTAAAGAGCAGTGTGGGTCAGAGGGTCAGAGTTCCCAGCGAATTCAATGTCGAGCTGCTGTCACTGGCCAAACTTTAACGTCAAAGGTTTTCACTAACGTCAAAGGACAGCAGAATTTTCTTTTCAACTTCAACACCAGCAAGAAGTGGACGTCTTATCCAAGACTTTATCACCGACCAAGATGGATTCTGCTCCATTAAACGCTGAGAAGCCAGTAGACGCCGGCATCGAGGCAGAGACAGAGGCTGCTACCTGCAATGATCTAGAAACTGAAAAAAATACTTCTGCGGGTGACGAGGTTATCCCCAAGATATTGGACTTGTCCAAGGAGCAGGAGGACGCCGATAAGCCACTAGACGATGGCATCGAGGCAGTGGCTACTTACTCCACTGACCCGGAATCTGAAAAAGAGCAAGAACCAAAGAAAATGAAGAAGAATAAAAGAAATAAGAAGAAGAAAAGCCACCACCACGATGACGATAAAGCAGAACGCAAGGCAGCCAAGAAGAAGAAGAAGCAACTGGATGCCGGCATCCAGGAAGAGGTAGAAGTTACCTGCTCCACTCTAGGTGCCACTGACCCGGAAACTGAAAAAGAGGCTCTAGAGGATGACAAGGCTTCCCGCAAGCGTTCCGGCACTATCGAAATCGAGGAGGATCCAAAAAAAAAGAAAATAGAAGAGATTAAGACCCAGGACGAGGCTGATGCAGCTCCATCCCAAGGCGAAGGAGGAACATCCGAGGAGGTGAAGTTTAACGTTCCCAAATCGCCCCTAGGGACCCCAAAGGCTATTAAGGGCACTGCATCTGCCAAGGCCAAACTATCCCCGTTCTAAGATGAGCCTGGATTAGGCCCCCCCCCCACAAAGGGTTTCAATAAAGACCACACTTGTTTATTAAACAGAAACTATAGATGTATTTATTTATCTAATTAGTTGCACACTTTATTATTCTTTCCGACACATGACATGGCTGTGTGCTGTGGCAAATTGCGAATTTCGAATGTTAATTCATTGACAAAGAAACTAACTAGAATTACTGTTGTTGTTTTTGGTACTTAAGCCTTCTTTTGTTCTGTTTGTTCGTGAGGTGACACTTGCTTAGCTATGACTACTAGCCGGATTCCCTCTCCCACATGCCCAGCCCCAATCTCCGACTCCAAATAAATGCCTCCTTCTCCGACGGGGAATACTCCAAAAGGCAGCACCGGCGCTCTCCTACTGTTCCTTGGTCAGGCGACGCAGTGCCCGCTTCCGGGTGCCCAGTATATTCTTGAGCACCACATTCCGGGCAAACTGCTCTCCGAACACCGCCTCCGTAAAGTGAATCACCAGCTGAAGAAGGGCATGGGGCAGGTAGCCAGCCGTCTGGCCGGCAATACCCAAAGTGGACAGGGCGGAGCGCACATACGTCTCCGGTGAGGGGGCAAAGATGGTGGCCTTGCGGATCTTTGACATATTGGTGGCCACAAAGCCCGGCTGCACGCTCTGTATGAGTATGCCCTGATTCTTGTACTCCGTTTGCAGATCGTCGCTGAACTTGTTCACAAAGGCCTGAAACAACAACGAACGGGGCTTAGGAAAGGAACTACATATATATGACGGACTTTTCTCACCTTTGTGGAACTGTACACGCTCAGCAGGGGATTGGGAATGACGCCAGCGGTGGAGGAGAGGTTGATGATCACGCCGCGACCCTTGGCGACCATGGCGGGGAGGAAAAGGGCGGTCATGTGCGTAACCGAATGAATATTGGCCGAGACAATGTTGCGCAAGAACTGCGGATCGGCTTTGTAGCAATCGAGGAAGTACTCGGGATGGCTGTAGCTGATGCCCACATTGTTGACCAGCACACCGATATCCAGGCTGTTGGTCTTATCGCGGATCTTGTCGTAGATATCGGCACCGCCGGTGAAGTCCACGTCGATCACACGCACCTCCACGCCATATTTGTCGCCTGAAAGTATGCCGCGCAACGAGACAGCCAATATTAGTTACAGTCATTAACTCGGCTAGGGGTTGGTGGTAGTGGTGGACTTACTTATTTCCTTGGCCACCGCATTCAGCTTATCCAGTGATCTACTGATCAGCACCAGTTTCAGGCCCCGGCGAGCCAGCTGAAAAGGACACATCAATTAATTTGATATTTCTGAATCATTTTTAATTATGAAATGGGAATAAGGAAATTCCCAAGATAAAGCTGTATCTGGTGATATTTATCGAAGATGAAATAGATTTAATTCGATGTTTTAAAATAGTTTATAAATTATGAAATAGAAATTGGGAAATTTCTATGAATTTATCGAAGAAGAAATAGATTCAAGTTGATATTTTTGAAAAAATTAGAAATTATTAAATGGGAATAAGGAAATTCCCAAGATAAAGATATTCCTGATTATATTTATCGACTTTTTGCTGAACAAAAATAATATAAACCTAAATGTGAAATTGAATAATTGAAAATCTAGCATAAATTTGGCTTAGGGGCAGTGTCTAGCTTTCTTCAGGCTACAAAAAACTCTGAATACTAAAATTAAATAAAGGTTACCGAATAGTTGACTAATTACAAAACAACTAAAAACCAAACATCGCTAAAAGTTGGGGGTAATAAGCTCTCAAGTAATAAAGTGCAAATCACATATATAATTAAGTTCTCTTCGAGGGGGAAATGTCTGGAAATACAGGGAAAAGCTTACTTTAAAAGCGAATCCATAGTTAATATTTCAAATATTTCAGTCTCAATGGCTTCTAACTACAAATTGAGAAACAGAAGCTATTATGGGAGAGAGGGCACATAATTCCGCGTGGACATTGAACCACTTTCCGTGTGTCCAACGCGAGGTGAATGCTAATGCGCTAAGGCGGCTTCAGGCGGGGCCCTGCCTCTATACTCCAGCTATAGGTTCGTTTATCCACTTGGACAACACGTGTTCCCTTCGATTGCTTCAAGTGGGTGATACAAAATACAAAACCGGGAAGTGCCCGTATCAAAAAAAAAAAAAAAAAACCTAAACTGCGGCGACTGCACTTTGTAAGGGCAAATAATACAACAACAACAAAAAAAAAATTCAGAAAGTGTGAAGGCTGCAAATGTAGCAACTTGCAGTCAAGCAAACACTATTAGGGAATTTTTGTGACAGCGACTTGCGACTGGAGATCGATTTCAAAGTGCAGATTCACTTGGCTAATGCATCGACGAGAGCCCAATGTCCAAGTCATTGTGGGCGACGCTAGGCGTCCGCCGCTCAATTCGGTAATTACTCATTAATTTTTTGTTTGCCCGTTTTCCCTGACATGTCATTAATCCGCCGGACTTTGGCCAAAAATTGTGGGTCAGGTCAGCGTACGTACCTCCTTGGCGTAGGCCTTGCCAATTCCATCGGTGGATCCGGTGACAACTGAAAGTATATACATACAAATTAATATACAAAGGTAGCCAGGGGTTGTGCCAGGGGGTTATCATTGCGCTAAAGGGGCGTGGGCAGGTTTCTTATCGCAAACGGGAAGTATAAAATGTTACCAATTCAGGTGATTTTTTCCCTTCTATTAGAAATGGAGTAAAACTTTATAAAATACAGTTAATTATTAAATTCTCGTTTATATTAATAATGGTATTTAGTTAAAAGGAAAGCACATACATATATGGTATAATTTGGTATCTTTTGGTGTCTTAGAACCGACAATTTCACAGGAATTACTCTTAATTGAGGTTATCACCGAATATTTATATTCTTTTATTTATTTCGGCTTTATTATTAGCCACAAAGCTAGGCACATCCCATTGCATGGGATTGAGTAAACTTTTGTTTTTGGTACCGAATCAATACCTTCTGCCACCTTTGCACCCTTGGAAACACCACCAAGTACTCACCCGCCCACTCGCCCATCTTGGCTAGATTCACTGAGGATCCAAACACTTTGGGTCCCACCACATTCGCATAAATCCAGGGCAGGACCTTGCGGAACACCTGGAAGCCCACTATGCCGATGGCCAAGCCGCCGAGCAGGCACAGCGTACGGGAGTTGTTCTCCTCCATTTCGAATTGTTCCGATTGCTGGCACTATATGGATTTGTAGCCTATTGCCTGTGCCGGCTGATTAGTTTCTGATTCTCCTCCGGGTTTCTGCCTTTGTCGCACAATCGCCGTCTCTGCCTCTGCCGGCGTTGTCGCGCTTCTGCTTATTGTTTTGGGTGCTTGTGGTAGTAATTTCCACACACTCCCTTCAAATCGACAGTGATTTTTGATTTTTGTTAGCTGCTTCTCGAATTTTTGCAGTTCGTCGCTTGCTGCCGCTGTTTAATATTCAAAAAGCATTTTGACGCCGGGCCAAAGGAGAAACTTAAAGCAGGAGGGCAGAAAATAAAAAGCAAATGGAAAAAGCGATTGAATGTCAATTGTCAACGGCGCGACGGCGAATCAAAATGAACGGTTCTTTCGCGTATCCGAGTGCGCGTCTGTGCGAGAGTGCGTCTGCTGGGTGTACTTTCGGTTTGTGTGTGTGTGTGTATACACGCCACTTATGTCATTCCGCTCCCGATTTTTCCACCACCGCCTCCCGACACGGGCGATAAGGGCGACACACACACATATCCACGCTGCCTGCTAAAAGTAAACACCAAGAACCGTTATGTTGCCACTGTGCCACATTAAAAAAAAAAGAAGAGAATAAGAAGAGAAACCACAATGAAGGCTTTATTCAAAGTATTATAACGTTAATCAGCAGTTTTAAGGCGCCGTTTACATATGTTTGTAAGTAATAAAGAGTACATAAACATTAAATTAGACAGCACATATTTTCCCTGTAGGGTGAGCGTAAGTTCCGTAGGCAGTGTTGCCAGTTTTATGCTCTCACCAATACACAACCACCGAATTACTTCAACTGCACATGCGCAGGAAGCATGAATAAGTGCGATAGACCATTTAATTCAGCTATTTAGTTGTCCGAACAATTAAATCGTTTAAAAAACATTCCTGCTATTTTGAACTAGCTTAATTAACGGTGATTTACCGTTAAAGCGGGATGGCAATAGAGGCGAAATGTTCGAGGACCCTCAGTCCTTTATCGATAACCAACGATAAGTATCGGTTTTTGAAATTCCACACAAGTGAGTAAGCTTTTTTTAGATAAAAATTAAATGTATTTGCAGTAATTAACTGTAATTGCATTAATTAATAGTAATTGCGCTTCTTTATTTTCATTTGTAGGAATTGCTTGAAGGCTATTCAAAAAGTAACGGCGGACACCTACATAGATTAGTGGGTGGAATATCTTCGGATTTTTGAATTTGCCGAGAGAGATGCTGATGCTGGGCTTTCCCGGAGCGCAGTCAGTAGCGCAGCAGTTGTGGGTGAGGGAACAACAACGTCTACGACCCGGCAAAGGCAACTTATACGGCCGTTTTAACAGGTCACCCCGCCGCACTACATCCACCTTCAAGTTGCTAATGGCAATAACTTTAATTATTAAAAGAAGAGTCCCTGGATTAGGGAAGGATTGCGGGTTTCTCAACGCATAAGAGGTAAGTTTGTTTGCTGTTTATTTTGGGCTTCATGGCGGAGCTTGGAGAATGGCCAGGATAACAGGGATAGGGATGCTGGCCATGCGCAGTGTATGCCCTGACCTACATTCGCGCTTATTGGCCATCCAATGGGGCAGCCAGGGCCAGCAGCAGCCGCAGCAGCAGCAGCAGTTGCAAAAAGATAAATACACACGCAACACGAGCTGGTTAATAAAAGTGCTTTCCTTCTCGCCTTTCTCTCCTCAAAAAGAAAAAAAAAAAGAAAGAAAATAAATAGAAAAGGAAAGCTGAAGCTGTAAAGCGGACAAATCGAAAAGAAAACATCTGGGAAAATGGAAATGTGAGTCCCGGGCAGCTTACCTTCTGTGTGTCGTGTGTCCAGCAGTATGCCCAATATCCTCTCCAGTTGCCGCAGCGCAATCGATAAGCAGTGAAGTTTATAGCCTTCATTAGCAATCAGCCATCAGCTATCCCCCCAAAGTCCACATCCGATTCCGCTGGCCATGCAGTGGGACGCTGCTGATGCAGTTGGATCGATATAGAACAGATTACGGGTGCATATCCTGCCACCCAACATCCCGGGATACGCTCATACTCCGTTGCAGTGATGAGATCGCGGCTGTTTTGGATACTGGCAATTATATACTCCTCGCTCCATCACATCGGATCGGGCTCCACGTCGACCACATGTGAGTTTACTTTAAAATTATTTCATTATATTTCTTTTTTATGGCAAATATATCAGTTTTAATTACTTATTTATTTATTATGATTTTTGAAATTTATTTATAGAAAGATGATAATTATGATTTTAAATCTTACTTTTACTCTATAATAACATGATCATTTCATATAGTTATTTCATAGTTTTATTTTTCACCTTTTAAATCTTAAAATAAAATATTTAAAAAATTATTTAATTTGATTTTAAAATACAGTGAAAAGACCGCGAGCTGGCGACCCCTTCGACACGTTCCCCAAGAACTTCTGGCAGGAGTTCTCATCGCCGTTCACCGACACGCCCGAGGATGAGGAGCTGGAGGTCACCGAGACGACCACACACGAGCCGTTCCCCTTCTTTGCGGACCCATACACCACGCTGAACATCAGCACCCAGCTGTCATCCAGCGTGTATTTGCATTGTCGAGTTAACGATCTCCAAGGCAAGACGGTGTCGTGGATGCGTCGACGCGGCGAGGATCTAACACTGATCACCTTTGGCCAGCACACTTACAGTGGGGATTCACGCTACTCTCTGGAGTTCGAGGAGCCCAACGACTGGAAGCTGCTCATTCAGTTTGCCAATGAGCGCGATGAGGGTCCCTACGAGTGTCAGGTGTCATCGCATCCGCCGCTCGTCCTGCTCGTCTACCTAACGATAATTGGTGAGTTGTGTTGCAGATCCTTTTATCTTTTCCGATTTCTAAACATCATTTTCTATGCAGTTCCTCACGTGGAGATCCTCGACGAGCGGGGCTCGGCCACGCCGGAGAAGTACTACAAGGCTGGCAGCACCATTGAGCTGCAGTGCGTCATTTCCAAGATTCCGCATCCCTCCTCCTACATCACCTGGCGGCACGGGCTGCGTCTGCTTAACTACGATACCAGCAGGGGTGGAATCAGGTGAATCTAATTCCAGATCCTAGCCAGAATCTTTTTCGTTAATATCTTCTTCATAATCCTGCACTTTCCAGTGTCAAGACGGACATGCTGCCAGGACGAGCGCTGAGTCGCTTGTATATCGCCAATGCCAATCGCCAGGACACCGGCAACTACACCTGCATGCTGGGCAACGAGATCACGGAGACGGTCGTGGTCCATGTGCTAAACGGTAAGTGGTCGTGGAGCTCCCACAGAATTTCCAAACGTAATTGAATTGCCTTCTCCTGCAGGTGAGGAGCCCGCTGCCATGCAGCATGCCAATGGTAGCCGCAACAAGGTTGGCGCCTCCTCCACCACAATGGTTGTGTTATTTCTAGTGTACGTGTGCTTGTCCGGAACAGGACTGGAATTGGTATTGGGATTGGAATCGCCTGGTGGTGGATTGTGGCGATGATGACGGTGCGGCGGGATCCGGGGATCGTAGATCCCAAGATCGTTGCCGTGCAGATAGAGAGAGAGAGGAAGAGGAAGAGGCGGGCGATGGAAATGCATACACCAAAAAAATCTTGTCCAGGATTGCATTTTCGACTTTTACTCTAATCATGGGTTGTTTAACATACGATACATAGCATAAACCGAAAATACTAAGCATAAGTCAAGTGTATTTATAAACCGAGTATCGGGAATCGAGAAGATACAAGTGAAGGAGAACTTGTACTAGTAAGGGCGTACGCGAAATATATAGATGAGAGCTCTTGATTTTGCAGTTTTTAGCGCTAGACATAATCTTATTATTACCATAATCGAATCGAATCGTATTACCAAGGCCGTGTTTTTGTTGGCAACACACACACAAACACATACACACTAATTGATCTTGTATACATACAAGCTTACATCTAACGTATCCATTTTTGGCCCTTTGTTACACCACCACATATATATTCGTAAGATCCGGATCTCGTTTCTTGCTTTAACGCCCTTCCGAAGGTCGTCACATCCCCAGGTTCACACTCCCAAAGCCTCTTTCCCCCCCACTTGTATGTACACCTCCGATCCAAGGCCTTGTTAAAAAATGGTTGTAGCTTCTTGAAATCAAACAGCATATCAGTTGGGATCATTCTAAATGTAATAATAATAACGCTAGCCAACGAACAAGGACATTCGATAAGTTTGCGATCCTTCGGCAATTGACTTGGAATCATAACCAAAAATAATTATTTCTTTAATTGTTTCTAGTTAGAAAATTACCAATAATATCAAAACAATAAGTCTTCATTTTCTTTATAAATATTATCTTCCAAAATGAGTTAAGACCCTGTCAGACATCGAAATTTATCGATAAAGTAGTCATTTTTTTAATATTTACCAGAACTAAACTATAAAAGTTTGAAATTATAGTTGGTTTATCAATCAAATGTAATTCCAAGTCAAATGCAGTGTAATCAACACTTGTCAGTAAAAAAAAAACCCTAGTTTCATCGTGTCAATTTTTTTATTTCCTGCCGTTAATCGGTGGCAATCGGTAATTAGTTATCGGTAATCAAAAGAGGTTGTTAAATTACTATTAAAATGAATTCATTAATTCGGAGCTTGATCAAAACTTTAAGTTTTCGTTTGAGTTGAGTTGAGTCCCAAAAAAAAAAAAATGGAAAACGTAGGACAAAAATGTAGAGGAAATGAGGACGATGATGTGTAGAAGAGACCTTAGAAAAATGTTTAACGTTAACATAAAAAGAAACCAAAAAAAGAAAAACTAAAACTGTGCCATTTAAAATGGATACATATCGTTTGATTGTTGTTAATTCGGTTGCGGAACCAATGACCATTTTTGAGGCATACGACGACGAAGACAGACAGAATGTAATTGTATATTTGTATTTGTATCTTTTTGGAATCGAACGGTTGCGTTGCCTCCTCCAAAATTCCAACACAACTCGGACCAATGGTACTTACTACTTGATTGTTTTGATTGAGAGGCGGCCCCAGAGAACCGAAAACCAAAACCAAAAGCACTATGAAGAATTCAATTAAATGATAAAATAATATATATGCATATGTATGTTCCATTTTCCTTTCTCTCCTTTGTGGGCGTGCGGTGAGGACTTATCACAATACGATTATATATATATATATGTATATCAATTCACCTTGGCTTTTGCTTCAAACTATATTTACCTATCCTACCCTCTATCCGCCATATTAACCATGTTAGCACTACCGACGGCTTTCCAACTATTTTCATATTGCTTTTCAACACATCGATCGGGTACACTCTCTTTACAAATGTATTAGGAAATCGAAGCGTATAGCATAAACACTAATTTCAATGGTCCAGTGTAGTTATTGTAAATTATTCAAATTGATCCTTGATCCCTAAACCTGATCCTTGGAGTATGCCCTTAAAAACACACGATGAAAGCAAGAACCCTTGAAGAAAGGGAGAAACAAAACAAAACAAAACAAATGTTGGAGTGAGATAACGAAACAATACTTAGAGACTAAAGAAAGTGACGAAACGAAAACTTTTAGAAAGATTTTGGTTACAGAATTATATTTAACATAATTAAATTATATATTTAAAATTGAGATTATGAAAGCAAAACATAATGCATAAATACATAATGTATAACGTGGGCGTTCCAAATACGACGGCCCCCAAAACGAAACCGTCATTGTCAAACAAAAGAAAAAACCAAAAAACTACAGATAAATGCAAAATTGTATAAAAAAGAAACACACACACACACAAATTTGTTTTTTCTATTAAAACATTTAACACATCAAAATGTGCTTTTCATTTACGGGGGTTGGCCCGTTTTTTTGGACCGTGTTTCGAGAATTTTTCCTGAAGTATTAAGTAAAGTATAAAGTATTTTTCAAAATTTTTTGCAAGTCGCCATATTGCCAAATTTCCGAGAAGAAAATATTTATAATCATTATTTACGGTCTCTGGTTTATTTACATATAATTTGTATCATTAAATATTAAAACAAAATCATTTCTTAATTAATCCCCACGCAGTTAGCCATTGTACTCCACGTCAGCATCTGTGTACATCTTGGCCGGCTGCCCGGCCAGTCCATTATCCGTCTCCATCATCTCCACATCGCGGCAGCTGGCCGCCTGCAGCTCTCTCCTCACATCGGCGGTAATCTTGAAGTGGGACTTCTTCCTGCAATCAATCAGCCGAAAGATCAAAGTCAAGTCAAATATAAAAACGTAATCTTGAGTATACCCACTTTAGGAGCTGGAGGAGGGCATCCCTCTGTTCGGAGGATATGTCGTTCTTGTAGCGCTGGGCAAAGGTGAGCAGACTCTGGTGCCATAGCACCGGCAGCTCCCGCTTGTCGTTTTCGAATCTGTATGCGAGCACAAGTCAAGTTAGTCACATGGATAATTAAGAGAACTCTACAAAGAAACCCACCTGAGGAAGTGAAAGACGGCCGCGTCGACAACGCGATACGGCAGGGCATAGCGCTTGTCCAGGAAGTAACGGATAAAGATCGAGTTGGCACCCGAATAGTTCATCTCGCAGATCTTCAGCAGGCAGGCGGACGAATGCAGCACGGGTATAGAGCTGCGCGCCACCACGCTGCCAAAGATAATGGCCTCGCGCAGCGTACAATCGCCGGCCTCTAGCAGCGGCAGGATGATGCCCTTCATGAAGGCAGCCGGCTTGAAGAGAGCCCGCTTCAGGGCATTGTACAGATGCATGTTGAGCTTCTTGTACTCGCAGAGATCGTCGCGAATGCGCGGCAGCAGCACCAGGTTGTAAAACCGCTGGGCCATCGCTTGCGACAGCACCGAGCAGAAGATTCGCGTGCCCTGGAACATGGCGGCGGCGCTCCAGTTGTGCGGCTCGGTAATGAATAGGATCTGCTCCCAGTTGCGCAGCTTCGGTATGATCTTGAAGGCCTTCGGTATCTTGCCGCTGCGATAGCGCTTTAGCACATTACGAACGCCCTCGTACATCTCCTTCACCTTGGGATCAATCTCCTCGATCTTAAGCGACCCCTCGTCGGAGATCTTCGTGTGTATGTCGGCCTCCTTCTCCTGGATCTTCTGCATGATCATCTGGGAGAGATGCAACGTGCGCTTGCCCTCCTTTGCCGGCTGCTGGAAACGCTCAAAGGCGGCCATGTCCTCAGCATCCATGTCCAGGTCGGCCATGAAGTCCGTTTCGGTGACCTCCTCATCCTCCTCCTTGGCCATGCCATCGCCTGCAAGGAAATGAGTAAGTTAAATACGATTTTTAAAGTAAATCTCAAGAAAATATAAGTTTTTTTGTGGAATAACATAAGAAAATCATAGATTTTCTTGCTTTCTGTTTTTTTTTTATATGTATTAGGTAAATATGTTAAGTTGATGCACTTACCCAAATTAAAGTTGACTTTCTTGACGGTCACCAAACTGGGAAAGTTCTCCTCGTCCAGCTCCAACTGCTGCCGCTTGGCCGCGGCCAGAATGTTCTGGCTGCTCCTGGCATCGAGATTCTGCAAGGCGACAAGACTTGGCTTTAAGAGGAAACGCTAATTTAATACTTGGCTCTTACCGGTGACTCCTCAGCCCGCAGCTTGACCTTATCCTTGGTCTTCGCCTTGGCCACCTTGCCCTCGGTGATCTGCTTCTCCAGGTTCACGGTCTTGATCGTGGCCACATTGGCCTTCTTCGGCTTGCCCATTCTGCGCCGATTTTATCGAGTATCAGTGGTTAATTTTCAGTTTTAAACTATATTCATTAGTTTCAATCGTTGCACGTGTTGCGATGTTGCAGATGTGTTGCCAGCTGGTCGGGCAATTGAAAAACAAAACACTTTTAACACATGTCTGGCAACGCCGAGACAGGGCTGATGTTTCGATAAGTTGGCATTCCTAGAGATCGTTGACTTAGCGATAGCACAAACTGTGACTTCAGCGACTTTAGTAAATTAATTTATTGTCAGATAAATATTTAAATAAAATATATGTCATTTAATACAATAAAATAAACGACTAACGTGCGGATTATTCAGGTTATTAAGAGTGTATTTAAATCAAATAATGAAGCAACTAATCATTTTTAAAGTTTTTATTGAATATGCAAATATAACAATTCTTATTATTAGCCAGGTTCTGTTTATCTGTATTAGTCTTCTCCTAATGCTTGTTGTACTGAGAAATAAACCAACTGGTTTTTTATATTGAATTTAGTTGTAAATATACCTAGCACATATTAATTAAACGTAAAAAAAAAAAACAATTATTTACCAGAAATTTTATTTAGTAAATTCTTATTTGTAATTCAAACAACTTACATAGCATAAATTCAAATTGTTTTTATGCACATATCCAGCTCATTTTTTTTAATATTTAAAACATTCAAATCAGTTACAGCTGGTAACCGTTACTACAACTATCGATATTTCTGTATTCAACAATAGTGAAACTCCCATCGCTATTTCCTCTTCGCGTTCTTTTCCAACCCTACCCTAGCCGCAAACAGACTTCGGCCGATTCTTTTTTTTTCTGCGTTGCCTGAAAACAGACGACATCATGAAGGTGTGCAAAATTTTTGTGAAAATACCCCGTTTACTCCGGCAAACTTAATAAAATATTGCGAAAAATCGAAAGCACAAGCACTGGCGCGACGAAACGTTGTGTTTGAAGTGAAAAATAACCAGTGATTGCGCTTACAGCAATTGCTGACAATAATACTTGTCGGCGCTCGTAATTTTTTTTTTTTTGTGTACAACCAACAAGCAACCCTCTACATTGTGTCTGTGTGTTTTTGTGTGTTTGCAGCTCAACGTTTCCTTTCCCGCGACGGGATGCCAGAAGTTGTTCGAAGTTGTGGACGAGCACAAGCTGCGTGTGTTCTACGAGAAGCGTATGGGCCAGGTTGTGGAGGCCGACATCCTTGGAGATGAGTGGAAGGGCTATCAGCTGCGTATTGCCGGTGGCAACGACAAGCAGGGCTTCCCCATGAAGCAGGGTGTGCTGACCCACGGTAAGTTGCCCGATGATTTCAGGGATCCCATGGATCGGGAGCGGGAGCTCTAGGTGGTTGTATGCCAAACATTGTATATGAAAGTTATATCAACATCATATTCTAGTTGGTTTACTTTAATCAGATTTGAGATCATTCTATATGTATTCTGTGGTGTTATCTGACGTTAATTCTTGTGAAGCTACTTAAAACCTAACCTTTATGAGATTTTTAAAGATATTTACTTGATTTGTGTCAAAATACACCTGACAGCTATTAAACGTACTTATTGAAATACAGCCTAGGGATCGATATTCTTTGTTTAAAAGTTAAAACATCAAAATTTGTATTTGTTTTTAATAAACTTTAAACTCTGGTAACAATGTTTGGGCCTATACAACTGTCAACCTGCTCCCATCGCTGGCCATGTGCTTTCCTCACCTGAAATACCTGGCTAATACAAATATATGTTCCCCCTTTCAGGTCGTGTGCGTCTGCTGCTGAAGAAGGGACACTCTTGCTACCGCCCACGCCGTACCGGCGAGCGTAAGCGGAAGTCTGTGCGTGGCTGCATCGTCGATGCCAACATGTCTGTGCTGGCTCTCGTGGTGATCAAGAAGGGTGAGCAGGACATTGCCGGTCTCACCGACACCACCATCCCACGTCGCCTGGGACCCAAGCGTGCCAGCAAGATCCGCAAGCTGTACAACCTGAGCAAGGAAGATGATGTCCGTCGCTTTGTGGTTCGTCGCCCCCTGCCCGCTAAGGACAACAAGAAGGCCACCTCCAAGGCCCCCAAGATCCAGCGCCTGATCACCCCCGTTGTGCTGCAGCGCAAGCACCGTCGCATTGCCCTGAAGAAGAAGCGCCAGACGGCCTCCAAGGAGGCTGCCGCCGACTATGCCAAGCTGTTGGTGCAGCGCAAGAAGGAGTCGAAGGCCAAGCGCGAGGAGGCCAAGCGTCGTCGCTCAGCCTCCATCCGCGAGTCCAAGAGCTCCATCTCTAGTGACAAGAAGTAAATGCCGATGCCGTCGTCATGCGGAACCCAAAATTGTCGTCGTTTAAGCAGAAACTGAACGTGGACCCAATTCACAATGGTCTGCGAAAAGAGAAAATAAGTTTTCGAATCATTTATGTTTAATAAATGTGCAGAAATGGTATACAAAATGTGTGTGGTTTTCAATTTTTGTTCAGTGTGTGTACGCGCACGTGTTAGTGGAAAGCCAGCTGTATGAGTGGCCATCTCAAGCCTAAAGTGCTTTCGGGATAGAATACTGTGTGGAACGGGAATGGCTTAGGCATGATTCCCAATTCATCAAAGCGGCAAGCGAGAGATTCAAGTACCTGGGAATCGAAACTGGCGCACTCGAAAAATAAACAATAAATCTCATTTTTTTTATAATCTTAATTACCAAGAAGTTCGCTTGTTCTCTTAGAGAGATAAAAGGTGTATATTAACAATTGTTTTTAAACCAATTAGAGCGAGATGAGAATGTGTGCCCTCTCTTTCCGTCTCCTGCAAAGCCCGCCATAAATGAATTTCCCTAGGATTTCGAGCTAAGACATAGGTATATTCATCGGTACGTAGTTAATGTTACACATATATAAATAAAAAACAATTAGAATGTGTATATAAGATGTTACGAGGCTTTCGTGGCGGCAGTTCCAGTCCAAAAATGGTCAGCAGGCAAAGGTCCTTATCTGCTGGCAGTGCCACTGGGTATGGGACTCTCGTCCAAAGGAACCGTAGTCACGGCAGGCGCCTCGCCGGAAATATGATTTGGATGAGCAGCCGTCAAAGTTGTCGTTGTCGTCTCCTCGAAACGCGTAAGCTTGGCCTCCTGATCGGCCAGCAGCTCGAGAAGATCCTCCTGATCCTTTTGCGTGGCTGCCAGTGATTCCTGCGCTGCATCTGCCCGCTGTCTTTCCGCCGCCAGCTGTTGGCGCAGCGTCTCCAGCTCCTTGGTCAGACGAATGTTCTCCGCAAAGTACATATTCGCCTGGTAGCGAGCGGCATTCAGTTCCTCCTCGCTTGGGGCTGGAGTTTCCGTCACTTGTCCCTGCACCACATTCACCTGACCCGTGGCACCCAGCTGGGCTTTAAGCAACGTATTCTGGTCCGAGAGCTGAGCCTTGAGGTTCTCCTCTTCGTTGAGTTTCTCCTTCAGCTTGGCATTCTCCTGTTCCAGCTCTTTGGAAGACTGCTGCAGCGTCTGGATCTGGGCATCCATGCCCCGGATTATGCCCTTGTACTGGGAGACCAGGGCAGATGCCTCCGAACTGAGCGTGAGCTCTGTCAGCTCGATGCCGTCCACATCGAAGCCGCTGACCAGCTTGGCAATCAGTGCCTCCAGTCCCTTGTACAGCTTGCAGTACTCGTAGTCGAGCAGCAGCTCGCCGGCGGACTTGGCACGGATCTGTGCCTGCTTGCAGGCCCGGCTGTAGGCCTCGTGGCGCGACACTTCCCCCAGCTTGCTGCAGAAGCTCTCCTGGCCAATGCGCTTGATGATGAGCTGACTGATGTCCTCGCGCTTCTGTCCGGGCAGAGAGTTGTCGTTGAACTGGATGCACAGGCCCATGAGGAAGGCGCACATGCCCTGGACGAGAAACTCGCGTTCGTCGTGCTCATTGGAGCACAGCTGGGCGGTCAGGTAGGCCATGGTGCCCTGCGTCTCGAGCAGCGCCTTTACCGCGCCCGGGCAGTGGGCCAGCCAAAGGCTGAGCAGCATCAGCAGGCCCACCTTGCTTTGCAACCGGTACCGTTCCTGCTGCATAAGATTGCAGCACTGCTCCAAAAGCGTAATGGGTCGCTGGCCACCGGGAGTGGCCAGTAGGACGCGCAACAACTCCTCCTTTAGGGCCACATTCTCCACGAGGGTGTGCATCAGGGCGACGGCCGAGAACCAATTGGCCAGGGCATCCGTGGAGAAGAGGCCGGTGCAAAGGAGCTGTCCCGTGGACAGAGCACTCACATCCGAGGTGCTAGACGGCAGTAGCGTCTGCACCACCGCCCGCTGGCCGTCGGCATTGCGGTAAAGGAAGCACTCGAAGCAATAGAGAACGGCACAGCGCAGGGCCAGGAGCTGCTTCTCATTGATCATGGACATTAGCAGGACTACGATGGCGGGCCTGGGCGGACTGCTTGGCGCCATAACGCGTCCCAGCTCATCCTGGTTATCCCGATCGCCGCGGACCACCTCGGCCACGGCATTGATCGTTTCCGTGAGTATGTCCGCCGGAACGCCGCTGCTCATGAGAATCTCGCAGAGGGCGTGGAGTAGACGGGACTTTTGCATGACGCGCTGGCAGGCGGTCACCACCAGCTGCTGATTGCTGGGCGTGACCAAGGCCCGGACCACCTGCAGCAGACAGTGGAAGTTGGAGACCTTTTGCGGCGACCAGCCGAGCTCCTCGGTGTCCTGGGCGAGCTCAAACATGGGCGCCAAGCGCTGGATGTAGCTGCCCTCCTTGAAGAATTGCTGGTTGCTGGAGTTGTTCTTGAGCAGGTTCAGCAGCAGGATTAGGCAGTCCTCGACGACAATGCCGCCGTCGGAGCAGCCCTCCTCGCGCACGATCTCGAATAGGCGGTCGAAAGCGTTTTCGAAGGCCACGATCTTCTGGATATTCGAGTTGCCCTTGGTCAGCTCGATCAGCAGCAGCAGGACATCGTTGCGGATGACCTCGCGGCTGTCGGTGAGCAGGTCCATCAGCTTGGACACCCCCATCGGGCTGACCAGCACAAGATCCTGCAGCTCGCGCGTCTTGTTCGAGATGAGGGATGTAATTAGCTGGATGGCGGCCCGGCGCACACGGAAATCGTACTCGTCGAGGTAACCCATCACCAGGGTTACGTGCTCCGGCGTCTTGATGAACATCTCCGTGAACTGCTCGCCCACGTTGACAGACACCGTCGGATTATCGGCCTCCTCGTCGAATTCCTCGCTCGTTACCACATTGCAGAGCGTGTCCAGGGCATAGCTTATTATCTCCGCGTCCTGGCCATCGTTCTGCAGGACTTGGACCAGCGGCGGCATGCCCTGGGCGCCCACCTCGATCCGGTATTTGCGGGACAACGCCTTCAGTGCCCGGCATGCGTCGCGACGATCCTCCAGCAGGGTGGAGGAGTAGACGCGATCGACCAGCTTTTCTACCGTCTCGGCGGCACTTGGCTGCTGGCCCGGCTCCGTGCCGCCCAGCACCGTCTTGATGCCACTCTTCAGGAACTCCATGCGCCAGCTGCCAGTGTCGTGGGGAGTGTGTTTTTACGCCAGCGGGCTGGGTTTTTTTTCGCGTTTACTTCCACGTCGCCTTTATGAAAACAATTGGCGCAGTGTGGCCAGCACCGGCAAAAACTTCGGAGTTCCTATCGATACCATCGATATTTTCAGAAAAGGCGATACGGCGACGCGGTTACACTGAAAAGCTTGTAAACAAATCGGCTTTTGTTGTGCGTGTTTGGCTTTTCTTTCGATCTCCGCAATCTGCGTCCGATCGCAGCTGGGTGGGATTCTGGCCAGGATTGGCAATGAGCAGCGGCGCCACCGGCTGCAAGCGCGTGCACAGCATCGAAGTTGAGCAGCCGCTGGAGGCGGAGCGCGTGCAGCACGGCCTGCTTTTAGTCAAAGGGCGTCTGCTGCCCAAGTGCTCGGCGGCGCGCCAATTGAGGGCCACCCTTGACAGGTCACTGGAACAGCTGACCCAGCTCTCGGCCGGCGGCGAATTTAAGCTGCTGTTTGACTTGGAGCGTGCCGCCCAAGGGAATCCAACAACGGAGACTGCCTGCCACTTGGAACTGCGCTCCTGCAGCGCCGTTCACCAGATTAGCTTCATCTACACGCCCCGTAGCAGCTCCTACAGAGTGCAACCGTTGTACCTGCTGTGCAGCGACGAGGATAAGGCCGAGGAACAGCTGCGAGAGGTGCATTCTCTCATCGATCTCAATTTGCGTCTGGTGCAGTGCATCTACGCACACAAACTGCTGGCTGCTGGCTTTCCCAATCGCACATTCACCCTGAACGGCGGCTGCTGCTCCTTCCGCAGCCAGCTGACCCAGGAACAGGCACTGGCCAAGAGCGAGGACGAGCTGTGGCAGCATTTCGCGGGCGAGATTATCGCCTGCCCTCAGTGGGGCCACCAGATTAGGCTAAAGTTTGTGGCCTTCGTCGGCTGCACGCGGTACGACGGGGCCGGTGTGGCCGCCAGTGGTGACTCCTCCTACGCCAGCATCCGGCGGCATCTAAGCGGACACGCAGCGCTCGGCGGCGGCGGACTTGCGCTGTTTGGTAGTGCCCACTTTTACGCCTGGCCGCGCAGCTTCTCGGAGATTGGCGACTGTGTACGCAGCACAGAGCGGGTGGACGTGTCCCGGCTGCCGGACGAGAGTAACTATAGGCGAACGTACGGCGGTGTGTATGCCAGCACCTTGGGTGCCGTGTGCCACGAGTTGGGCCACTGCTTCGATCTCGGGCACACCTCCGAGGGTGTAATGGGTCAGGGATTCGACTACCTAAACCGAGTCTTGACCGTAGATCAGCCTACAGAGCATCTGCCGCAACGAATCGTAGAGGCAGTGGGCGGCGGGGCAAAGAGAGCTGCTGCTGGTGGTGGCGGCGGCGGTGGTGGTGGTGGTGGTTCCAGTGCTGCAGGAAGATTGGGAGCTGCAGCTGCCGGCAACGAGGGACCCCCGGCCAACCGGCCGCGTTTTACCAAACTAAAGCTACAGGCGAGCAACCAACTCCTGGACAATTATCACAATCAAAGGCGACACGACAGCTTCTATTTCGCACGAAACTGTGCTGTGATCTTGGCCGGCCATCGCTGGCTCAATCTGGACCTGGAGGAGACCTCGTCGGCGTACATTGAGCCCGCTGACATTCAGATAAGCTGGCCCACCAAGGAGATCGTGTCCAGCCGACCCCTACGTCTGGTCGAACTGCGCTGCAACCGCAACAGTTTGGTGGCTCACTACGAGGAGTTTGAAGGGGACTCCGTGAATCGATTCCAGCTGCCAGCATCCCTGTGGCATCTCCTGGCAGAGCAGCGCACGCATTACGTATTTGTGCTGACCACTAGCGGGGATACCAAGCGACTTTCCTGTGATTCCTTACAATAAGGAGGGCGAGAAAGAGGAGCAGGTGAGGATTGTAGTGGTGATTTATCTAAAGTGAATACAGAGAACCAAGCGCATTCGAGTCGAGTGCTTGAGGGAAATTAAATCACTTCGCTTGGCATGAGTCACCCTCTCGATTCGTGGCCTTTGGGAAACCTTTGAGAAAACAAAGCAATTACTGTTTGATATTTTGAAATAGGATTCATACTACACTCTACAAGTTGAATCACACAAAGCAACACCTGCAGTTACTGTCTTCTAAATTCATTGGAAACGAGTAAGTTGAAAATATTATTTCAAAATTCTTTAGAGTTAAAAAAAACAGGCTTTTCCAAACCAAATTTTTGATATTTGAAGCTCTCTCCTTCGGTTTTCGCGTTCTTCTTTGCTCAAAGGGCAACCCATCAGTTAACAATTACCTTAATTGAGTAAATATTTGCCTACCTTCTTCATAAATTACCTGATTACACCTGCCCATAATCTGGTGAGTCATGCATTTATTACCAAACACCTCTTCGGTGACGTTTATCGGTTAGTTTTTGTTCTCAAACTGTGTGAACTTTACAGTGGAGCCAAAATGGCATTGGAAACAATAATTAATAAAGATACAAAAAAGCCATAAATTGAATGAGAATTCTAAAGGGAGCTGATAACGTGGCTAGAACGTAATCAGCTGGCCATTAATCATGGAAATTCCAAATTACTTGATAAAGTGTTAGCCAGAGAGTCGTCATTTTGGTTTTTATTTTATTTAAAAGCACTAATGACTAAGCCTCTTATTTTTGGGAGTTTATAAAAATCTTAAAAAATTGTATATTAATAGTTATAGATTATATATTAATAGATTTACAACTTTCGTATAGAATATAGAGAGAGTGTAAAACTTTAGCCACCGTAGCGCTCTGCAAGGGGTCGCACTTACAAATCAACCTGAAACACAACACAAATACAAGTGTAACCCTAGACACACGCATAGGGACAAGCGCTCCAAAAAAAACAGGGACGTAGGCTAGGGGGGTACATAGTAATTGTGGACAACCCTTTGCTGGGATCCTGCGTGCGCCACTGTCTGCAAGCAGGTTTTTCTGCCACTTGCCAATCTTGCTGCTTTGATCGTCAGCTGAGCGCTCTCCCTGCCTGAGCTCTCTCTCCCTCTCTCTCTCTCTCTCTAAGCTAAATCAGCAGCTTATTGGGGTTAAGGTGCCTTTCCCCCTCCCCCGCGCACCTCTTTGCCCCACTGAGCGCATCTTAAGAGCGAACCAGTTGTATTTTTCATTCTCCATTATCGAAGCGACGACAGCGCTGCGGCAGCGCCGAGGCAGCGAACGGGGTTCGATAGTGAAAAGTGAAATACGGAGCTGATAGAACGAATAATACAATGCCGCATAGATAAGATAAACAAACACACACGGAATCGATGTTCGTTTGAAGACTAGTGGCTCGACTTGATTCACCCAATATTTCCGCACCTCCACTTCCCCGATTCGCGCACGCAGGTTGTCGGCGGCAGCAGTCTTCAGCTGGAACGCAGCCTGAACGGATCGCACAGAACATCACATCACAACATCACCCAATAATGGCTGCCACCGAGGTATCCGCAGCTCGCATTCAGTTCAAGGCGCTGAAGGGATTTCCGGCCAGCACCAGCGATAAGCTGGAGACACAGGCCTTCCTTGCCGCCGCCAAGGAGATAGTAACTGTCATAGGTGATAACCCACACAAGGCACTTTTAAGGTTTTCAACATTATTAATATATTTATTTTTCATTCTCCATGTCCCCTTGGTTACATTTCCCCAATCCCAGAGAGCTTTGGCAAACTCTTTACGCCGGTGATCAGTGACATGAATGGAAACATAAACGTAAGAACTATGAATTATGGTCCCTGTGTTCATTTATACCCTAAAAAAAAAAAAATGAAACATTTCTGGCCTGCGATAGTGAGATTATATCGTAAAATTTTACATTTGTATTCAAATCAGAGTCGGCCACAATTGTATATAATAATAAATAATATACTATACCGCTCTCTAGAACGTGGAATTTCCACATCATCATCAAAATCTTTCAGTACTTATTCCACAAAAATTGCTTTGAGAAATATAGTTTTGATTTCTTAAATTCAAATTCGATTAACTTGAGGATTTGTAGAGACTACATGTACAATATGATCTTGCTATAATCTCGAATTACTTAGAGTTGATTTCAACAATAGATTATTCTCTTTGATTATCGACTAGAAACTAACGAAAGCCTACGGGGCGGATGTGTTGAAGTACCAGTATCTGGAGGATCTCATTGTGCTAAATGTGAATGTGGACGACTTTGCGGCCAATGCGCTGCTCTGGCTAAAGCGCGGCCTCCAGCTCATTTGCACCTTCTTCGAGAACATTTACAACGATGCCGGGGCCAAGGAGGCACTTAAGCAGCATCTGCAGGATGCCTACGAACGCACCCTGAAGCCCTATCATGGCTTCATTGTCCAGAACACAATTAAGGTGCGTTTCCGACAGCTTTCTTTCCTCATTAATAGTGGTAACCAGAGACATGTGCTTACAGATCATCTACAGCTGGGTTCCCACGCGGAGCCAGTTGCTGGGACAGGGTGCCGCTCAGGCGGAGAACATCGAGGTGATGACCAGCTATCTGCCAACAATGCGCGCCCATCTGGATGCCATCGATGCGCTGCTAAAGGCTCACAATCTGGACGATGCCCGGAAGGTGTGACGCAGCAGCGCCTTAGCATAGCTTAGCTTAAATAGCTTATTCTACTTTATTATTTATGCCAGTGTCCAAAAATAAACCTCACAAGCCTTACTCTAAGCACCCTGTTTGCCTTCACTTGGATTCTGGCGAGCGTCGCACACGTCGCCTCTGCTCGCTCGATGCTCCCGATTCCGTCAATGATGCCGGCCGCTCCTCTTCCTGCTGTTGTTCCTGCTCCTGCTCTAGCTCCTGCTCTTGCTCTCGCTCCAGCTGCAGTTGCAGCTCCCGCTTCTTCTGGCCGGGCTTACAGATCAGAAAGTGAACCAGAGACACGATGACCTCCAGCCCAATCAGGGCAAACACTGCATTTGTGATGATACGCAGCCATAGGCTTCGGCCGGCTGACGACAGGCGAAGGTAGACCATGGCTGGCAGCAGGATGCAGGGAGTTACTGTGAGCAGCAGCCACATGGAGGTGGCGCCCGAGCACAGGTTCACTGAATAGCCGGCATACAGGCGCACGGCCTCGGCGGCCACGGCCAGAATGTAGGCCACCAGCAGAGACAGACCCTCGAAATTCCACAACATCTTAAGCTGGAAAAGGGCTTCCTTGTTGGACAGGAGAAGGGACATTTGAGGATCTTGTACTACTCACCCGAATGAGAATGTGAATCAGGTAGCTCATGGCCCACACAATGGACACATAGGTGTTGGCCTGCAGCAGCATTTGGAGCACCAGATTGGCCCGATGCGGCGTCACAGAGTACGGCATTCTTGATGTATGTTAGGCGGCATGAAAGGCCTTCTTTACAGGGATACTGTTCCTGCTAGGCATTCGCTAATAAATCTAATCCCATTAAGATTTGGAAATTGGGGATTTTTAGAAGCGAAACTCCTTCGTTTGTTGTGCTTTTTGTCGGTTGTCAGGGTAACGTCGTCATCAGCCTGACTGCTGCGACATCGAGGCAATCCTGCGAGTCCAAACTGACTGCTACAGCACTCAAGGACCCAAAGTTGTAATTTTTTAATAGATTTCTTTGAGGCTAGAAAGACTCGCCAATTGATGCTGATCAAGATTATATATGTCTCCTTTTCTTCCTTGACTAAAATTATATTATTCTGCAAGGCTTATAAATCAATATAGTCATTGTGCTTTATTTAATCAATTTTACGTTATTCGTGGCGGGTCAGGGACTTCTTGCTGCGTAATAGAATGCCGTAGACTTAAGATCAGTCGTTGCCAGTTGTCGCATCCTCAGGCTCCACTGAGCCGGGGCTAGGATCTGCTACTGGCTCTGGACCGGATGAAATGGCAGGTACGGCAGGCACGTCGTCTTCCGTGACGTCTTTCTTTTTCTTCCACATCTTGGCAGCGGCCAGCAGCTTTAGATTGGGTCGCGCCATCTCGTCCTCGGGGAAGATGTAGTCAAAGAACTCCTCCCAGCCCTCTTCGACGCCATCGTCAGAGACGATCTTCTGCCGCTTCTTGACGCGATGCGGCATCTTGTCCAGCACCTTCTGTAGCGCCTGGTTATCGGCGGCGGCGTCGCGTTCAAAGTCACGCCACGCCTCCAGCAGCAGAACACGCGACTCCTTGTCACCCAGCTGGCGAAGCATCTCGTTGGCCCGCTCGTAAATGCGCCGTGCCAGTCGCACGTTTAACTCGGCATCCTGGCCGCTGTCGCCATGGTTGAGACCCATCTCGAACTTTGCAAACGACATCCAGACCTTCACGTGCTGCGTGCGCTCCAGCAGCCGCTCGTAAAGCTGACGAGCGAGCTCCGTCTCCCCCAAGGCCACTTCGAAGTCAATGTACGCCTTCCACAGCAGCTCCGGCATGTCCAGGCGCTGCTGCTGCACTGCCAACTCGAAGATGGCCCGCGCCCGCTCCGTGTCGCCCAGAAGGTTCTCCAGCTCAGCAAACTTCATCCAGGTGACACAGTTCTCGGGCCCAAACTCCAGGAACTTCTCGTACAGCAGGCGGCAGCGCTCGAACTCGCGCAACTGGATCTCCAGGTCGATGTAGCCGCGAAAGAGCTTGTCGCGCGGACACATCCCGATGGCCAGGCCGAGTGCCTTGCGCGCCCGCTGCAGCTCCTTGCAGCGGATCTCGAACTGGGCGTAGAGTAGCCACAGCTTGCTAAAGGTGAACTGCTTGTGCGGTATCAGTTCCAGGCAGGTCTTGTATATCTGGCGCGTTCGCTCCGCGTCCTCGGCCTCTAGCTCCTCGTAGAGCGCATAGTTAATCCACAAATAGATGTAGCGCCGCCAGAAGTTCTTTTCGTTCGCCGGCGGCACATTCGAGATGGCCCGCTCGTATGTCTCGCGGATCTGATCGCGCTCACCCTCTGCCTCGATGAGGCGCAGATAGTCGAACCAGGCGTCGTAGTTGGTGGGATTGGCGGCCACCTCCTGCTCGTACTGGAACTTGCGTTTGGACACGATCACATCCTCGATGCCAGCCCGGTCGCCGTACTTCTTCTCGTGAATGGTGTAGGCCTTGAACAGCTCCTGGGTGCGTTCCTTGGGCAGGTGGTCCAGTGCGTATTTATAGATAATGCGGGCCCGGTCATGCTCCTTCTGGCCCTCCTCAAACCGGGCAAAGGCTATGAACAGCCGCTCCTGGATGTACTCATCGCCAAAGAACTCCACGGCCCGCTCAAAGACGCGCCTCGCCCCATGGATGAAGCCGTGCGATTCCTCGAACTTGGCGAACTTGATCCAGTTCTTGACGTCTGGATGCACGTAGACGAAGCGCTCGTAAACCTCGCGTGCCCGATCGATCTCCTTGTAGCGCAGCTCGAAATTCACATACGTCTGCCAGGCCTGCTCCTCCGGCTGCCACTCCATCCAGCGCTCAAAGACCTGTCGCGCACCAGCCACATTCTCCAGCATCTCCTCCATGTAGGTGTATTTGTACCAGAACTGGTTGACGCGCGGCATGATGGTAACGGCGCGATCCCACAGGTTGCGGGCATGGTTCACCTGCTTGTTTTTCATCTCCATTTCGGCGTACTTCAGCCAGAGGGTCACGTTGCGGTGCTCGTTGTCCAGCGCCCGCTCCCAGATGGAGCGAGCCCGCTGGATCTCCTGCTGCTGCTCCTCCCACTGTGCATACTTGATCCAGTGGCTGACGACCATGCGGTTTTTGCGCAGATTGTCCTCGAATGTCTTTCGCTTGCGCTGCTGGTAATCGGCCAGCTCGGCGGGATCGGAGATCTTTTGCTTTGGCGGCGGCGGCAGGATCTCCAAGTCGCGCTCCTTGGCCTCGCGGAGCAACTGCTCCGCCGTTATCTGCACCTCCGCCGGCGCCTTGTTCTTCACCTAAAGGAAAACAAATGTGATGAAATAGGGCTTCTTTACACGCTCTCTGTCCAGTCCATCCTCCACACTTACCTTGGCCACCTTGGGCATCTTTTGGGGCCGCTCCATAGCTGATTTGTTTTCTTTCCTACCCAATAAATTACAAAAAAAATGAACTACAAAAATTGGCAACAATATAAATAGAGGTGTCGATGCTAATATCGATGTCATCGAAACATCGCTAACATCGATATTTGCCAGAGCATCATCGATGTTTTTCCACCTCTATAAATAAACACAACCATATAAGTAAAATTAACCATTAAGCCTATATATTTATTAATTTTTTAGTATTGATTTTCATTTTGAAAAATTGCAATAAAAAATTAAATGAATTTCTTAATTAACATCGCAAATCTATGTTTCCCTCTTGTTTATATAATCGATAATCGATAACAAGGTTGTGGTCTGTACTAATTATTTATTTTCAAATAAACTGATTTTTTGCTTTCACCTGAAAAAATGTATTTCTTACTCTGCTTTAATTTATTTCAATTAATTAAAATACACTGGAAATAAATACAATATGAGTTTTATTTATAAGTCAAAATGCCACAGGAACCATTTAAATACACAGGCACATACAATGTACGTAAAAAGCTCTATAAACATAAATATAAAAATGAATAAAAAAAAAAAAAACAATACCAATTAACGAGAATTAAAAACCGAAATAAAAATAAATTATTTGAAAAATCTCCACGAGCGCCCGTTCTGCTTCTCGGTTTTCTCCACCACCCAGTGATCGGGGTTCATCAGATAGTCGCTGGAATCAAATTATTTTTAAATGTTTTCCGATAATCACTTGTGCTTGCTGTACTCACCGGTGTTCCGCCAAGGTCTTTTGCGTCTGAGCCCGCAACGTGGCCAGGGATCCAGCCCCACCACCGTACTCCTCCGGCAGCATCTGGCGGGGCACAAACTCGTACAGCGAGTCCATGCTCACCGTGTGAAAGCGGATCTGTTATGGAGATTATAAATATTTATGCTTAGCACTAAACAAAGGGTTAAACGGAGCACCGACCAGCTTGAACACTTCGTCGCTGATGAAGGGCTTGACCACGCTGACGATCCTGTCCAGGTAGGTCGGGCAGTTGACCATGTGGATGGCGCGCAGGCGCACGGGGAAGGCCAACTGCAGGAACTTGATGTAGGCGCGCAGCGTGCTGATGGTCAGCCGGGAGATGTGACGCATGGTGGTGCCCTTCATGTCGAAGATCTGCACCTCGCCCTCGGACAGGACATCCGCGTTGGCGGGGTCATCGGGGGTGACAAAGCGACAGTCGGTGACCATGAAAAAGGCGCGCGTGTCCTCCGTGTGATGCATCTGGGGATGAGTTTGTCACAAGAGGTAAATAGTATTGGGCATTTCCGGCTCACCTTGGAGGCCTCAAAGTCCCGGAAACAGTACAGCGACACCTTGCACTTGTCCGGCGTCAGGCCAGGCAGCGGCAGGATGTCCCTGTGGAGGAAGGTAGATTATTTTTACATTAAGACAAGTGTTAATCCAACTTACGCGTAATCAAAGGTGCGCCTGCTGTCGTCATCCAGCGGATCCCTTTGGATGAAGAGGTGCGGATGCCGGTTCCGCAGTGCATAGTTCACCTCGATTAGCTTGCGCGTCTCCTCCAGGTCGCCGTACATGCACTGGTAGAAGCGGCGCAGCAACAGCGGCTCTGAAAGTGGACAGTGGACGTGGACATTACTGCGACATTTGTTTGTACACAAAAAACACACAATATATAAAGGGGCAGCAGTGACGTAACCCGACGAGTGGGCCACCTGGTGCCTACTAACGACCTCATTAGACGCCGCCACGAGTGGGAGGTGGGTGCTGCTCGTTGGAGCGGATGTGATGCGTTCCGACGCGCCGCATATGGAGGCACTGGCACACGCTCTAGGCTTACCAATATCCTTGGGCAGCTTCTCATTGAGCTGGAACCACTCGAGCAGCTCCTGCAGGTCGCGTCCCAGCTGATCCGCTTTACCATTACCCGACACAGTCGCCTCCGTTGCTGTCACCGTCGCTGTCCCTACCCCACCAGCAGCGCTCATCTTCCGTCTATCGTCTATCGGTGGGCTCTTGTCTTATCGGTTTTCAAAACGTTTTCGAATTAGGAAGCAAATCTCGGAGGCGAACCGCTGGGTATGGAGCCTGGCAGGCGACTGACTGGCCACTCTCGCCTCGATTTCGCTCATCGATTTGGTTTTTGAATATTCAATGCTATTGCGTCTGCGATTAAAAAACACGTAATTTCATAATTGCCTTTGTGCCCGTCGTTTTTGGCCCGTTGAAGCGACGCTTAATAGTGCCTAAATATGTTCCGGCCCAGCTTCTGGATCTGCCTAATCACCGGCTCGTGCTCCGCATCCCAATGTCCCTTCAATAATAATCATTTCTGTGGGAATTTCTTGATTTTTGGCTCTAGACCCTCTCCCCGAACTACATTTAAAGAAACAAAAAACCTTTTCAAATAATTATTAATAATACATTATAATTGCAAGTTCTTGTTATTGATTTGGCTACAAGCTAAAAATAGTTTTTTAAATGGCCCTGCTTATTAATATTCCTGCGGTAAAGCATTTCTCTTATTTTTTCCAAACAATAAAATATAAAATTATTTAAACAAATGGCCCCAAGCAGCCGTAATGAAGTTCATAAAAATTCCTAATTGACTCTTGATGGCAATAAAATCTGAGAAAATCAATTTCACTTAATTTATTATTAGCATTATCATAACAGATCCACGGTTTCCTTAACCTAACTGGTTGATGGAGCAGAAAAGATCAATAAGGGGAAAAACTTGAAGAAATGAGAGGGATTTTAAGGCCTCCCTTTAAAAAAAAGAAGATAATTGAAATACATATGTATATATTATATTATTATATTATATTAATTCCACCACTCATTTAAAAGTATATAGGGAAGAATTTAATAGAATAACTGAAGGCTCTAAATCCTTCGAACTGAGCTAAATTCACCGGCTTTTCTGGGACTTCCCCGACTTATCGATAGCTTTGCTTGGGCAAGTCGCTTATCACATTTGTTTAGCATCCAGGAGACTATCAGAACCAGGACCAGCGGCTCTTGCTTTGCGACGTTATCTTCCAGTAACGCTCGTCGCTCAGATACGCGCTGTCAAGGATAAAGCCAAAGGAAAAATACATATCTATAAAACTACAAGTTGATATTTTCGGTTAAAGATATGGCAATTTCACATAAATTACGTTTTTAATTTATTTTAAATTTAAAATAAATAATATTTAAATGTTAAATTTATGCTAAATTTGAAAGAAATGAATTCAAAATTGAATTAAGTTTTAAATTTAATTTTTACCCAGAAATGGATAAAGTTTATGTTTAAGTTGACCTTTTTGGGATTATTAAAATCAGTTTTCTGGTTTCTTGCCATTTCCAACAGAGTGTTCCGCATAATTAAAATATATTTAAATATACTATATATTGGTAGCCACCACTCACCTCTTCTCTCGGATGGACTGAATGCTTCTGGCCTTCAGCTGCTCTATAGTGCCCGCCTTGCCGCCGTACTCCACCGGCAGCATATCCCTGGGCACTTCAGCGTAGAGGCTCTCCAGGCCCTCCGTGTGATATTTAATCTATAAATTAATTTAAGTTTTAAAATAAATTAATTTTAAACTTTAAATTGAATTTATTATTAAATGTTGTACATAATTGAAATGTACGAAATATATCAACTTACCATATTCCGTACCTCTTCGCGCAAAAAGGGCGACATCATTGATACGAGCTTGTCCAGAAACGAGGGGCAGTTGATCACATGCATAGCCCTAAGCCGGCAAGGATAGGCCTCCTGCAGGAACTTCATGTAGATCCTCAAAACAAAGATAGAGACATAGGCCAGGTGGCGCAGAGTATAGCCCTCAATGTCCACGATCTGAACATCCCCGCTGGCGATATCTCCTTCATCCAGAACGTAGTCTTTTCCCACATCCACCTCCGCATCCGGCCTGGTGAACCGAGCATCGCTCAGCATAAAAAATATCTTGGTCTCCTCCACGGAATTGCGCTGCAAGCAAAGGGGAGTGGTGAATTGGTCTTTTTCATCATCCAAAATCGAGGATAGATCCCCACCGTAGTTGGATCCAGGTCGGTCATGCGGAAGAAGAGCAGCTTGTTACCCTCGGGTGTAATCCCAGGCAGAATCAGACAGTCGCTGCAAGGTAGAAGGAAACCAAGTTTATTATCCAGAGAGCGGATCCTAGTTGCCGACTTGTGCACTCACGACACTTTCAGACCCTTGGCGGTCATCTCATCGTTCATGTTGCGGTCCATAAACAGATGCGGATGCTTGTTGCGCATGGTATAGTTGAGCTCCACCAGGGCCTGGGTCTTCTTCACATCGTAGGCCATACACTTAAGGAACCGAAGCATCACAATGGGTTCTGTGGGGTCACAAAAAAAGGAACTGCACATGGATAGTAATCCTCAAAGAGGAGAAGTTTCCACTGGGAGATACTTGGCACACACTTGACCTTTGCCTTCGCCACTGACCAAGGTTAATGGCTCGTTAACCATATCGGTTTATTGCGCGCTCATTAATCTCACTTGACTGATTATCAATCGAAGCGAGACATGGCCTACTCACCGATCTTTTCGGGCAGGTTGGGATTGCCCTCGAACCAGGCTATCATCTCCGCCAGCTGGCCGCTCCAGGCGGTTTCCGGAGTGGACACGGGAGTGGCTAGATCCGTATCATTGTCCATTTTTGCGTGGAAAGCGTCTTTCTAATGCCGCAAAATGCCACTAACTAATCACTAGTTACTCGCTTAGACATCAAAAAGTACTAAGTACCCCAATTGATAAAGCTAACAAGCATTCGCAGTAAATTACACCCGATCTTTAGCCGATCTATAGCTTTTTTAACGCTTTCAGAGAAAGCTTTCAATAGTACAAAAGCTTGCCCCCAAACCAATCCAGTTGCTTTGGTAATTCAGCTAAAGCAATTAAACAATAATATACTTTTCGAAAAAGCAAAAAAACAAAACAGAAATTGCTGTGGAATCTTTATTGGAGCTAGAGCTGGAGCTGGAGCTGGAGCTGGACATACCTACGATATATAGTACAATACACATCCATACACATAGAACTCGAACTGGGGTAATCTCTGTGGTCGCCACCAAGTTCCCGCTTAACTCGTTTTGCCATTTGCCTTATTCCGCATTCAATCGCTTGGGAGCAAAAAAAAAACTTATATATATACTTGGGTGTATGTAGTAACCTCGTAACCACGTATCATAACAAGCAATGCTCCCCTCTATCGCTCTTTCTTCTCAAAATTCTCGAAAATGTTAACATTGTTCTTAGACCTAAAGACCTTAGGATTTCACCTTGTTATCATAACAGTTGCAGCCGTAGGAGCGGTTGCAAATGAAGAAGTGGAACTGGAAAGGCTGGAAACTTACATGTATTAACACCGATGATAGACACAGACAAAGAGTACATTCATATTGATTCTGGACAGGATCGGTTCGGCTTATTGTATCTCCAGAGGGTCAGTGCAAAGGTAATGTAACAAAAAAGATGCCTAACGCGCTTGATTGAATTGAAAGTACACTCTGCATTATCAAAAGAGTCTGGAGCTAACTCTCTTGCAAATCCTTCGGCTTTACGCATCTTGTTCACTATATTGCCTTTGATCACTGACTCAACGTAAAACATCTAATAATGTAGGATACATCAAGTAATGCGGGTTAATCGGGGGCTGGATACATGCATCGTCACAGATATATAACGTCTATATGCTACATGCGCTCTCTCTTTCTCTCTATTTGATAGATAGGTTATAGACATGGAACAACATTACTGGCACTGGCAAATGCTACAATTGAGAATGCATATGGCGCCGGGATCGAAAAGTATACCCCAGCACCGCACACAAGTTTGCATATATATATGTATATAGATCATCTTAGAAGCTAGTCTTACGAACTCGTTATCATTATTGTTATCCTGATCGAGCAGAGGGAAAGGGAATCGCAACTACACGGGCTTCCTGCCCACCACCACCCTTGACTTCTGCCCGAAGATCTGGGAAATACTGAAGTGTGGCTTGACTTGTGTCTCTCGTTCAATACTGACGGGTTGCATGTGGAGCAGATCTGGGGCCACTGTCGTGTCCACATCCGCTGCCGTGTTCCGACGCCCTCACATGGTGTGCGTCCTGGCCACGGTGCCCCGTCGCAGGAGTCGGGACTAGCTGAAAATGCTACGTCATAAGCTGACCAGCGTCGCCTTGCGCTGCGCCTCTAGGCGGATCTCCAGCGTGGCATATGGCGGAACGCTGATCACCAGCAGCACCACCAAGGCAATCACCTTCAGCGATTCGCACAGGAAGCCATGGCCAGCAAACGTCAAGCCCAAGCCCAGGAAGCGCAGCCCCAAGAGGGGAGCCGAAACCTCGGCCACATGACCGGCATGGTTCAGGGTGACCAGCGAGAGCAGCAACGTTTCCCACATCCCATTGCAGGCGCCCCACGAGGCGGCAATGACGTAGAACAGGGCGCTGTCGTCGCTCGATGGCTTCCAGCTGGACAGGGCCAGCAGCAGGCAGGAGTGAAAGAAGAAGCCGGCCACTAAAAAGAGACAAAAGGAAAAAGGTTCTAATGGTGTCGGACTCAGGCATGGTCAGGGAATTTACTCACAAATCACCACGATCCGCTTGACGTGCCGGAGCAACATGCTCAGCGTGCAGGAGACGATGAGCTGCATCAGACCCATGCCTATTAATGCTCCGGCAATCATGCCAATGCCCAGCGAGCACGTGACAAAGGCCCGCAGGAAGTCGCCCAGCATGTAGGCCTGCTCTGTGCCCACAAAGTAGGCCAGGGGTCCGGCAAAAAGCAGGGTATCCGTGATGGTCACATCCCGCGAGCTTCCGCCGCCGCCACCGCCTCCAGTGCCGGCTCTCTCCGGCCGCGATGAGCCCGTGGAGTGGACTTTGCCTACTCCCACCACCAGTGACAGGAGCAGGGATACCAGCGCCAAGAGCACATATAGCCAGAGCAGCGACTGCCCCGCCACCCGAGGCTCGCTTTCGATGAATCCCGCATAGATGGAACTGGGCAGGGCCGTGCCATTGGCATAGTTCGTAGCCAGGAGGGACTGCACCCGCACCGGGCACATGTCCGCGCCACAGATCCGCTCACCATGCTCATTCCGGTTGTAGAAATCCCTCAGCTGGGGCGGCCAGCTCTCGTTGCCATTGTCCACCAGTCCAGAACAGTCGCCGTTCCAATCACCCTCGCTGCAGGTGAGCAGCAGCGAGGCCAGCAGAGCGCCGGCAATGAGGCCCAGATCCTGGGAGGCTCGGAACCATCTGGCCAGACGCCTTACCTTCTGATCCCGGTTGCAGAACATCTTGTGCTCCTCGTGCAGCACATCTACTGCCGCCTGCGATTGCTGTGTTTCGCAGGCGTGCTGCTGCGAGCAGCTCAGCTTTCCGCCATAGTGGACAATCAAGGCTGCCTTGGAGCAGGCGGCGCCGCTCAAGGTGAAGCCCAGCAGCAGGTAGGCTGGCAGCAGCGTGTAGATGGAGGCGTACAGGTGCGATAGCAGGAACAAGGTCACTGCCAGGTAATTGGCCGCCAGCAATGGAGCATAGCCATAGCGTCGGATCAGGCGGATGCTGGGGAGGCTCATGCCGGCGGCCACCAGAAAGAGGATGGCCAGTAGCAGGGAACCCACATCCGGTCCAATGGGCAGCCATTGTTCGCGATGATGCCAGACGGCATTGGAGCCCTGCAGCGCCATTACCGGCAGCAGGACGGCGTTCATCAGGCCATGCGCCAGGCTCAGGCAGCTGAACTGACGCCACACCTTCTGGCGCACATGGGCGGGCACCTTGTGCCGGCAGTTGCGGTTATTCAGTGTGATCAAACGCCGGATGGAGGTGGCCCCAATGCTGCTGTTAATGGACTCTCTCCGCCGGGAGGCGGCCAGGGCGGCCTGCACCTGGTAGGAGGACACCGGGTTGATGCGGTGCGAGCGTGTCGATATGGGCGAAGGCGAGTAGGTGGTCAGGCGCTGCAGGGGGAGAGAGAAAGAGTGGGTTAGGAAGCAAAGGTCAAGCTGAAAGCTAATAGGAATCACTTGTTGCTGTGACGCACATCCTGCCATAAGCGGATAACAACTGAGAGGACATCTTCCCGGAATTGTTAACTCGAAAAAGCTGCCCTGGCTTCCAGGAATAGCCATGGATTATCAGCTAATGGTTCAGCCTTGAGCTACAATTTCAATTACAATGCAAAAGCCAGAAGGACGACGGGGTGGCAGCCAGTTCCAACTTAATTACTTGTTGTGCAACCGAGAAGAATAATCCCCCGTCCTCCACAAGATGGTCAAGATGAATAATCTATTTATAGAGGCGCCCCTGCCCCCACTCACCTCCATCATCTGCTCATCTAAGACGTTTTGGTTTCCCCCGGAGCTGCGGGTACGGAGCACACGATGCCTGGTGGTCAGCGAGTGGCGGTGCTGATGATGGTGCTGGTGGTGATGCGAATGCGGTGCATACTTCTTGCCCAGTCCCAGCATAGCGAAACCACTCAACGTAGTGGCTGTGGTGGCCACCAGAGGAGGAGCCGCCGCACCAGATGTCGGACCCTTGCCAGAGGAGGTGGTACCATTACCGCTGGGCAGTTCTCCGTTCCCGGTGGCTGTTCCACCACCGGAATTGATCAGCGATCCGCCGCCGATGCCCAGACCAGCCATTATGTAGGCATTATACGAGGATTGCTGGATAGGGAGCAAGGGGAATCAGGGATTTACTTAACCAGAACTGTTGCTATAGCCTCACCTTGCGCTGCTGGGCAAAGACGGAGAGACGCTCCCGCTCGCGACTCGTGTCCCGGGCCCGCTGCTCCAGCAGCAGCTCATACTCGCGCCGCTTCTCCCGCTTGCGCTCCGCCTCCTCCAGCTCGTGCAGATTCGGCAGGCTGCCCATTATCGCCCACTTATCGGATATTGCGTCCACAGTGGATCTTACGACCGCGACTGCGAGTCCTTGGCTGACATCTCTGCTGCTTCGCTGCTGCTTCTGGCTCTGGAATACTCCACTGGCATCCCAATCCGTGGGCCTTCCTTGATGCGGATGCGGATGTCTGTTGCGAGTGACTGTTGAATGTGAATCCGAATACGGATGAAGATGCTCAAGTTATTGTCTGCGTCTGCGCTGCGTGGGCGGGTTCATGTTCATTGTCCTTCGCGGACATCCCCTTACGTGGATGTGGAGGAGGCTAGTGAATAATCCAGTTCAGCGGAGTGTGGATAGTGCCTGTGGATGGAGCAGGAAATTAAAGGGGATATTGAATGCAGAGCCACCTATCGGACAAGTTGTCAGTGCACCTGGATCGAACGGAACTCTCCCACACACACACACACACGCGGGCTTCCGCTCGCCCGTACATGTGCTGCATACTTATATGGGCCATATACAGACATACAAACATACTGCATATTTTTTACAGTGCTAACAGTGGCGGTCGCACCAACAGGCCAGGTTTTAAAGCAAGGGATTTAATTGGCACTACCAATGCATTTCAACCAATGTTTCTCTTTCCTTGGATTTGATTTTTAAATTGCATCTTATTATTATTATTTTTATTTTTAATTACAAGCAGTCCTCTAAGCATAACCAGTGAACAAGCTAATTCCAGGAGTTACTACTAAGTGTATCGCACCTAGTTCTGCTAAGCCGATTTAAATATAAATGGGAGATAAATCCATAATTACACTAAGAAAGGCAATATGCCCTTGGAATTAATTAAATAATGCCTGCCAGAATCCCCTAGAGCCTTGAGAGAACATCCTTGACCAAGGCCAACGATGGCATATGCCCGTGGGTAGATCAATTTCAATCAAGCGTGTCGTGTCTCTGGCTCCAGTAATCAGGTTTCGTTAACTAACCAACCAGTGCTATTGGTGCGTCCGCCACTGCGTGGCCCCATCTATGCAGCTGTAGTTGTCGTTGTACTTCCATGGCCAAAAGAATTCAGCTAACACACACGCACATGGACAAAATCATCAGGTGTGTCCATTTCGAGTTATCTACACATGTGCACGCATGTATACACACAAACACACACGCACGCAGGTGTGCCAGCTGAGGGCCCAGGGTCAGAAGGGACTTTGGAAATGGAGGAGCCTTCTGGCCCCGGGCGAGCTTGAATTGGATTCGAATGGCCATGGTAGATGAAAATGGGTGACAAGGGGCCTAAAGACAATGGGCACAACATTTTGCAGCTCATAATCAACTCATAAACAGACTTGCCACTACTCACCACCACACACCCACTCTCTCACACACACACACACACACACACACACACACACACGAAAATAAACTCCAGTTGAGGCGCAGTTGCGGGCACACGCCCCTAGGGGGCGACACGCTCACCCCTCCGGGCAGCAGGACAGAGAGAGGGAAAGTGGGAGAGATGGGGACAGTTTGGCAGGACAGGAGGAGGATAACAAATGCAAAAAGGCAAGATGAAAAATGAATGTGAATATGAATATTTTAAAAACCAAACAAAGACACTGACTGGGACACACACAAACACAAATACTCCCCCACACATATACTCACATACACATGTACGTGTACAGATGCAAATAACAGTACAAACCCCGTTAGAAGCGCTTTTTAGTTTGCCGTTAAATTTGTTTTTAATTCTCTCGCAGCCAGGCTACTCGCAGGCATTATTCCGTCCGTCGCAAATTGTTTATAAGCTTTATAAGACCACAGCCAGGAACAGGACCACTCAACGCACATCAACACTGCACAACACGGCCGCACGCGAACTGCTCCAGAAGCACACTGAGCATTGGCAGGGATTACTGCCCAGTCTCTGATTTCGCTACTGCTGCTGCTGCTGCTGAAACTGTTGTCATCTCGTCGAGCCAGAGGCTGAGCCTGAGCCTGAGCCTTCGCCTTTGACAGCATCTCGCTGCTGCTGCTGCCGGGACATGCGCACTGCGGCCTCCATTTCCTCCGAACGAACCCTATCCGTGTGCACGGCGAGAAAACGCTGGGCAAGCGAGGGTCAATCCCTGGACTTTGTAATGCAGAACCCAATAGAACTATAATTACATAGTATAATTTCTGGATAAGGTGTCTAGAACAGGTTTTGTCCCACTTCAGTTACAATTTTATGTCACAGTATGAAAGCTTAAAGAAGATTCATATGTATATCGCATCCTAATCCTAGGACGCGCTCCTCGTGGAAATCGTCGGCCTCCTCCTCCCGCTCTCGGTCTTTGAGAGCAACGATTAAAATAACTCAAAGACCCAATTAAAATGTTAATTTTAAAATTTTTTTTTCTAAATTTTTCTGAATTTTTAATTTGTTTTCTGATTTTTTAACATTTTGTTTATCAGATTTTTTATAATTATTTTAGAATTTTATTTTGAATTTTTAAAATTTTTTTAAAAATATTTTAACTGCCAAATTTGAATTTGAATTTAACTGCCAAATTTGAATTTAACGACGATCAGTTGCAGTTGTAAAATAAAACCTAAATTTGGATTCAAAAGGGTTGAGTCTCCGCTTACTTGCGCCGGCTCCTAAATGGTTTGAAACTTGGACGTTTTATAACAGTTTATACCAGTTTTCAGTTGCTTGCTGCTGTATTCTGTTCGCCTGTTACCCCAATTTGAGAAACGGGCAATTTCTTAATTCTTAATAAAGCTGCTTACTCAGTTTTATTGAAAATTATTTACCTGTAATTTTTAAAGAATTTTTTAAACAAAAATGAACAAAAAACAGCTTTCCGAATTGAATTTCACGCATTTTTGGCCAAATTATGAGGTTTTCCGAAATTTTTGTTTAACATTTTTTATAAATTATAGGAAAGTATTTTAGCAAAACTGCAGTTTTGTTAAGCTTAGAAAATGCCATTCAGAACAGCTTTCCGAATTGAATTTCATGCATTTTTGGCCGAGCTATGAACAATTGAAAATTTAACATTTCTACTCATTATATAACTCATGGCTCAGATCAGCTCGCTGACTCTTTGAGAGCAACGATTAAAATAACTCAAAGACGCAATGAAAACGAACAACTGTTGTTGTTGTTAAATGCATTTATTGTAGGAATATTGTTGTTATTGTTGTAGAAACAACAAGGTTTCCATTTGGACATTTTCAGTACAAATTCATACATTTCTGGGAGTCAAGTACCAGGCGAACAGAATCAGCAGGAGGTGGATTTACATTGGTGCAAATCAATATTTTCACTCAATGTTAATACTTCCACTCATTGCTTTCACTCCTCGCCACTCTGAGTTCGAAAGTTGTTCGAAACGGAGAGACGGACCATTTACGAAAGCGGGAGAGCAGCGGTTACCATAACTCTTTGACTCAATGGATTCACAGAGCAGCACGTCAGCTACGGTCTTCGCTCTCCTTCTCTTTGTTCGCCAGTTACGGCCTTCGGGGATTTAGAGAGCCGAAATGAGTGCACAGCATTGTTTTTACTCAAATGCAACATTTCTCACTCATTGCATAGATCAGCTCGCTGATTCTTTGAGCGCAACGATTAAAATAACTCAAAGACCCAATGGAAAAAAACAACTGTTGTTGTTGTTAAATGCATTTATTGTAGGAATATTGTTGTTATTGTTGTAGAAACAACAAGGTTTCAATTTGGACATTTTCAGTACAAATTCATACATTTCTGGGAGTCAAGTACCAGGCGAACAGAATCAGCAGGAGGTGGATTTACATTGGAGCAAATCAATATTTTCACTCAATGTTAATACTTCCACTCATTGTTTTTACTCTTCGAAACTCTGTGTACGAAAGTTGTTCGAAACGGAGAGACGGACCATTTACGAAAGCGGGAGAGCAGCGGTTACCATAACTCTTTGACTCAATGGATTCACAGAGCAGCACGTCAGCTACGGTCTTCGCTCTCCTTCTCTTTGTTCGCCAGCTACGGCCTTCGGGGATTTAGAGAGCCGAAATGAGTGCACAGCATTGTTTTTACTCAAATGCAACATATTTCACTCATTGCATAGATCAGCTCGCTGAATCTTTGAGCGCAATGATTAAAATAACTCAAAGACCCAATGAAAAAAAAACAACTGTTGTTGTTGTTAAATGCATTTATTGTAGGAATATTGTTGTTATTGTTGTAGAAACAATAAGATTTCAAATTGGACATTTTCAGTACAAATTCATACATTTCTGGGAGTCAGTACCAGGCGAACAGAATCAGCAGGAGGTGGATTTACATTGGTGCAAATCAATATTTTCACTCAATGTTAATACTTCCACTCATTGCTTTCACCCCTCGCCACTCTGAGTTCGAAAGTTGTTCGAAACGGAGAGACGGACCATTTACGAAAGCGGGAGAGCAGCGGTTACCATAACTCTTTGACTCAATGGATTCACAGAGCAGCACGTCAGCTACGGTCTTCGCTCTCCTTCTCTTTGTTCGCCAGTTACGGCCTTCGGGGATTTAGAGAGCCGAAATGAGTACACAGCATTGTTTTTACTCAAATGCAACATTTCTCACTCATTGCATAGATCAGCTCGCTGATTCTTTGAGCGCAACGATTAAAATAACTCAAAGACCCAATGAAAAAGAACAACTGTTGTTGTTCTTAAATGCATTTATTGTAGGAATATTGTTTTTATTGTTGTAGAAACAACAAGGTTTCAATTTGGACATTTTCAGTACAAATTCATACATTTCTGGGAGTCAAGTACCAGGCGAACAGAATCAGCAGGAGGTGGATTTACATTGGTGAAAACGAAATTTTCACTCAAAGCCGAAATCGCACTGCTTAGAGAATGGACTCAAACCATTAATATAACTCATATCCGATCTCTCGCTCTGTGCTAGCCAGCAACTCAAGCTCGTTGTCATTGAGAGAAAATGTCGTTTGCACTAGAGTAAATCCACCTTCTGCTGGTTCTGTTCGCCAGTTACTTGACTCCCAGAAATGTATGAATTTGTACTAAAAATGTCCAAATTGAAATTGGAAAGGAACAGAAGCAAGGAGCCCAGCAGCAGCAAGTGTTTGGCGATTAACTGTTTTTGTCCATCTCTAAGTTCGAAAATTTTAATGGCCGCCGCACTAACCAATCAGGAGCCTTCTTGTACCAATAATAAATTGTAACTTATAAATTTTATTGTTCTGGCAATTTTCGAACATTTTAACCCGTTATAAAATTAAAAAAAAAAATACATATATATTGTAAAATTTTTGGAAAAAACAAAACTTAAAAAATCTCTCACATTCCCAATAAATTTAATGCATTTTTGGCTTAGTTATGGCTGAGAAAAAAAACTGTGAAAATAGGTATTTTGAAAGCCTTTTTTTAATATATCCAAAGGTCAAATTTCACAAACCCAGTAAATACATAATTAAGTTCATTTTGTTGCATTTATAAACATTTATTCGTTCGAATTTGACGGGAGACCAGTGCTGCCCAAGCAGCAGATGCAAAAGGGCTGCCAGATGGTTGAAAATTGGTGAATTTATAGGCGGCATTAATCGGTTATCGCTCATTGACCGAACATCGATTTTTTTTCCGTTACCTTTTGAAAGAGCTAAAAATCCGAATAAATTAATCCACCAAGGCATTTAGTATATTAATATATTTTGGCAAATTCTGTAACATGGTTGTTTAGAGTAACGTTTTCTATATACTTAATATGCTTACAACGAGTTCATTGGCTACACAAAAAAAAAAAAAGATCTACGCAAAATGTTCAGCTGCCTTGGGCAACAATGTGGTGCGTTATCATAATAAGTTTGTGGGACTTGTGACTGGTGGGGTGGTTGGTTGGTGGCGGTTTGGTGGCTTAGTGCTTTCGTGGTTTCGTGGGTGGCTTTTCAGCCCCAGCTGCGGGCTCCACAGATGTCAACCGCAGTCCAATGCATGATGGTGATGGCTGCCTGTCCTCCACCTCCGCCTCCTTCGTGTGCTTCTTGTGCTTCCGCAGCCCCTTCTCCTTCTCCTTCTCCCTCCCCATTCACATTCCTTTCGCCCAAACCTTCTCCTCCTCGCGGAATCTCGGGAATTCCCCCTGTTTCCATGGCCAGGCTGCAGTGCTTTTCAAGGGTAACCTGCTTCCATGGCCTTTCCTCGGGATTTTCCTTCATAATTCCGATGCCGCCCGTCGTGTGGCAGGCCGCGTATAACAACTATGCGGTCACATAGTACTCCCTTTGGCGCTTCTGACACTTCTCCCGGGCGATATAGCACAGAGCGATCGTGATGAGCAGGACAATGGTCACGCCCATTCCAATGCTCACCCACATGATTTCTTCATTGATTCCCACGTACGAGCGTCCTGGCAAGAGTTTTAATTACAGTTAATTTTAATTTTGTTTCTTAAAAAATATGATTTAATCGAGGCACTCACCATTGTAGTAGTGATTGGAGTAGCCGGCTTTGCCAGCTACTCGACCCGCTGGCATTTTGTTACTAGCTTAAGGCCCTTAAATAGTTCAATTTACAATTGAAAAATGAGTGTAGCTTTTTGTCTATATGGTTTTCTGCTTGCTGATCAGGTGGCTGCGATTTCCTGTTTGGTTTTTGGTCGTTTTACAGCCTTTTTGCCTGCTTTCTTCTCCCCTTTTCGGCTTGTTGTTAATTTATGTGTTTTTTGGTTGCATTCCGCATTTATAAAGCCTTTTTGGGCTGAAAAAATGAGAGGGAAATTCAAAAATAAAATAAATTTAAAATTCAAAAGGTTAATGCTGACTGGCAGCACTGGCGCTGAATGGGTAACACTGTAAGTCAGCTGATTCAATTTGTAAATTCCCTGGAATCGCGTATCGTTTGGCGATTCAACTAAATGTGTGTCAGTTTTTAATTATAAATTAGTACTTAATAGTCAACAAACCTAACATGGAACAAGCTCAGGCTAATGAACACCTGACTTTGGGGGAACAACTGAAAGGTCAAGGCGGAAATACCGACAATGCCGGCAACTTGGTGGCGGCGGAAGCAGAGGAGCCGGCCAATGAGTCGTGGAAGAACGCCAGCCAAAGATCCATAATATGCCAGGAAGAAAGTATTTGTGAGTGCCGTAAGTCTATCTATCTTTTACTTTTATAATTATTATTTTTTGTTTACTTCCAAACATACAATATTATTATTATTATTATCAGATCCGGGATTCCCACCCCAAAATTGGTGACTAAGTTAGTCAAGTTCTAAACCTGCGCTCATATTCATGTTTTTCTCATACTTGAACCCCCTGATACCCTATAGTGGATTTTCCAGTTTCTACCCTTCGAAATCTTATGTATCGAAAAGCCTAAAATACCAAGAGATTAAAAAGAACAACAGGTTGAGGCTGGTCAGTTAATTTAAGTTTTTTTTTAAATTAATTTAATTAAGTAATAAAAAAATTAAGGTAGACATATCGACGCATTTTTGCGAAAGTATCGTATGTCGCTTTTTTTCGAAATTGAGATTTTAATGCAAAATTGTTAGGCACCTAATGTCTCACTACCCTGTGAAATATTATAACTGAAAACCCTATAGTTCCGATAAAAATTAAGTTTCAATTTTGTCTTTTCTATAGTGCTTCCTAAGAGATTAAAGCACAAAAAAGCTTCTCCTGTAAAATTGGATTTTTCGACATACGATACTTTCGCGAAAATGCGTCGATATATTTTTAAATTATTATTATTTTTTTTAGATTTACTTAAAAAATGATTTGAAAATTGTATTAAAAATTAGTTGAAATTTTTTTTAATTATTTAAAAATTTCATAAAATTATTTGATTTTTTTTTATTAAAAGTATTAATTAAAATATTAAACATATTTTTAACTATTTGAATTTTTTTTAATGAATTGATATTTTTTAATAATTAAAATATTAAAAAAAAAGTTAAAATTGTTAAATTTTTTTTAAAATTATTTGTGTTAAATATTACAATTAATTGCATTTTTTAAATTTATATCAATTTTTTTGTTTTTAATTATTTGAAATTGTTCAAAAAAGTAATTTAAATTTCTTTTTACATATTTAAAAATTATTTAAAGAAATGTTTTGAAATTTTTTTTTTAACTTTAAAATATAATAATACAAATAAAATATAATATATATTTTGACAAAATCTAATTTTTATACCCTTGCAGGGTATTATAATTTTAGTCAGAAGTTTGCAACGCAGTATATATATTCTTGATCAGCATCAACAGCCGAGTCGATCTAGCCATGTCCGTCTGTCCGTCTGTCCGTCTGTCCGTTTCTACGCAAACTAGTCCCTCAGTTTTAAAGCTATCTCAATGAAACTTTGCATATAGTCTTCTATATGCTCTCACTGCTATATATGTCGGAACGGGCCGGATCGGACGACTATATCATATAGCTGCCATACAAATGTTCGATATATTTTTAGAAAAATAATTATAACTTTGCTGTTTTTTAACATTTTTGCACCATTTTTTAGATATGGCCACTTTATATTATTTCGGAATTTTGGTAAAAATTTTATGAAAATCGGACGACTATATCATATAGCTGCCATAGGAACGATCGGGAAATTAATAGAAAAAAAATTATAGATTCGTTGTTTTTCAACGTATTTTCATCTACTTCGGGATATAAGCTTATTTTATTATTCTAGAATTTTGGTATAAATTTCAAAATAATCGAACAACTATATCATATAGCTGCCATATAAACGATCGGTAGATGTAGGGAAAATGTAAAGCTGGAAATGCAAAACTGTAACTGTCAAACTGTAAACATAATAAGTATAGGTAAAATGTCATGAAATAATATCTGCAAGGGTATACAAACTTCGGCGTGCCGAAGTTAGCTTCCTTTCTTGTTTTTATTTTCCATTAATTGATTTTTTTTTAACTATTTGAGATGTTTTTAAAGACATTTTTTAAAATTTGTTTTTAAACTTTTCTTAAAGTCCCTTGAAAAAATGCAACAGAAAAGAGTTTTAAATTTGAATGCCTTTATTATTTTGCTCTGTACAAACGGCCTTCAGCCCGCCCACCCACCACATTTCAAGATATAACGAGACCAGAGATAACTCTTTTCAATAGAAAAACCTAGAGATTTTGCATTTTGCACTGCGCATTGGGAAGTCAGACAGCCCACAGCAGCCGCCGGAGAAAATGTTCGGTCGCCAGACTCCGTTAACCAGCCCCTCCCTTGCAGCCCAACTAGAGGCGGAGGCCATCAAGGACAACCGCCAGCTGCTGGGGTTCCAAGTGCGGAGCAGGAATATCGACTGGAGGCGCTTCGTCCAGCCGCTGGACACCAGTGTGCGCTCGGAGGCGGTCTATTTGGGCCGGCAGGCGGACTTGCTGTACAGCCCCCGGCGCCCGGTGACCGAGGAGAACCGCAGGGAGCTGCTCGTCTGCCACGACATGATGGGCAACTACCTGGAGGATCGGTACCACACCTAGAGATTTCGATCAAGAAACCTAACACTTCTTCTGATTCCTCCAGGCACTTTCACAGCTCGGAGAAGTACGACGACTACAGATTCCAGCACTGGTCGGCCGTGGACTACTTCTGCTACTTCAGCCACAACTACGTGACCATTCCGCCCAGCGGCTGGCTGAATGCCGCCCATCGCCATGGTGTTCCGGTGCTGGGCACTTTCATAGTGGAGGCTCCCGGACCCCTGGACGAGGTCCTGGCCAGCGAGGAGAGTGTGAGCCGAACGGTGGCGGCCCTTACCCGCCTGTGCCTGCACTTTGGCTTTGAGGGATGGCTGGTCAACGTGGAGGTAACGGTGCCCCAGCGGAACATGCCCAACTTGTAGTGAGTATCATTACGGACAAGGATGAGGGTTAAATGAGGTAGAATACTCTTCCCCCTCGCTCCACAGTCGCTTTGTGCGGGAACTGACCAGCAACACGGAGTCGCGTGTGCCACATGGGCGCGTCTTCTGGTACGACAGCGTCACCGAGAGCGGAGATCTCAACTGGCAGAACGAGCTGAACGCACGCAATGCCGAGTTCTTCCGCCGCAGCCATGGAACGCTGATCAACTACGCCTGGAGCGACCAGCACTTGGATCGCAGTGCCCGGCAGGTGGAGCAGGAGGGCTCCCAGCGGCGTCGCGTCTTCATGGGCCTGGATGTCTTCGGCAGGAGCAGGAAGGGCGGCTTCCACACCATGGAGAGTATGGACAAAATAGCTGGAATGGGCTTCTCGGCGGGAATCTTTGCACCCGGCTGGTCCTTTGAGACCCTTCGCACCTACGGCTATAACATCAAGAACTCCCGCGGCGATGAGCAGACCAACTCCGCCTTTCTGGCCCGGAATGAGGCCTGGTGGGCCCGCATTTGGCCCGCTCTGGCCACACATCCCTACCGATCGCTGCCCTTCTACACGGACTTTTGCGTGGGTTCCGGTCGACGGAGCTATGACTGCGGTGCCTCGGATTCCGGGCGCTCCTTCTTCAATCTGTCGCGGCAGTCGCTGCAGCCGTCGGTGCCGCTGGACAAGAACGCAGTGCACGACTTCGAGACGGCCTTTTCGGGCAGCTGTTCGCTTCTCGTGGCCAACTACGAGCGAGCCTTCCGGCTCTTTGTCACGGACTTTACGCTGACCCGGGGCGTCCTCCTGCTGGGCTATGCCTATAAATTCGGAGGAGCCGGCAGTGAGGACCACGTTTTCGAAATGGTTGTCCGGGTGACGCCGCTGCGTAGAAACGATCGGCTGAAGGAGGAGCTGTACCTGGTCTGCAGGGAGCACAATGGATGGACTCTGGCGCCACATCGTTGCGTTCTCTACCCGGTGGAGGAGCCCCTGCCCCCGGGCATAGTCCACGCCAAGCTGCCCCAGCAGGCCGGAAGGCAGGGCGAGGGCTGGCATGTGCGCTACTTCCTGGCCAAGTTCGATGGACCCGTGCGGGTGGAGGACATAGGAGTAATGTGCCACAGACCGCCGGGATCCAAAGCAGAGGCTCACCTGGGTGCCGTTTTCGTGGAGGGTCCAACCCTCGAGGATTGGGCGGCAACTCGGTCTCAGCGAAAGGAGGAAGTGGATGTGTACCGCCAGAACATGTGGAAGAGGAGCCCAGTGGGTAATTAGAGGGTTCAAGAGAATTCAGTTGTCTCTTTTTGGATTTTGTATATAATAAAATTTTCCGTTTTTTTTTTTTTAACTTTTTGATAACTTTTCAAAATTAAGTGTATATAGTTTAAACGAATAAAAATTTTCAAGGAATAAATTTATACAGAAACCAATTTTACTCAAATTTTTAAAATTTAAAAAAATTATAGATTAAATTTGTAAAGAACAAGGAAACAATAGACTAATTTTAATAGAATCTAAATTTTTTATTAGCCCAAAAAAAAGGGTTACATTTTTAAAATTGTCAAAAATTGCCACAGTTTATACTTTTACATGTTAAATTAAGTGTGCAGATTTGTAAACTTTATAAAAACTAACACAACAAGTTTGTATTCATTATCACAAAGATTCGTTCCCATTTATATATATATATATATATATATATACTTATATATTTTTATACCCTTGCAGGGTATTATAATTTCAGTCAGAAGTTTGCAACGCAGTGAAGGAGACCTTTCCGACCCTATAAAGTATATATATTCTTGATCAGCATCAACAGCCGAGTCGATCTAGCCATGTCCGTCTGTCCGTCTGTCTATCTGTCTGTCTGTCTGTCTGTCCGTCTGTCCGTCTGTCCGTCTGTCCGTCTGTCCGTCTGTCCGTCTGTCTGTCTGTCTGTTTCTACGCAAACTAGTCCCTCAGTTTAAAAGCTATCTGAATGAAACTTTGCATATAGTCTCCTATATGCTCTCACTGCTATATATTTTGGAACGGGCCGGATCGGACGACTATATCATATAGCTGCCATACAAATGTTCGATAAATTTTTAGAAAAAAAATTATAACTTGGCTGTTTTTCAACATATGTGCACTATTTTTTACATATGATCGTTTTATATTATTTCTGAATTTTGGTAAAAATTTTATGAAAATCGGACGACTATATCATATAGCTGCCATAGGAACGATCAGGAAATTAATAGAAAATAAATTATAACTTCGTTTTTTTTCAAACTATTTTTATCTACTCTGAGATATAAGCTTATTTTATTAGATCAGAATTTTGGTATAAATTTTATAAAAATCGGACAACTATATCATATAGCTGCCATATATACCGATCGGTAGGTGTAGGGAAAATGTAAAACTGGGAATGTAAAACTGTAACTGTCACACTCTCAACATAATAAGTATAGGTAAAATGCAATGAAATAATATCTGCAAGGGTATACAAACTTCGGCGTGCCGAAGTTAGCTTCCTTTCTTGTTTTTTTATTATTATATATTTATTTTGTGCCATCGCAGTATATATACCCTTTAAGCCCCACAGCCCTGGATATATAGGTATACGAAAATTGCAATCTTTGGCTGCGTACGTGTCCGACTGACCGAAAAAATTTGCATTTAAATTTGCAGCTGCTCGTTGATGTCCCTCGCCCAGTCCTGGCGGATCCCCATTTAACCTTAGTTGTGTGTCATTTTGTGACACATTTTAATGCTGATTTTCAGAGATTTAGTTGTTCTTGGCTCTGTTGACATCATTTTGGCGAAGGAAAGTGCCGCCCCCGCCCAGCGACTCTTTCACAGTTTTATGTCATTTTATTTGTTTAGTTTTCCCTCGCTTTTCATTTAACTTTGCCGAGCTCTGGCCTTGCTCTTCAGTGGCTTTCAGCTGGCGTCCCTTTTGGGGGCGCCGAAGCGGAAGCGTAAATAAAGAGGCGGCATTTCCGGCGGCTCCAAGTAGGCGGGGAATAAGGCAACCTCCCTCCAAGTGGGTCCCACGCCTGCTCTCTTTAATTAAGTTCCAGCCGGGAGGTCACGGAATCTACATACATATCCCCTTCTTCGGGCTGGGCTATCTCTACGGCGTGTATGGCCCACATTTCGCAGTGATTAACGAGTTGAGCGGGAATGCTTAGGCATTGTTCGCTAAATGATAATTATGCCAGATGAACTGGGGGAAAAAATGGGTATATGTATGGTATACATTGTTTTTCCTTTGCGCTATCATTTGTCATTAAATAATTTGAGAATGTATGTTCCATGGAAAATCAGAGTGGCATATTCTATTTCAATTTCCATTACTTTCCATTTAAATGCATTAAATCCCAGTTGCAATTCCGCATTTAAGGGCAGCTACCCACCTGGCCTGGCATTTTCCGCCGGAAAGTTATATCTAGGTCAGCCCCCAAAGCCCGATGTTGCATGTACAAATATATATATGTGTGTATGTATTATTTTTTGTGCTGGACTTGCAGTGAATTGTTGGAAAAGCAGCCTCTGACCATCCTGGCGGAAGCAGCCACAATCTCTGTGAATTCGACATACAGCCCAGGAATTGGAGGAGATAAAAATTATATTTTTTAAGATATATTTAATAAAAAATAATATTTTTATAATATATTCAATTATGGAACTCAAGCAAGGCCTTAAGAGCCTTTACCTTTTGTTAAAATGTTGCCTTTGCTTATTCCCTCCTCGCAACCAACGCACAGGTCATGGAAAAAGAATCAATAAATGGCGTAATGTTGAAAAATTAATTAAATAATTAATTGGTATTAAAGTGGTAGAAAGTGTGATTTATCTAGAAAGCAATCAAACGAGGACAGTTGCAAAGGATATGTGACTGTAAGTCCTGCAAGAAAGATCTGCTTAAATCATGTTGCTTTATAGTTTGTTCTATTTTAATTGCATTTTTAATAATAAATCGAATCAATCTTTTAGCAATCAAATTTTTTAGCATTTAGCAGCTGTCAGATTGTGCCCAGAGGGTCTCGTGGCAGAGACACCGTGGCTGAACTCCACTCACTTGTGGCATGCACTCCACTTGACTGTTTTCCTGCTGATGTTTCCATCAATCACTGAACCTACCAGGTTAGTCCTGAGAAAGATTCTCTTGAAAAACAAATAATTTATTTACTTTTAAACCGCCATAGTTCAACCTTATATTTTCTCCGTTTTTTCTTCTTTAAAACCCTGTGACCCTCTCATCGTTATTCTATTTTATTTAGATTTATGCGAGGACAAGAAATGAGGCTTCGCATAAATTGCGAAAACTAGACAAAAGTCTATGTTTTCTTACATTTTCTCTATTTTTTTTTCTGGTATTTTAGTTTTCTGTCTTGGGGGAAAAAAGTTAAAAGGCATCACAAATTCAGAGAAAAGAAAAGGTTTAACACATCCGAGAAAAAGGAGGGCCAGCCTCAAGGATTTGACGCTCTGCTGCCTGCGAAAGGAATGAAAAATGGGCAGAAGTGCGGCCTCGAATTGGTTACCATTTCCACACAATTTCCCCATAAATTTCCAAAAAAAAACCACACAGAACACACGCAGCTGAAAGCTACAACTTAAATTTCATCATCGTTTGATATGATTTGTTGGTGAGTTTTAATAACCGATTTACAGGGTAAACACAGGAGCGTGTTTACTTTGAAGCTGGGATTTTCCGAGTTTCCAACTCAAGTTTGCGACTTTCAGTTTCCATTTCCCCCAAGTGGGTGGGCCTCCTCCAGTCTTGTTCTGGAACAGCTCAACGTCACTCAATAACATGTCATTTATCAGGCTGACAAAGAGCCTTGGCTGCATCCCCTCCGACATGAGTCAGAGTTTTTCCCTTCACCGCCATTCACTCTCCCTTCGAATACCCTTACTTTTGATTTTTTAATTAATTTTTTCATCTTTATGCACTGACTGCTCCTTGACCTAATGGCCTCATCAATTAGTTTCAACGGTTTTAACTCGGACAGTCCAGCGGGACTTTAATTTTACGGCCGCTTCATGGTCTCTTAGCCGTCTGTATCCGGACATCGTGAGGAGGTCTTTGACGTCAGTACCCCCGCTCCGGCTGTCGAGCTATAAAGAAAATATGGGGAAAATTCTGTCAACGTGAAAATTACGCTCTTTACAACTTTGGCAAACGAGTTGGCCTCTGGCTTCAAGTAGAAGCTGAACTAATTGTAGATCTTAGCTGGGAAAAATATCAAATAAAGTTGAAGTCTTAGCCTTGTTTAATAAAATCCCACAGACGCCGCACTTTCCCTCAAGCCAAAATTGTGTCCTAATTATATTTTGAATAATTTTGGAACAAGATTATTTGGCCAGTGTGCGGCGCCATAAATAGGGGCTCAGATGCCTGACTGTCTGGCCTATCTGGAGTTGGTTTTTGGCCCGGCCCGCACAACCTTCGATTACGTCCGCCCGAAACCTATGTACGTGACTGTGTGTCCTTGCGTGGCGGCTTCATATGCAAAGGGGCCTATAAATCAAAGGATCTGAAGACTGGGGCCGAGAAATATCAGAGCCTGACACTGACTAACTGTCAAGCCCGATGCCAGGACATTGTTGCCAGTTACCCAGAAGCCCGGCACTTGCCAACAACCGGCTGTTCCGGACAAGGTCAGAGGAGAAAAGCAGTCTCGGTTTACCCGGAAAACACACAGGGGGAGGAGTGAGAACGTCCGGGAGACGTCAAAAGCAAGTCAAGCGTCAAAGCTGAAGGCCATAATGCGTGCCAGTTCCTTTTCGTGGCCAAACAAGGTGAGTCGGATTGCAGCTGGATATATAGCTAAGCCTAATCCGATGAGAATCGGTATCGGAATCGGAAAAAAATGAATCGGAGCTCAAGATTTTGATACGATTAATGTGGAACTTTCCTTTAGCCCTTCTCCTAGAGATACTACTTTGACATTATAAAGAAACTAGTTTGTGTGGAAACAGACAGACGGACATACGGTAAGCTAGATCGACTCGGCTGTTGATGCTGATCAAGAATATATAAACTTTATAGGGTCGAAAATGTCTCCTTCACTGCGTTGCAAACTTCTAACTGAAATTATAATAAAAATTAGTAAGAAAATATAAATAAATGTAAATAAATATGAAAAATAATAAATAAATATAACTAAATGTAAATAAGTATAAATAAATATAAATAAATATAATAAATAAAAGTTTAAATGGTTATAAAAGCACTTGGGGATATAGCTTTGTTATTCAGAAACAGATTTAACATTTGTTATTTGCAGGATCCAAGGATCCTGCTTTATCTGCGAACTTGGCCACATTGTCATCCCTGCTAATCGACATTCGCTTCTGTAGCCAGAGATTCCAAATTACATTTATGCGCTCCGCAGGGCCATTGGCCATGCCAGCTTATCATAACTGACCACTAACTTGCCAGCGGGTGCGGGCGGATGGCTCTAATGACAGTGACGGGGATAAGGGACAATGTGGCACAGTAGTTCCATATCGCTAGAAGTGAGATGATATTTATAAAGCTTATAAATTTATTTACAATGTATTTTTCTTACAAAGATCTTCAATGGGATTTGCTTTAAAAATATTTTAAATAAAATCAAGCTTCGAAATACAACATTTTTAGTAAGGAAAACATAAACTTTATTTATGGATCACCTGTAAAAAATACTTATTAATATATTTTCAATAAATTAAAGCTTGCAAATCATTTTGTTTAAAATTGCAGTTAAAAAGTGTAAATTTCCTTTTGATATAAAACCATTATTGCTAAGTTTATTTGTTTATTTATTTTGATATACAACTATTATTGCCAAATATTCATTCCCCACTAAACATTGTACCACTGTTCAGGCCAAATTTTAATTAGACAAATCCAGCTATGATTTTGGCAGTAAGCTGCAGCTGCATTGCTAACTTGGCAAAGTTTTTGGCTTGATGTTTTTGGTAGCAGAACTTGGACGACTCTAGTGAATTATGCGACAGTTGGGCCAGAGAAATATGAATTCGAAGCGACACAGTTTTGGGCCAAAAGAAGATGCTTTAGCCATAACTCAGGAGGCACGTGCTACAGAGGACAATAAAAACCATAGTTTTACTGTACATAGAGTACACCGAGTCTCGGCTGACAGGAAGCACTAAAATTCCCATGAATATATTATACAAAATAAATATTTCTTTGATAGCAGGCACATCCTTTGCCTGCCTGCTATTTTTTTCTTTTGAGATTTAACTAATAGTATAGCTTAAGCTGTCTGTCTGACAACGTCTCAAGTGCTAAGAGAGCTGTCTGCCCGGGATACTGGCACCCTCTGCCTCCACCCAGTGTCCCCATTGTCCCCAAAGTTCGGGCAGCACACGACAACGCCCCCAAGCCGAGCTGTTTGCATTGTTTTGCTTTGCATTATCTGGATGTTTTCACACAGATGCCTCTGCACTTTCAAAACGGGGTTTCTAAGGGGGTTTTAAGGGGGTTCTAAGGGGGTTCTAAGGGGGTTCTAAGGGGGTTCTAAGGGGGTTTTAAGGGTGTTCTAAGGGGGTTCTAAGGGGGTTTTAAGGAGGTTTTAAGGGAAAACTTCAGTCTACCGATATAGATACAATTTTAACTGCAGACACAACTATGTGCTAGTTATTTTTGGGTCAGTATTTAAGGTCGTGTGGCATTTGGCACGTTAGTTTAACCAAAACGAGAGAGAATTCTTTGGGGAATACTTGAAACGGGGAGAAAAAAACGAATAAAATAAGTAAACCTATACGTTTTCTTTGCTCTCTGAGCTGTGAAGCACTCTATTCTAGTCTCTTATAGTTTTTATTCCAAAATGAACACCTATCTTAATCACTTTCCTTCCAGTTTTCACACCAAAATGAATTTAATAACATTTTCATTTAACAAACACCCCCCGAGAAGACTTTCAACGCGCATTGATTTAGCAAAAATCACCAAAATGTGTTAATTCGTAAGGAAACCCCGAGTAACCGCAACAGGGTCCTATGTACATAGATAAAAGGGGAAAACCAGTGAAAAGTTTGCCCTGGCGGTCCTAAGTTTTCTTCGCGCAATCATCATAAATTAATGGTTACCAACAAGTAGCAACAGGAAAAGTTGTTGTGAAAGAAACAAGAAACTTTTCGGTGGGGCAAGGCTGAAGCGGGAAAAGAAACACAAACCATATTTCTCATATTTTTTCCAGGACCTTTCAGCAATACCTCAAGGTATTTCGTAAGCCAAAGTTCTGGGAAATGGAGGTGCTATTACTTAAATTTCTCTCTTTAAGTTTGTTTTAGTAATACCCCCAACTTGGCTTGGCCTTAAAATAAATCGTATAATCCAAATGCTATTTGTGCACTCGACACTTGTTTTGGGCCAACTTTCGCCTTTACTTTTGAACCCATAAAAAGACATTCAACTGCCTTGCTGGTAGGCAATAAATCTAACGATAATTTGATACGCAGGGTTTTACGATGCTTTTGGTGGCAAATCCCCTTTGCGCCATGGCCCCTCTGTCCTATCAGGAGGTTAATGCTCCCCCATGTTGTCGGTGCTGCAAAGCCGAGGAGCATAGCTCGAAGCCCAAGAACGAAAAAAAACGAGAAGCGTTGACCTTAAGCCCGGAGCTCAACTTGCGGCAATTAAATTAGATGTTGGACTGTTAACTGTTGCACACCTTGGGGTCTTCTCTGGGTCATCTACACAGCCGGAGAGCAGATAATGGTCCAACAACCAAACATTGTCCTAGCTGATGATATCTTCTATATACAATATTCCTTGGCAGAACTGCATTATTCATGCACACGGAGATTCCTTTTCAAGACGGACAGGTGGCGGCCAGGAATCACTCAGCACTTGGCGCCTGTCATGAATTTTCCATGATGCGGCCAACGCCTGGCTGCCTTTCCTGCGCTTTCCCGAAGAAGAGCAGCAACATTTTCCACTCGCTACCCACTGCAATTTCCAGTCCCCGCACACACACGGCTGATTGGTTTGGCATTATGCAGTTTTTCGCATCCAACATTTTGGCCCAATCAGTCGGGCAGGGACTCTGGGTGATGCTGCTGCATTGTCAGGTGGCAGCAAATTGCAGCTGATTATCAAAACGCTGACAGAGAGCCCGGCAATTGTGTGTAAAGAAGTGCAAGAGATGGGAGCTGGAAGCTGGGGAAGTGCAAATATGTGGCAGATATTGGTGGGTGGCTAAACCACACCACCCTTCCCCTCCCATTGCCTATCGAATGGCCGTTCCAAGGACAATGGGATAACTGGCATTCAGGCATTCAGAGAAGGCAAAAGTTGCATTTGCAGTCGCTTGCACAATGATGATGATAATGATATTCCCAAAGCGTATCCTCCTTAGAAATGTATGAGACATGAGGGCACAAGAAGCCATTAAGGATACTAGAGAGATAATCTTTAGCTTGAGTTGAATATTATGGTTTTTGAGAACAATTTTGTTGACTATCCAAGCGTAAGTTAGATATGGAAGGGGATATTTTGGTATATTTAGTAAAAAAAGTAAAGGTTTAACTAATTGTTTAAACCTTTGCCAATTCCTTGCATTTTAAGCCAGCTTATTTCAGTCGGAATTTATTTTTATTTATTAACTCTGTATTATTCTTTAAGCTCTCTCTATTTGCTTACTGCCTTTTGTTTACATTACTATTTATTTGCTTGCTGTGTGACACAAAAAAACAAAAAGAATATATATATTTCTTGGGAAATTCGAAAAACTTTAGCTGAGACAGAGACCAGACCAGACCGGGAGCTGGGAGCTGAGATAACTTTCCGCCATCGGCCGAGTGGAATACACACACTTGAGGCGCCTCATAAAAATGCCATGTGCAAAGTGGATATATCTGTTCTCGTCCGTCCTTTGCCATAACATATTTACCAGGACAAAAATAGAGGGTAATGAAATGAAACATTCATGTTAATGCCTTTCGGCAGCCCAAAAACAAGACGCATAGTGTGGGCCTATACGCACAACACTTGACACTTGCGGATAAATAATAAATTTGGTCAGAGATTAGAGGGGCGAATTACCCGCTCCCAGGTTCATAGAGTGGTGACAATAATCGCACAATCAATCCTTACCTCCGCCAGGCAACGGCAACGCCTTTTGCCGCACTTTCGAATCTCCAACGGAAAGCTGGCCCACGGGGCGTATGAGCGACAGAACCGAGAGGTTGCCGACAGACCGAAGCACACGACCTGCCACAAGGGGACACAGAAGCGAACTGAGCCCAGCCTCCGTGTCGAAGCCACAGCACAGCACAGCCATCCTGGCCATCCAGTCGGCCCGGAGCCGAGACGTCGCACAGGACCGAACAGTGGTGGTCGTTGCGCGCGCGACAGGAGCCACAGTGGCGGTGCACATAAAACTTTCCATGAGTTCTCGCTCTCGAGATAATGTCTTTGATTCATTTGAATGCTTCAATGAAAAGCAAACGGGTTTTAATATTTTTTTGAAACAAAGAAGAAGATTCTTATTCAAAGGATTCTTTTCTAGAGAACATGGAGGGGTTTTCTTTTAATCATAAAAGTTCCATATTTACATGAAGGACTTGGTCTCTGCTTCAGAGTCCAGCTGTAGTCTTGCCCATCGTTTTAGCACTTTTCTCACCAGCTTACCAGCTTGCTCTCCTGGGAGCCATGTGTGGAAAAGGTTATCCTCGTTCAGCGCCAGGTGAACTCAATTTGCACGTGGAGGAGTCTGGCCAGCGAGTGTCATCTGGGTGCACTTGGGAGAGTGGCTTTGTGGGGAAGTGAAGAACTTGCCAAGCCACTTGGTGCAAACTTGAGACAATTTTCATTAAAAGAGTCAGCAGTTCAGCGAGCGTACAGTCTTAATATTATTAATAAAAAAAACACCTTCCTTTACGTCCACCAGGTAAAAATAAAATTCGATTCCTTCACCTCTTGTCCAACTGCCCTTGGGCCCTTCCACCAACCCTTGTCTTGGAAAAGGTTTGGCTGAAGGACCCTCCTAAGGGCAACTGGACACCAGGTGAACCCTGTTTACATTACCAACCTACTCCCCCCACTGAGACTCAAGCCCGATGTGGAGGAGAGCGCCGGTGTAGTGCCTGTGCTCCTGTTGCGGGACCTACGCACTTGCGGCTCCGACTGGCGCATCCTCCGCATGGCCAGATCGTAATTGTTGACATTAATGCAGATGCTTATGAAGGCCACCAGGTGCAGGGCCCGCAGATCCTGAGCCAACTGGCTGGCCTTGGCCAGGGACTCCTTGAGCCGCTCGAAGCGGTTGAGCAGGGCATGGACCTGGCACACCAGGAAGACGCTGTTGAAGCGCCAGACCAGGCTGTTGCAGCTGCGAGCCACTGTGACGGAAGAGAGAGGTTACAGTTAGGACATTAAAAGTAGGCCAGTCTCTGCCCACCATTAAAGGCCTTGCGGGATATCTCCAGGCACTTATCGTAGCGCGCCTCCTTGAAGTGACAGCGAGCAATTTCAAACAGAAGATAAGCCCGCTCGATGGCAAAGCGAGAGTGTCTCAGCCGATCCTCCAACTGCTCCAACTTCTGGCTGAGAGTCAAGGATCAATTGGAATTAAAAATAAAATGACAAAGGACAAACTCACTTGATCCGGCTGTGGACCCTCTCCTCGCGCGCCATCTCCAGATACATGTTGGGACCCCCAAAGGTCATGGCCATGTCCCGGTACCTCTCCGGCCGCAGCAGGTACAACAGATAACGATTCTGCGGCTCCAGAAAATCCACATTGCGGGGCAGGGCACAGCGATCCAGGTGGGCCAGGGCCAGGATGTTGTAGACATCGTTGAGGAACTCCCACTTCCAGGGCAACGTGCGCCATGTCTTCAGCTGAATGTGACTGGACATGATGTCCTCTACGTAGTCGGAGAGCTTCTCCAGGTTTCCCGCGCGTCGCCGGTCCCGCACTTCGCGGAGCATGCGCAGGCAGTCCCGCCGGGTCTGGTACTCCACGTGGAACAGGTGCATCTCCCGCCGGCGTCGCCACTCCTTCTCGCTCAAGTGGCGCGCATGATGCCGGTGGTACAGCGGATTCTTGGCGTGTATCATTTTCTGGAGGATGGCGGCGGGAAGGGGATTAGGTTGCAGGATCAGGATGCACGGGGAAACCCACCATGAATCGCCGGACCATCGCATACCTGTCGGCGCTCAGCTTACGCAGATACGGCGTGGACTGCAGCTTGTGGGGATTGAGGAGGTTCTGGTCCTTGCGCAACTGGCGCAGCATCACAATGTCCACCGTGTTGTGCCCCATGTAGTTGTAGTTGTATTGGGTCTCGTTCTGGCCCCTTCTGGCCTGCTCCAGCGGCGTCACCGAGACGATTGGCCTTTCGGGAATGCTCTGGACATCGCATTCCTGCCGCTCGCGCAGCACCTTCCACAGGGGACGCGGCACATGGTTAGCCAGTTTCTGGCGAAGACGAGCGGCCTCCTCCAGGCTCTTGGCATTCTGCTGCAGGAAGGGAGACAGTGACTCATCCACGATGTCATCGAAGACCCCAAGGATCTAAGGAGGATCACGAAGAGCTTAAGGCCAGGACTTGCCTAGAGGATAGACATGCTCACCTTTTGCTTCATCATCCTAAAGCGGTTCTGCTGGTGGTGGTCATCCGGAAACTGCCGCTCGGCATTGTGGACCGTGAGCAGCGCCATCTCGTAGGCGTTCATGTCGTAAAGAGCATTGCACTTCTCTGCCACAATATCCGCCGCCAGGGCGCGTTGCGGCTGGCCATGAATGATGCCCAAAGCCTGCTCCGCCCGCTGGGCATCGTCGAGGGCCAGATCGGGGCATCCCAGCACCCTCTGGCAGCGGCTGCGCTTAAAGAGGGCCTTATAGTCGCCGACGCAGACGCCAGTATCCTCGCCTGGACAGCTCTTTATCAGGCAGGATGACGGTAATGGCTTCTTGCAAGCATCCACCGCCCGGCCGAAAGCCGCCAGCGCCGTCCTGTTCATCAGGCGGCGGGTGTAGTAGCTGCCCCAGCTCCGGTAGATCTGAGACTGGATGCAGGAACGCCAGTCGAAGCGCTGCCAAGGCTTCAGCTGCGGCAGCAGGCTGGCCCTGTTCAGGCCGCTTGACCAGGACATGGTCTGCTTTTCGTTGTTTCCCTAGAGATCTCAGCTTTGGGATTTGTTTACACTTGAGAATTTCGCCTAACTTGCGATATGGGTAATTTTATGAGCTCGAAATTGGAAATGGAAATTCGGAAATAGGAAGCTTTGAATTTCGAGTGATAATCCAGGGTCTCAGTTGAATTCAAGGATAAATTACATATAATTTTGGACTAAATTTAGTGATTAATGTTATACCTTAATACTTTATTTATTTTATATTTACTATATTTCTTAATTTAGAAACCTCAAAAATAAACCACAAATTAACAAGAGCTTGCCTTACATAATTATTTTAATGTGGCAAAACTTGAATATCATCTTTAGTTTCATTTTCAGCCCGGTCTGAACCATATTACCGCATAACTTTTGGTCAATGCAACCGAGCATGTTATTTTTTTCATTTTCTCCCACGCCGGCACTGGTGTTGGATTTTCACAGCTTTTACCTGGGCTTCGGCTCGGAATGTTGCAATTGCCAAAATGGCAGGGTAAGTGGGGGAAAAGCAAGGTGCAATTAAGACCTGCCCTAATTATTGGGGCCATATTATACAACACTTGGTAGCAGCGGCTGCCAAAAATGATTTAATTATGGTTTTTGAACGCGTTGTTTTCCCTTATCTCCTTTCCTGTTTTGTATACCCTATAAAAGAGACCTCATAATTTCAGTCAGAAGGAAGGAAGAGTCATTTCCAGCCCCATAAATCTGGTATATTCTTGAAAAGCATCAACAGCCGAGTCGATTTAGCCATCTAGCTAAAAAAAAATTTGATAAAAGTTCGTTAAAATTATTAGAAACTGATACAAATTTTAATTTTTAAAAATTTTAAATGAAGTATGCCGTTTTATTGAACTAATAAAAACAAGAAAATATATGTTTTCCGAATTAGAATATTCAATTTTAAAATAGTTTTGAATTTTTTAAACTTTGATTTTTAAAAATAAAAAAAATTTACCTAGAAATAACGATTTGTGCAATGTATTTAAGGTTTTCTTAGGAGCATAAAATAAAAAAATAAAAAACTTGATTGTCCAAAGTCATACATGTAAATGTCTATATTTTCCGATTCAAATTTTAATTTATAAATGCAACAAGAAATAAAGCTAACTTTGGCCAGCCAAAGTTTGTATACCCTGCAGGTAACAATTAAAATATATCATAACTAAGCCAAAAATGCATTAATTCCGATTCGGAAAGCAGTTTTGTGTTAGTGTTTATTAATTTAAAAAAACTGCATACCAAATTTAAAATTTTAAGAAATCAAAATTTTTGGCCATTTTTGCTAATTTTAATGATGTAACTTATCAAATTTCGCAAAAGTGGCCAAAAAATCGATTTCTTCCGGACATGTCTAGAAATATTCGCATGTTAATGCTGATCAAGAATATATATGGTTTATGGGGTCGGAAATGATTCCTTGACTTAGAAAAATATTATTTTGTATTATAAAATCTGATTTTTTATATTAAAAAACTTATTCATTATTTTGAAATTAACAAGAAATGAAGCTAACTTCGGCATGCCGTTGCAGATTGGTTTTGATGTTTATATTATAGATTATAATACTGACAACACTCACAAAACAGAGTTTCATTTCATTTCACCTATAATTATTATGTTTACAGTTTGAAAGTTACAGTTTTACATTCCCAGCTTTACATATTTTATACATTTACCGATCGCTTCTATGGCAGCTATAAGATATAGTTGTCCGATTTTTATAAAATTTATACCAAAATTCTAGAATAATAAAAAAAACTTATATCTCAAAGTAGGTATAAATACGTTGAAAAACAACGAAGCAATAATTTTTTTCCTAATAATTTCCCGATCGTTCCAATGGCAGCTATATCATATAGTCGTCAGATTTTCATAAAATTTTTACCAACATTCTGAGATAATATAAAATAACCATATCTAAAAAATGGTGTAAAAATGTTGGAAACCAGCAAAGTTATATTTTGTTCTAAAAATGTATTGAACATTTGTATGGCAGCTATATGATATAGTCGTCCGATCCGGCCGGTTCCGACATATATAGCAGTGAGAGAATATAGATATATGCAAAGTTTCATTCAGATAGCTTTAAAACTGAGGGACTAGTTTGCGTAGAAACAGACAGACAGACAGACAGACAGACAGACAGACAGACAGACAGACAGACAGACAGACAGACAGACAGACAGACAGACAGACAGACAGACAGACAGACAGACAGACAGACAGACAGACAGACAGACGGACAGACGGACATGGCTAGATCGACTCGGCTGTTGATGCTGATCAAGAATATATATACTTTATAGGGTCGGAAAGGTCTTCTTCACTGCGTTGCAAACTTCTGACTGTAATTATAATACCCTGCAAGGGTATAAAAATATTGAGAAAAAACAACTTAGAAATTATACGCAGTTTTCCCATATTAAAAAAAAAAAGTATTAAAAATTTTTTTGATGTATAATTTAACCTATTAATAACCAACCTAGAAATGTTTTCCAAACAAAAATTAATAGATTTCTGACTTAGTTATGATATATTCCGCTTTCAAACCGCAAGAGTATACAGACTTCGTCTTGCCATAGTTAGCTTATCGTTGTTTTTTTTTCGGTGGCGACAATTATTACATTTTTATTTATCATTTTTAATGGCTTTTATTTTTCACATCATCTGCCTTTTGTGTCGCGCCTTCGTTGTTTTCTGTTTAACTTTGCATAATCGCGCTGTGAATTTAATGCCATGTACCGGGGGCTTCGGCGATTACTCTTCATTTGTATGTGGGTGTCGCAGCAATTGGATTTTTTTGTTACATTTTATTTACTTGCTTTTTGCGGAAAGAAAGTGGCTGGAAAAAGTGAGATGGACAATTAAATGTTTTGCCCTTCCGTATCGCTTTTTGGCACTGGCGCAACAAGCCAACAGCCGGGGTGTTGCAGAAATGTGGCCAAAAACCAAGAGTCAAGTGAAAAAAGGCAATAACAATAACAAAAACAAAAGCAATCTCGAGCAGAAAGCGAGCCACCAGCTGCATTTCAATTAGTTTCGGTCAGTCTTTGTGGGCTTTTGTCGATTGCCTTGTTCCAAAGGGAAATTTCCAAAGTCCATGCTGAATTCTAAGCAAAAATCTTGTTAAGGATTCACATTTTGCTAATTAGATTAAAAATTAAATATATAAAACAAGGTAAGGTTTGTCTTCATTTGTAGGATGAGTTTCCGATTGCCTTGTTCCAAAGGGAAATTTTCAAATTGAAAGCTAAACTTTAAGCCAAACAAATAGTTAAGAATTCACATTTCAAAATGCAAGTTAAATTAAACACTAAATGTATAAAACAAGGTAAGGTTTGTCTTCTTTTTTTAGATCTAGTTACTGGATGATTTTGGAGGTAAGGGTCTACCCTTTGCAAAGGTAGTTTTGGGGGACCCTATTTTCAAGGCTGCTTGCTACCTACTATTTACTTTCAGAAGTAAATATGGTTTTAAATTAAATATTTTTGTAAATAGAATATTCAGTTTACATAAAAAATCTAAGCAGGTATCTCAAAAACCAAACCTACCATTCGACCTCGCTCTTATATATGGTATGCAAAACGCTGAATTTTCTGTTACCTTTAAAGCAATAATCTTTTGGGAACTCACTCATAAGACATATATATTCTTGATCAATCCATAAAATATATACAGAAAAGTATACACAAGTATATATTTAAAATTATTTAGTTTATTTCGCTTGAGTTTGGCTTTGAGTTGGTTTCAATAAATACAATAAATACGTATTAATTAACAGGCAACAACGTTTAGCATTAACAATTCATTAACAATTACGAATGACGGTTAATTAAGTTAAGGAGCGCTTAGTCGGAGTTTCCCCAATCGCCGGGGGTGGCCACGGGCACGGTTGCGCCGTCGATGAAGTCTACGTTGTGATTTCACTGCCGGCTTTGCCGCTTCTTCGGTTTCTTCTGCCGCTTCTTCACCCTCGTACTCCTCCTCCTCCTCATCGTCCCCTTCGGCCTCCTCCTCTTCTTCGTCGTCGTCATCGTCGTCGCCTTCTTGTTCATTGTCAGCCTGTTGCTTTGGGGGTTCCTTCACCTGGCGATGGTCCTCATAGTCATCATTATCATCATCCACATTTATCTCATTATCGCTATCGTTTTCCATTTCAACGGCCAGCGTTGTGGCCTCTCCGCCTTCAACCTCTTCTGCCTCTGACTCCTCCTCTTCTCCCTCACCTTCTTCTTCCTTTTCTTCTTCTGCCTCGCTTGACTTTTTCACCTTATCCTCCATCTCCTCCTCCTCCTGGGTCTCCATTTTCTCGCCTTTGTTTGTGTAATCGATACCAACAATGTTTGGTATTGGTATTATTTTAGTTGTTGTTGGTGTAGTAGTTGTTGTAGTTGTTGTTGCCGGTGTAGTAGTTGTAGTTGTTGGTGTAGCTGTTGGTGTAGCTGTTGTTGTTGTTTTAGTTGTTGGTATTGGTGTGGTTGTTGTAGTTGCTGGTTTTGTTGTTGTTGCTTTTATTGAATTGGTAATTGTTTCAATTACTTGGGGCCTGGGGCCACTCTCGCTGCCATAGCCATAGCCATTGTCGTTATCGTTGTCATTGTCGTGGTCATTGTCAGGTGCCTCCTCCTCTAACTCCACCTCTGTCCCTGCCTCCACCTCTTTCTCCGTCTGTGTCTCCGTCTCTTTGCCGTCTTCTTCTGTGGCTTCTTCTTCTGCGGGCACTGTGTCTTCGGTAGCTGAATCTTTGCTTTGGTCGCCAGCCATTAGCATTTCACTTTCGATTGGCAGTGGCTCGGGATCCTCATCCTCCTGGGGTCGATGATCTTCCAACTTCTGTGGATCCAAAGGGAGTTCCTCAATCACTAGAGGCGGATAACCAACTGGTTGATCTTCAATTAATTCCACATGCTGATGCTCTAGGTGATCATTGATCTGTGCTGGAGTCTTTTCAGTATGATTCTTCAATTCTTTAACGACCTGAACTGGCTTCTGCAGCTGCGGATAGCGTAGTGGCTCCTCCTTCTCAGCTTGAAGCTCTTGCGGTGGATTCTCCTCCCTCTTGTTCGATGCGTAATCCTCCTCCTCCTGCGATACATATTCCGGCTGATCCTCTAGCTCCGCATACTCATACTCCTCGGTATCGTCACCCTGCTGTCCCTGGGGCAACACTGGCTTCCCATTCTTGTCCACATACTGCAGCCCATCCGTGCCCATGCGCATGCACTGGAAATGCATCTCAAAGAGATCCGTGGTGGCCATTCGGACCACAAAATCCATGCACATGTTTAGGTTGCTGCCCACCACTTTCACATCGGTCATCTGGACACACATGGCCATGGGCACGCCCATCATTACGGGAATGCAGAAGGGCGCCGGATTTCGCACCGAAATCCCATACTTCGAGGAGGGTCTGTCATTCAGAAAGACCTCCAGTCGAGCCTCCTCCAGTTGCGGGACAAAGCTCACATTGGCGCAGACTGCAACAAGAGTCAGAGGTAAAAAATAAATGCTTAAAAAATGTTAAAAAATGTTTTTAAAAAGAATCTAAACCAAATGTTAAAGAGAAGAAACAAAGGGGAAAAAATACAGCGATTTGAATTCCAGTCAATGAATGAAAGTGGCGGGTGGTAAGTTGTCTGGGCATCACCATCGCTGGAAGCGCCAACGATTTGTGGCATTTTAATTGGCAAATGCAGGCATGTCACGAAGCGAAAATAAAAGCAGCTCTCATTGTTGTCTCTGGCATGCGGCCGAGATTTGGTTGCCAAGACTGGAGCTATTCCGTTTCCAAGACCAGAGCCCGCAGGAGCCACGATTTGGACCCATGAAGGTGATCCCAGGCTGTCTCAATTTGTGTGGCAAAGAGACTTTGCCCCCATAACGTAAATAAAGTCATGAATTATGCTAAAAGTAAGGCCTAATGGGGTAAATGCAGGTAAAGACACTTGGCTAAGGATACCCAAAGGGAACATTTTTGTGCATTGTAAAACTGGCTTTTTAACAGATATTGATCGGAGTTATTAAGTTATATGAACCTCCTTCTAACCGTTGATACAAAGTCTTTTTAACCTTAACTTAAAATAAAAAACTTTCCTGAAAAGTTCCTCCTTGACTCACCTTTCTGATCGAATCCATACTGATCCACCTTGAGGCCGGCGCAGCACGAGCACATGGGACCACTGCACTCGCAGGGCTGCCCAAAAGGTCGACCATATAGAACCCTTTTCCGAGTACTTCACACTCGCCAGATTGCGACCCCGGGACACGCTGACGGTGGGCGGCAGGTAGGGTGTGTGCGAGTTGAGTTCGTAAAATATCAGGCCGTTGCTATAGCTTCGCGAGAATATACAAACGGGGCACACGACAAGGACAACGAGGGCCAGACAGGCAATTGAAAGCCTGGGCATCATGGTGGTACAGATAATAATATATCCTTCTGGGTATATCCTTCCGCCAAGAAAGTCTGAACAAAACTCAAGAAGATCACCAAACAAAAAGCAGTTTATTCCCGCAGGAAATTCACGGAATGCCGCTAGACACGACTCGCGACTTCGACGGATCACGTTTAATGTTAAACGTTTTAATGGTAACGGAGTAGGAACCGCAATTCCAGCGGCTCTGGAGCAATGACAACCGCTCGCGATCGACGACAATTAAATATTAATACGCTGAACGCGCTGAGCGTTAGCTTAAAAAAGAAATGAAAACTGCTAGCTGGCAGAGGCAGAGGCAGCAGAAGCAGCACCAGCAGCAGCAGCAGCAGTAACAGCAACAGCACTGGCATATACTGCAGCAGCAACTGCGGCAGCCTCGTTAGTTGTTGCCCGTTTTTGCGAGCAGACCATTTATACACTACCCTTAAAAGGGCAACCTTACTATGTAGCCTAGCAAAGAGATTTTAATTTATAAAACTAAAAATCAAGGCTGACCAGGCAACGCACTCAGGGGGCTCTTTGAGACACATGGCGGCCGAAGAGGGATGTCCTTTACTTTTTGTATGCTGTTTTTTGAAATATCGCTCAGCTAGAGCATACAAAATTCGGTGAACTCGATGAATTTCCGCTTATCAGCGTGGTAAATCGCCAGTTGCTGCTGCTGCGGGTCTTTCTCTGCCAGCAATGTTGCTGCTGCTGTTGCTTTTGCTGTTGCTGCTGCTGTTGTTACTGTTAGTGCTTCTGTTTGTGTGTTGTTGTTATGCTTTTCGTTTTTCCTAAGACCAACGCTTTGTTTATGTTATATATGTGTTTTGGCCCGATGCTGCTGCTGTGTCTGCAGCAGTTGCTGTTTTGTTGCGTGCGCTTTGCCTCTGTTTTTTTTTTTTTTTTTTTTTTTTTTCGGTGTGACAGTGACAAGAAAATTGCGACGATCGTGACTGGCTGGGAAAGCCAAAAACAACACTCATCAACCCCTCGAGATGGTGTCGTTGTTGTTACGCAAAGCACTTGGTTAAGGTCATGGCCTGCGACAAACTCTGAACTTCGGGACACACTGGGAGCAGGAGGAGGTTTCGGTGGAGAAGGAGGATGATGAGGAGTAGGAGCCATTGCCGCTGGATTTACAGCAATGACCGCTGCTGTAGCTGTTTGCTGTACCCACTAACTGCGGTCTTCGTCTCCCATAAACTTGGCTGATATATCGCTGCAATTGGCGCTGCTGGAGAGTGCTGGAGAGTGCCGTTTTTTGCCAATTCGGGATGGGTTCCAAGCCGAAATATGGTCGTTGGATTGTGAGGGGATAGAATAGAGGCTAACGCGGTATTTAGAGCTTACAAAAAGAGATTTTTAAGCGGAGAAACATATAGAAACTTTTGAAAATATTTAAGAAATTTCCTTAAATTTTAAGAAAAATCCATTACACTTTATTTTCATAAGGCCCTCGTGCATATCTTGGTTGCTATTTTGGGCAGCGGTCCAAATCGCTTTAGGGCCATCCATACAATTATATAATGTCTGGCCCAGACTGAACTCAAAACTGAATCGAACTGAAACGCAATCTCGTTAAGCGTTAAGGGGACAGACACTTGCCAAGTTCGACGATTGAAAAATGAGCGGTGGAAAAAAAGAAAAAAAAAAAAAGAAAAGAAACATGAAATGGAAATGAAAATGAAAAATGGAAATAAAAGTGTCGCCAACAATTAACACTAATAAGCTGGAGATGGTGGTGGCGATGGCGATGGCGGTGCAATGTGCTTTCGTTTATGTAATGGGCCGTCACCTTCCGCCGACATCGTGATTATCAGCTGCTGCATTATTAGGCATTATTATTCATTACTGATAATATCAATTTGGTACGCCCCAGATGACTCTTTCTTTCATTTTCCCCCTTACGACTGTCTTGCTTTTGGTGGCACTTACGCAAAATTAAAGCCACAGGTTGAAACACAAAAATGGAGCTTACCATGCATTCAGAAGATCTCTCTCTTTTTGATAGACCTTGTACTATATATTGTTCTTAAGATATAGAACTCTTAATGTCGGGACTTGAACCTAAAACTCTTGGACATATCAGACTCTGCCTAGCTTGAAAATCTCGCCAAACGCTTTCAAGAGAGCAAAAACGTTTCTTGCTCTCTCAAGAAGAGTAGCGAACGGAAAGTAGTGAACGGAAAGTAACGAACGGAAAGTAACGAACGCTCTCTTGATTCCGATTTTCACTGCAACTCTTTATGTAAAACACAAATGTTGTAAATGTTTGTATATTTTTTTAATACATTTTCTTTGTTCTTGAATACATCAATTATCTTGCAGTTTTTTTATTATTTAATATTATTCTTTTTTGCTGCTGTCCGATAGACGATAGCAACTTATCTTGGGATAGAAGATGGCTCCACCAGCGACCATGTACAAAGGTTCCCCGGGGAACGCGTAAATATGTATGCTTGTGTGTAGATATATAGGTAAATATATTACTTTTCAAATATATATGTATATGCATGTTCTTGTGTGTAGATGAGTGCGTGTTGCATGTGGTCTCGTAAATATATACATATATGTATATATATGCACAATGATATCAAAAGTTGCATAATTGCATTATGCCTGACTTTTACGAGGGGAGTATCCAAAAGATGTCTCGTATCCAAAAAAATATCTCTCGTATATATCTTTAGCTGTAAATCGTATATAACCATGTTTCTTGTGTATATAAGATGTATGATAATCCTACCCCTTTTGTATACATATATATAATATATATATATATATATATATATATATATATATTTTGCCCAGTGCCGAAAAAACCATTTCATGTTATACCTTTTGTTCTTCTTTGCATGTTTGTTGTAAACTTTTACAAATACACAGACACAAGAGCACTACAAGTCGATCAATAGATGAGAGTATGCATATAATATGGTATATTTAAGTCTAGTTTCATTATAATACATGTATAATATAAGGAAGGTGCTGCCAGCTGCTGCAGAGTTCTCAGAGAGTGAGCGTGGGGTCTCACCCTCGGATCTCTCTCTTTCTTTCTTTAATATTTTATAATTAACAATGTTTTTGTTTTCCTTTATTTGTTTATACTTTTTTTTCGCTTAGCTTGTTGGCTTTGCCGCTCTCAAGTGTGCTCCCTCTGGCCCTATGAAAGAGGATTCTTGCTATAACCTAAGTAACATATTCCTTACGCAACTAGGAAAAAAACATTTGTATATTTGGATATTCAGTTAATAAGCTCTATAAAAAAAAATAAAAAAAAATTATATATATGTATTTATATATGTATATTATTCCCCTATGGCTCTAGGCTTTGACTTTTGTTGAGTCGAATATTGAGAAAAGTTTTGAGAGAGAGCGAGAAAACATAGCGTTTAACTTGAAATTTCTCTTTGATTCAAGAAATAAAATAGTTTTTCTAGAAAATATCGAAAGCAAATATAAATTATAAACGAACCAAAACAAGCATACAGATATTCGATATGCGGTTTGTGCCTAATTAAGTATAAACCCTAAGCACTAGCAACTAAATAAATCAGAGATGGAGATGCAGATAATGCAGATAATGGAGATAATGTACACGTTCCGCGAGTAGAGTGCAATTAGTTCTAGAATTTAGAATTCCTTCAGGCTGCCGCCTCGCTTGAGCTTGGTCAGCCTTTTCAAGCTGGCACTCAGCATGCCGCCGGCGCCGGCGCCTGGTCCCGCACCGGATCCCTCCGCACTGCGATCTCGCTGGATAAAGGATCCTCGGAACCGGACTCGGCCTCGTCCCCTGCGCTGCTGCTGCTGCTGCTGCTGGCAGCGCCACAGCTCCTGGAGCGGGGGATGGTGCTGGTGCGGATGCTGCTGTAGGGTGCAGCAGCACACCAGCTCCTGCGATTATAACTTCTTCTCCCAGACCACGATATGGGCATCGTTGGAGTTCGCCGTCAGAGTGGAGCAGCAACTGCCGCCGCCGTTGCCCGCCTGCATGGCCTCGCGAGCGCTGCTCCCGCTGCCACCGCCACCGCTACCGCCGCCAGTGCTGTTCTTGTGACTGGGCGATCCACTGGTCGAGTTGGTGTTGTACCACATCTGACGCCAGTAGCCCCGGCCGCCCATTAGAGTGATCACCGTCCTGGGCCCGTCGGCGCTCTGCTGTTGCTGCTGCTTGGAGTTCTGCTTCTGCTTGCGCTTCAGCGTGGCCACAGCGGCCGCAGCGGGTTTGTCCAGTCCCAGTCTGCCCTCCTCGGGAGTGCTGCCCTTGGGCGTGCTATTCAACTGGAGCTGCTGCTGCTGCTGTTGCTGATGCTGCTGCTGCTGCTGCTGGTGATGGTGTATGTCCGCTGTGGTCATCAGCCCGTTCTCCGATATATTGCCCAGGTCACTGCCCGTGCCGGAGGTCTTGTGGCTGGCACTGCTGCTGTTCCGGGAGACGGATCTGCCGCCAAAGTGCTTGATGCCCATGCTCTCCTCGCTGCCCGACGAGGTGTACAGGCTGGAGGACTTGGAGTCCACGGACCAGTTGGACAGGTCCAAGGATCTCGGTCGCGAAGCCTTCATCCGCAGGCGTCTATCCAGTGTGCACACCTTTCCCGGTATGGCTGCCAATTCTGGATCGGATCGCCGCATACCCTCGTACATCATGTCCATGAGATTGCCCTGGTTGCCCTCCTCCGCGTCGTAGTCCTCCTTCACGAATATCAGCTTCCCGTACAGGCCGTAGACATCGCAGATGCCATGATCGCTGTTGCCTGAACCGCCTGGAGTGCCTGCTCCAGCTCCTCCCGCTCCCGCTGCTGCTGCTGCTGCTGCTGCTCCTCCAGTGGCGCCCAGGCCGCGCGGCAGGGTCTTGGACATCCTGTTGGGATCATCGCGGAAACGCTTGCGATGAAAGGCCGGCGAGTTGGCCAGCGAGGCTCGGATCTTGGCCGTGAAACTCTGATCCAGGGAGTGCTGCTTGTCCAGTTTGGAGCAGCGGGGCGAGGCCGACACTGGGGTGACCGATTCAGTTGCTGCTCCACCGCCGCCGCCGCCGCCTCCCTCTGCGCTCGATGGCGCCGCCTCTTCCTTGGCCAAGTCACGACGCAGCACCACCACCGTCGTGTCATCCAGCTCCAGCGGATCCAGCTTGGGATCCGCATCGATGGCCGGCAGCTGCAGATCCTCGCCCATGCTGGGCACTGGCGGAGCCACGGCCGTCGGCGGCTTGTAGGCGGGATAGACCTTCGGGATCAGCGGCAGCAGAAAGGTGATGGGACCAAAGTGGGCGTGGCAGGACATATTGATGCCGCCACTGATGATGGGCACGCCCTCAAGACGGGGCAGGGGTATGGTCACCGCAATGCCCACGTTGGTGCCCACCCACAGCAGGCCCTTGCAGGCCATCAAGGCGGTCACATAGACGGCGCTGTTGTTCAGCGGCTGCTCCTTCTTGCCGTCGCTCCGCAGCACACTGGAGGCAATGTTGATGTCCTGCAGATGCTTGAACGTCTCCGTGTGGTACAGGCACAGCATGGTGGAGTTCTTCAGCGAGATCCACAGACCGATGCCCGAGTGGGCCATCAGGTTCACCTGCTGGCTGGCCCCGTGCTGGACCTCGAAGCTCCGCTGGATCTCGCCGTTCAAGGCATTCATCACGTAGACGCGGTTGCCGCAGGACGCATAAATGCACATGTTGATGGGCAGCAGGCTGGGCACCGGCAGCTCCGAGTCGCCCAGCCTAATAATCTGCGGATCTCGCAGCTGCCAGGCGCCGTCGTGGCCCCGTCGAAAGATCAAGACCATGGCCCCCGCCAAAGCCACGTAGACGGCATCGAAATGGTAGAGGATGCGCTGCACGGCACCCGGCACCGAGTAGCTGCTTAGTTGCTCCTCCTGCTCTGGATTCCTTGCGGAATAGACCAGGATCTTGCGACTGTCCGTGCCCAGCCACACGAGATCGTCCAGCAGGCTGGCGGGCTCCTCACGCACTGCCCCTCCGCTTAATCCTCCTCCTGATCCAGTTCCTCCTCCTCCTCGCGCCTGATCTAATCCCTTGACAAATTCCATGGCCGAAACCTGCGTTTCGAATAAATCAAAGGCTCCGGCTTCCCGCAGGTTGCCCGCCTGCTGGGGATGCTGGGCCAGGACGGTGATGTGCGAGGAGGTGCCGTCGCTGCTGCACATCCACAGGTAGTTCAGCTGCTTGTGCCGGCGTCTGGCGTTGCCGCTCTGCCTGGTATCATTGGCGATGCTGTAGTAACATCCACAGCGCACCTGCAATGTAAACTCGTTAGAAATGAATCCTCCATTCGAAATCCTGCCCAAAGACTCACCTCGGTTTGATGCTGTGACTTGTAGACTGGCATCGCCTTGACAAAGAGCGGCATTTTGCGCGACTGCTTCTGCTGTACGGCCTCCTGGAGCTGCTGCTGCTCGTGTGTTGTCTGGCGGTTCTCGGGCGAGCCCGGATGATGTGGATGCTGGTGCTGATGCTGATGCTGCTGCTGCTGTTGCTGCTGCTGCTGATGATGCTGATGATGAATGACTGGCTGCTGGTGGGTACCGCCACGCTCCCAGGCCGGCGAATTGTTCGGATCGAGGGCCAGCTGGGCCAGACGCAGCTCGGTGATCCACTCCTTTTTGACCGCCGGCGTTTGCGTTTGGAATGTGAAGGACTCCTCCTTGCCAGACTTGTGGCGGCCGTTTAGCGTGAGGCAGCACGAGTCCACCCAGGCCATCTCCTCGTCCTTGCGCTGGATCGATCCCTGGATCAGGTTGAGCACGTTGCGCGTGGTGTTTGCGTTTAGCTCCTTGTAGCTGCCCTTCAGGCTGCCCACCAGGTCGTGGATGCGCGAGATCACCTCGTAGTCGTACATCAAGGTGCTCATCTCGCTGCACAGATTGTCTGCCTGGCCGTTGGCCACCTGGGCGGCCGGCGACCGAGAGCTGAGACCCTCCACGCCGCCCGGCAGGGTGCTGTTGGCAAAGGGACTGCCACCGTTGGCACCGTTGCTGCCGTTGGACTTTAAGCTGCCGCCGCGATTGAGGCCTGCCAGGGAAGAGGAAAGGTTTAATGAGTTTCAAGTTTCCAGAAGGGATTCCCAAGCAGAGACTTACCTGCTGTCAGAATCCTCGACAGAGTGGCCGAGGTGGTGTTGTCCACAATCTCCACATCGTTGACCGGGAACATCCACTTGAAGGTGAGCTTCTCGGTGGCCCCGAAGTCGTGCGACTGCTTGGGCGCCACCGACACACAGATGACCTTGTCGTTGAGCAGGAGCAGGCGCCGCTGCTTGCACTTGACCATGAAGCCCGCCTGGTTGAACTCCATGTGGGTGACATTGTCCTCGCGCAGCAGGTACCTGGGACGCGCATGCCCGCCCCCCGACGAGTCGCTTACACTGACGCTGCTCAGGCTAAGGGAGCGGGCATTGAAGGTGCCCGAGATGTGACCCAGCATCTCCTTGAAGGCCTGGTACTGCTCCGCCTCCCGCTTGCTCTCGTTCAGCAGCTCGGCGAGCAGCTCCAGCTGGGACAGGGCCAGCTGCAGGGACATGCGATCGTGGTGGCCCTGCGGCGTGTACTTGAGCAGATCCTGCAGGAACAGGATGAACTGGGGGAAACGCTGCACAGGCTTCACCATAAGCCCAAAAAAGGACAGCCTATCGTGGGCGCTGATCTGTTTGACCTTGAAGAAATCGGCCAGCGCCGATTTGCGCTTCTCCTCCATCTTGGCCAGCTCCATGGCGGCCGAAAAGTTATTGATAAAGCCGGAGTAGATCTCTAGGAGCTGCGGCTTACCAAAGGCGCCCACAAAGCAGTCCCCAATCTTCTCGTCTCGATCCCAGTTGCGAACACACTCGGCCAGGGAGATGCGAAAGAGCTTGTGCGAGTGCAAGATGTCCGGCAGGCAATGGAACAGGGTGGCGATCTTCACGGGATTCAGCACGGGCGGACTGCACTCCTCCAGGGGTTTCTTGTAATCCTGGGGGGGGAGGATGGAGTATGTTACATATAAGTGGAATGGAAGTCAAGGGTAGAAGGTTCCTATCTCTTAGGGGTTGCACCATCAGAAGTTCTGTTTTATATCCAAAAGGTAGTAGATTCATTTAAATTTACATTTTCTTTATTATTTCAACAATTTAAAGTTTAATTTTGTATAAACAAATAACTTCCGCTTTTACTTCTGACTTGAGCAACCTTATAACCTTTTAAATCTCTCATCAAAGAAGAGTTATTGTATTAAAATTAAATATATGTATTACCTACTACAACTGGTTTTTCTAATTTGGCGACTAGTTGATGGAGTTGTGGGTGAAATGATGATGTTGATGGGTTACGGGTTCGATTTATAGTTAGTTTAGATGCTCAGTGATATATAATATAAATAGTTAGTGAGTGTTAGAGAAAGTTAGTTGGTTGGCTTTAATTATTTTGGGGACGGTGAAGTCGGCATTAATGGCATTTATGGGGAGAGCATGGCATGTAAAGAGATGGAACGATTTGAAATGAGATCTAATGTTAATCAGTGGTTAAATGCGTTGGTTAAATGGGTTAACAAGGGGTTTACAAATTAAGCATGCAAGGGAATTGCCTTAACTAAATACTGTTAATGATAAATACTTGATGGAAACCAGCAGCTGAGTTGATCTTTCATACATTTTCCCCCTCATCTAGAGGCTATTTCTAAACATTTCCAACTTTCAAATCATTTCATAATATAAAACCCAACCGAAAAGAAGCAAATCATATATATAAATATTTCTCCGAGTATATTTTTATGGGCCAAGATGGATAAGCAGCAGCCAGAGGCAGATCAGAAGCAGAGGCATAGGGATCGAGTCATAGCCGAGGCCCTGGACAAAATCAAGGTGTATGTGGAAAATGGCCAGGAGGAGGCTTTCATTCAAATAAAGCCGCCACAGCTGACCAGCTTCCAAATGCAAGCCATTGACAAGAATCCTCTGGATGGCCAGGACCTAATGGAATGTGATGGAGTAGAGGCTTCAGCTGTCGATCGATGGAATAGTAACGAGGTGCTAGAGTTGGACCTCATCAAGCCGGAGGATAGGGAACACTTAGGAAAGACTCTAACTGACGAGCTCACTGGCGAAAATTATATGCTGTTGCCCATGGATATTGACATTCTGATTAATTCCGACATCCTCACAACTCCCTGTGTGGTAAAGGAGCACATCGAGGACGAGCAGGAGGAAAAGGCCAACTGGCACAGCTTCCAACTCCAACCTGCAGAGGGAGACCAGCATAGCCAGGAACCAGGCAGTCAGTATTGCAGGCATGAGTTTAAGGTTCCCAAACTCAATTTGAACTTTAAGCTTTTCCTAGCCTCAACATTGGAGGAAGCCAAGTAGAAGTTGGGAAAGGACTAAGATACAGCTCACCCTCTCACAGATAAGATATAATGATCTGTTTGGACCAATATCAAGTGAAATCTAACCAATTTTCAATTTAAAACTAAATTAGAGCGCTAATAAAATTCAAATAGGTACAAGATTAATGTTATATCTTGGCTTTTTACTTGATTTTCCTGATTTTTCTTTAGCTTTTTCTAGAAAGCCTCTCACTTTCACCCCATCAGCAACAACAACGCTTAGAAGCGAACGATAGAGTTCTCTTTAGCTGCACCCTGAGAGAGTTTTGCTCTCTTGAATTTCTAGCTGTTGGCCCTGAGAGAGAAGTTGATGGTTCATAAAGGTGGATGGGATTTTAAGAGCCTGGAAACTTATTGTCTCTGAGAACCTTTTTCTTAAGAAAGATCACCTTTAAATTAGATTAACTCTGCTGTAGATCCAAATCAAAATACTAGCTTAAAGGAATTTTTAAGTTTCTTTTTCAAGGCTTTAAGAAAGGATTTTAGAAATATCCCCAAGGCAGATCACTTTTGAACTGTATTAACTCGACTGTTGATCCAAATCAAAATACTAGTTTTAGGGAATTTTTAAATATCCTTTTCCAAGGCTTTAAAAAAGGATTTTAAGAGCCTGGATGCTTATATTCTTGTCTCTGAGAAAATATTCTGATAAACTAATAGAAATATCCCCAATAAAGATCACTTTTGATCTAAATCAAAATACTAGTTTTAGGGAATTTTTAAAATTTCCTTTTTAAGGCTTTAAGAAAGGATTTTAAGAGCCTGGATAGTTATATTATGGTCTTTGAGAAAATATTCTGATAAGCTAAACAAAAATATCCCCAAGAAAGATCACCTTTGAACTAGATTCACTCGGCTGTTGATCTAAATCAAAATACTAGTTTTAGGGAATTTTTAAATTGCCTTTTTTAAAAACTTTTAAGTTCACATGCTCAGGATTTAAGGACCAACACTTACATTGACTAGTCTCTGCAGGGTGGCCACATACGAGTTCTCACTGTGAACGATGGCCGCCACAATGTGACGCCGCTTCAGCTGCTGCTGGGACAGTCCGGCGGGGGCGGGGGGCAGCATTGGCACAATGAGACGATTCTGGGTGGTACGAGCTGTCCCATTGGCCCGACTGGCCGGCGTTAGCATCAGGTCCATGTTGAAGCGATTACCATCGGCAGTGGAGACGCCGTCATCCTCGTACTAAATATAAAAATATCATTAATTTCTATGCCAGAATCTATTTTGAAAAATTATGCTCACCTCTGGCACTCCGGGCATCATTTTGCTGGCCCCGAAATTTGCCAATTTCTGGGCCGAGGCGGCGTCCAGCGCAGCTTCAGTGGTGCCTGCACCTCCTCTACCGCCTTCTCCTCCGCCCAAAGGGCCGCCACCCTTGCCCCCACTCGAACCAGAGTCGGGCGTGTCGAAGCTGGAGGCTGTAGAGTGGCGACCATCGCGTCCGCCCACATCGTACTGGTGCGAGGATCCGCGTCGTATGGAGAACCAACGGGATAGCCGGCCGCCCGGCGACTCACCCGGCGTGGTGGCATCCTCCCGTTGGGAGCCGCCACCACCTGGGCCACCAGTAGAGGCCATGGTGCAGGCACTGGCCCTGCGCATAATCATATTGTTGCTGTTATCACTTGATGGGGATTGACCGGAAGCGGAACCGGAACCTGTGGTGTTTCCAATGGCGGCCGTGCGCCATTTGTCAAAGGACAAATGCTGCTTGGCCTTGTTGAAAGTGGAACGCAATTGCGAATTGCGTTGATTGCCGGCGCTTAACGAACTCACGCTGCTGCTGTTATGCTCCTCCTCGGTGAGAATCTGCTCCTCCTCGGTGAGACCTGGCTTCTGCTCCAGATCCCGATCCCGATCCCTCTCCCTCTCGCTACAGGGAGACTTGTTGTCGCGCTCGCTGCTGCTGCTGCAACTGCTCCTGCCGTCCGCAACGCCAACACCAACGGCAGCCTGGCCACCGTTGGCGCTGAAGCTTCCGCCGGCAATTGTGGTGCCGCTATAGGGGGCGTTGTGGCCCGTCTGATCACGATCCCTTTGGTCCCTTTGGTCCCGCTCCCGCTGCTCTGCTATCCTTCGGCTAAAAGCACTGTGCAGCTGGGCGGTGGTGATGCTGACGCTGGACTGCGGTGGCCCGATGAAGGAGCTCTGCTGGCGCCGCTGGCTGAGATGAGCGTGGTGGAGGTGGTGCTGCTGCTGGTGGTGGTGCTGCTGCTGGTGGTGGTGCTGTGGCTCGTCTAAGGTGTCCTCCCATGAGCCGGAGTTCAGTTTATGTTCATCTGAAAAGGGTGAGAAGAAAAAAAAGGTATAAGTTTAAAGATTAAAAAAATAAAATGAAATATTTCAACTTGAATCCAATGCATAAAGTCAATTTAAAGACCTTTTATTTATAAATATATCAGCCGTAAATATATAAATAATAATCCACTCAAATAGATAAAGCCATTCATCTAAAACTGCCAGCCAGTATGCAAATAGAACAGGATTTGGCCATGGCCCTCATCATGGCTTGTCATCGCGGTCGCGACATTACCTGGCCGTCAATTTCTGTGGCCTGTAGAAATCAAAGCCAGAATGCCGCCACACAACAGTTCTGGCCGAGACTCATTTGGCCAGTCTTGTGTGGGTTTTCCCGCCAAGAAGGCCAGAACAAAACAGCAGCAGCAACTCCCACACTTGGCCACTCCACAGCCAGTACCGCCACCATTATTCTAGACCACTAGAGAGAGAGAGAGAGAGAGAGAGAAAAAGAGACCATGCACTGAGAGAAACACCACTAAGCTTAAGACAATTGCCAAATATTGTGTATTATCACTATTTTTAAAATTTAAGTAAAATATAAAAAAGTAACTAAAAAAATGTTATTTTTCTTGATTTATAATCAATTATGGTCACACTACTTCTTGTTTTCATTATTAAAATCCGATTAAGGTAATGTTATTCGTTACTTTAAGGATTCATGGTTCTTAATTAATATAATCACATTATTCATGGCTTAAATGATTTTACTTTAATTATTTTTATAATTAAAAATGCATAATTAGTCATGGTCACATTATTACTTACTTTCTTGATAAAGAACAGATCACAGTCACATAATACTTTCTTTTTAATGTTTTAAACTTTACTTTTCCCAAGTCGAACTAATTAAACTAATATTCTTTCTCACTTTCTTTGTACATCTGAATATATTATTGTTTACTTTCATGATTTTCAATATATATGGTCACATTATTATTTGTTTTCAGCATTGGTCATTTTATTCGTTGGCTTAAAAACAATTATAAACATTTAATACAATTTTTACTTTGTTGCTTTTCACTTTTTTTAATTTGTTATATTATTATTTTTTTTTTAATTACACATTATTTTTCCCAGTGTACATAGAGGACAAACTTTAAGCAAGAAATGGTGATTCTGATTCCAATTCCGATTCAATTTTCAACAATTGTTGAGATTGAGAAACAAAAACAACAGCAGCAAAAAGTCAAGACAAACCCAATGTCTCATGCTCTCATGACCATTAATAATCGGCTAACATGGGGATACAAAAAATTGTACAAAATAAAAGCAATCCCAGAATACAAGAGGAAAAAAGTTAAGAAAAAATTGCATAAATATTTTGGGGCAAAATGTGAAAACATCTTGAAAATTACATTATATATACGGCCAAACAAGGGGGAAAAGGAAGAGACCCTTTTTGGCTTTAGGAAAATTGAGTTTGTGTAACTTTATCACACACTGGTAAAAGCGGGGGATTTCAATTTGATTAGCTCATAAAATATGTTTATAATATAAAGAAATATATATTTACTATAACTTTTGATTTATAAACCCAAAAAACACACGCATTATGCAGGTTTTCTTATCTTGGATTTTGCAATGCTTCTTTGTTGTGTCTACACACGCACACTGATGCCTCATTAATTACCAACGCGGCAACAGTTAACAGAAACCAAAAACAAAAAAAAAAAAACAAAAATGCACCTAAACCACCTCCATAACTTTTTGCATAATAGTTAAAATGGTAAATGATTGTGAAAAATTAATCATACGCCATGTGAGCCTAGTGAGACCGCGGGGGAGTCTGCCATTCGTCGACGTCTGCAATATTTTCGGCTTGTTTTCACTCTCCATCAGTCAGTCAGAGTCACAGTTGCTCATTCTCTCAATTATTCATTACATTCGAAGCCATTGAGTGTACCTATTACCGGGAGTGATTAATGAGCCACTTATTAATGCCAATGCAGAAGGCTCTCAACAAAGAAATCTCAGATCTCTGACAGTGCGAATGCTCGCACAAATTATACAAATCACAGGCACATATCCATATATAGTATGTTCTTTATTATTATTGTTATTATTATTATTGTTTTGCCAACTCATGGAACGCCCACGGGGGGAAGCACGAAACAGTCATAGAAACCAAAGGTAGAAGTAGAGCTCTCCGCTTCCATTGCTAATTGATATGACAAGCCGAGTGGCACAGCTGTATTACAATATTTAAATAGTATTTAAATCACAAGAAATTATATAGTAACAGGAAAGTAGGAATAATAGTAATTAACCTTTGGCCAAAAGGGGGACAGAACCTTCTTCTACTCGGATGCTGCCCTTCTTTCCGCAGCATTGCTTCATAAATATTCCAGCAGAGTTTAGAAAATGCAGGCCAGAATGGCTAAGTAGTCACCTGCGTGGCTTCGTGCGACTCTCAGCCACGAGTTGCCAAGTAATTTCGTGTGTGTACGAAATTGTGCTGCAGGGGGGAACCACCCACTCATATCTTCATCTATCTCGCTGTTAATTTCCTCCCACTCTGTTGCTCCTCATCGCTTCAGGCCAAGTTTTGCTTAGAGCCAGAAATCTCTCTAGCCAAGTTGGCAAATTTCATAAGCCTTTGTCTTTGGGAATTTGTGGAACTTTTGAAGACATGCAGTTGATGCAAGCTGACCTGCCTTAATATTCAGTGAACTTGCAATGAACTTGTAAGACTTGTCATTACAGGCTTACATTACACGGTTGGTCCCTTAAAATCTTGGATTATTATTCTATTTTTTATAAATATTTATAAATCTATAAAATTACAATAATATTTACTGAAGAATATATAATATAAGACATTTCTTTGGCCCAATTATTCATGCAGCTCAGAGCTCTCACTCACATATCTCACAATCCCCAATTAAATTCCAATTGAAACTATTTACGATTTAGTGTGAAAACCTTTGGGTTAGGTATTTTATTTGATTTTTATTTTGTGCTACTTATGGAGCTGCAAAAAAGTATGTTATGCCCAAGAGTTCTCACAAAATAAAAATCCACAAAATAATGCTGAAAACAAAATAAGAGCAAAGCGAAAAGGTGTTAATGTCCAGGGAAAAACAGACGGCGGGTGGTGAGAGGTTGCGCAAAGTTTTCATGGAAAACTGACGAAAAACCGATACAAAAGCTAATGACCAGGCGATTTCGAGTTGAGAAATATAGCAACAAAAAGGAAAATAGAGAATAATTAAAGAATAAATAATATATAAAAACTCTGAACCAATAATTCACTTTAGAACTTAAAGTTGAAACAAATTTCACTCCTGAAAATGTTTAATTAAATAAGAATATAAAGATTTGAACTTAGATTTAATGAATTTATTGTTTTCTTACATTTCTTGAACCCTTTTCAGCACAGTTTCAGTTTTTTACTACTTACAACCCTACTTCTTAACTTGAACATTTGTATTTTGTTTTTTACAACCTTTTTAAAAATGTAATTATATATTTTACACCAAAAACTGCATCAGGAGCCTTCCACATTGCCTTGCCACTGGGGAAAATCCTAGCGAATGCCTTGAATTTTCAACTAAAATGCAACCCAATCGTTCAAGAACTTGGCCGACACCTTCATAAATATTAATGATGACTTGGTTATAGAAATTCGATTACAAATTGCCCCTCCAGATGGCCTTGCTAATGTCACTCGGTTTGCGGCCTGCAAGTTTCTAAGTTTTTCCGGGCCCCCTTTTTCCGACCTTTTCCTTCGCTCTTCAGGCAGTTATAGTTGTAGTCATTAACAATGGCCATCGAGTTGCGAACTAGTTTTCCACATTTGTGCACATCCGAGTACCGTTGGCTGTAGGAAAGACACTGGAAAATGGCAAAATGGGAAATGTAAAACGGGAAAATGGCAGTCAGTCAGTCTGGCAGTGGTACAGATATCCATTGTCCCACATGAATTAGTTATTTGCTGCTCTGATTGGATATACATATATATACATATATATATGAATATATGTGCATACACCTGTGGCCCCATGTGAAAAGTTCCAGATCCCAATTAAACACGGACCGTGGCATGTGATTTTTGTCTTTGTTCCTAAGTCACTTGGTTTTTCTTTGAGTGGGTCTAGGTCTCGGGCTTGGTCTTGGTCTTGGTCTTCGTCGTGGTCTTCGTCGTGGTCTTATTCAAGTTTTCCCGCCTTTCAGAGCATTTTTCTCCGCCTATTGCGAAGTCAACTCGAGTCAACTCAACTCAATTGCTTTGGCAACTTGACGCAGGGCCGTGCACTTGACGATGACGCCTCGGGATGCCAATGTCCGTGGAATGAATATACATAGGAGGAAAATTGAGAAAAAAGGAACAACAAAGAAAAACTGGGGAACAGAAACTTTAGCTCCATATCCAGCTTCAGCTTCAGATCGCTCCCTATACTAAGAGAGTATTGTATTTAAAGTTAAGAGTTTGCAATGTGTTAAGAAAAAGGCTTCTTTGGGCCTTTAATAACTCTACATCACCAGACAAATAGATCTAGACATTGTCTGTCTAGAAAGCTAAGTCATAAAAAGTTGAGGTCTAGTTCCATTAAGGGATGTCTGTACATTAAAAGGAAAGGATAATAAACGTGCTCAATAGTATATCGAAAATATCGAAAGCTTCGATATATTGCATTTTTTAGGTTAAAAAAAAATCGATTTTACTTTAAACATTATCAAAAAATATTCATAATATATAATTTAACAATCTCGAATACCGAAAACTTTAATATATCGAGTTTTTAAATATAAGAAACTAGAATATAATCATAAACACAAAATTAATTAATTATCGATAATATCGATAAACAGCTAAATCGCTTTAACGCGCATATATCAAAATTTATAGATATAAATTTATATTATTTTATTATTTTATTTTATACCTTATCGATTAATCGATATTTTCATCAAAATGACTTTACCACCAGGTACTTCATAGTCTAAACTCCTATTTTCTTCACTTTTTCTCTCGGTT